CCCCCCTTGTTCGAAGACGTCTTGCACAGACGGCGAATTCCCTCATACTCGGAGGGGTATACTCTATACTCGATGACGAGCACTAGTGGACGCATTGTGGTGGCGGGCACCACCAAGCCTCCCGCCGTACTTGTCGCCCATTAAATCACCCTGGCGTTAATAGGTCACAGGTTAACCCACCCAGTACCCACAAATAGCCACCCGGTCACGTGCCCCCTGTCCATCGTCTGGGTTTCTTGAGGGTGACAGAAAAATAACACTCCAATCCCGCACGTACATCGCGAACCAAAGAGGCGACGCGGGTCCGGACACGAGTACGTGGCCACCGGCGACTTAAGTGTGACAGATTCAGACGTGTTCTATCACGGGCCGCACCAACCATGCCCGCAAAAGGACACTCCCCTTCATCGAACGTGGACACGTATGCTCCTTGTCCTTTCACCGTGAGCGACATCCTACCACTCATTCACAGTCAAGTGACTGGCAAGAAACGTAAGCGCAACGTCACACAGGGTGAGAAAGGATTGGTGCAGACGCGGCCACAAGAATGGCCATTTGGGCCCAGCGGAGACTCCCGCACGCAGAGGATGGATGTGTCATACCGCATCGAACCACTGAAGGGATGGCTCGACATGACACGGTACAAGAGTTTTTTTCGTCAGTTTCCCCGAATGTAGTCCCCCTCAAGTATCAAACACAACTAACCGAGTGTAGTCAATAACGTCAAGTACTATAGCGACGATTTCGTTTACGTCGCCAATGACACGACGGTCGAGCGGCAAAAGCGTGCGAATGACGATCCAGATCAATCGGACAGGGCTGGCCTCAAAGGACTCTGGGTGGCAAGGGTTCTTGAGATCAGAGCGTTGGACGAGCACCATGTCTATGCGCGCGTCTACTGGATGTACTCTGCGGATGACCTGCCTCCCAAGAGTGCTGCTGATCAAAGGCCGGTACCCGAGCAGGTGGCGGGCTACAGCCAAAACGAGCTAATAGCATCTAATCACAGTGAGTGACAGCTAACACCAGTGACCATCGTATGTGTTTGAGTTGCCTCGCGGTGGCTAACAGCACTCTAGTGGATATTATCAATGTCGTTAGCGTTGTAGGGCGTGCAACAGTCAACCATGTGTGTGCAAACGCCGCCGAGGACGAGGGCGGGCTGCACTGGCAATGGGCTTTTGATTATCGGACGTCAAAACTCTCAGTGAGTTACACATTTAGCACTGAACGACTATGTGATGCGAGATGATGGCAATGCTAATCAGCTGAAGTAGTGGTTGGGCGAAATAAATCCATCTAGCGTATTGCTCAGTCCGTCGGGAGAATCAACCATGGAGGGAGGAAGATCGGCCAGAAGCACACGGCCACTCTTGTCGATAACACCGTTCAAAGACGACGTTAAGGAAGCACAAGTCCCTTCCAAACCCGAGGCGGCCAGCGCCAACAGAATCAAAGCTGCCAAACCTCCATGTATTCTTACCGACGTTGCTGGACCATCGCCAACGAATAATCCCTGCCCCAGCAATCACGCAGAGTCAAGAGAGGAGTTCGTCGAGTCTCTTGCTTCCCAAAGAGAGAGCATCGGGTTAATGGGTCCGGCCGTCGGCCACGTAGCACGAGGCCCTCGTCCTGTCTCAAAACATGAAGACTCGTCACAGTCAACACTCTCTGCCTCAACGCGACGTACCAGCACGCGCGTTTTGACTCGTTTACAGCACATCCTGGAGCGTTCTTGTTATGCGTTCGCAGTCAAAGCGCTGGACCGCCAGGTGCTCCGGAAGCATCAATGGGACCACGCCGAATCGTTGGAGTTGAATCGCTTCATTACCGAGTTGCGGGCGATCAAAGATCTCCTCCCAGCCAGGATCAATCCGACGAAACCGCTGGACATCCTTCTTCGGTCTGTAGCTAACATCCGCCATAACGCTGTCCACCGCCGTAAGGTCAGCATGGAAGGCGTAGAGCAATGCCTCCTGGACGCTACGGAATTTGCGGCGCTGTTAGGCGATTTCCAATGTGTTGAGAAAATCTCAACACTCAGACGGGAGTTCTTACACGAATGCGGGAAGACCTGGACCATTGCAGGAAACGAGCGGAAGTTGCATTACTAGCAGGGAATGAGAGAGTAAGCTAGCGGTCGGAAATGAAACAGACCTTCGCTGCTATAGCGAGAAAGGAGACTGCTTGGGTGGGGATGGGAGGTGGACGAAGGCTAGCTGCTTTCTCATGGCGAGTCTCTTGGCTAATGGAGCGGATGACCAAGATGGCACGTGTGCATCACCGAAGCCCGCTTCCTTTAGGCGATAGTCGAGTTCATGCGCGAAGCCAGCATGGTGCAGTGTAATGAGATAAACGGCACAGCTCATCTCTCGAAATTGCGAGGCTGTGGTTGCCGTTTTGGCCGGTGTAGAGGCCTGACAATGTCGCCTTCGCTTGACGCCAACTTAGTCTATGCAGCGCGGGTATCAGATGCTTCCGAATTGTCTCGAATGCGTCCTAACAGAGTCTAGATTCTGATCCGGTTGTAAGGACGGCGAACACGAAGTCGTAGTGGGGAATCACCACAAGCAGTGACTGGTACTGTCCAATGCTCCCACCCTTGGTATAGAAATCAACGACATACATCCCTTGGTCCTGGTGAAAGATCTCCCAAGGCATGCCAATAGCTGAAAGAAGCGACTGAGTGAAAGCCACAGGTTTGAGCCAGCGCTGCGTTGTTGAAGGAAGCAAGCTGCTTGTTGGCCAAAATAGATCGACCGAAGGTGCAAAGATCCCGCGATCCCGCACGGACGAATACATTTCGCCAGATCTAGGCAGGAGTCAGCAATTCAACGCCGTTAAGCATGAATCTGTGATCCACGTACGCGAAATCGTCATCCAGAGGCAAAGACCAGAGCGCATCCCCTGACGGGATCACGGCGCGACGGTCCTCTGGTATATCAGTGTGAGTGTTGAACAAACCAACTGGTGGTTGTGCCCTCGAGGATAATCCGACACAAGGTTCATCGTCTTTCTGGGCCCGATCTCCCAGTCCCGGCAACATCGCTATGACTTCCGCAGATTTGTCTGTCGACGAACGCTTGTCAACGCATCTTCTGCAATTGATACTAGGCCTGCAGAAATAACGGTACGACCAATGAATCCGCAGGTGTGTCACTAGGCCAATTGGATAATGGCAGCATGGCGCGCCAGAGGGCCAGACCCAGCTCTGGAACCCTCCAGCAGGCCACAAAAGGAACTGACCGCAAGCACATTCCTTCCTCTGTTCTCCAGTCGCCAAATATTCTCATAGTCCCTTCGCCAGCAGAGCGCCACTCGAACACTCCATCCTTCCGCGACCCGAGGCCCCCGTCAGACCCAATGTATAAGAGCTCACATCAGCGAGTTGTGTGCATACCGCCACAAAGTGCATGTACGCGTTACGTCTCGCCAAAAACTCCGCCATCACTATCTGAGCTGGTACCTTCTTTTCGCGCGACAGGTGCCCCCCTCCACACCGACTGAGGGTTTTGGCCACTGATCAGCTCAGTGCTGGCCGCTGAGGATGCCACACTGGATGCTCAAACACGAACAGCGCACTTATTAATCTTTGTGACGAGGGAACTGGCTGAATCCATTTCCAGGCGCTGCTGGTGCCACTATAAGGCAAGGCCTCTACCGACCTTCCAATGATCTGGCACATATTGGCGTCGATCCCACTCCTGTTGCTGCACGAGAATGCTCACTTTTCGCACCTAATGGTCCTCATATCTAAACGCGGAGCCCTTTGTGGCCCTGTCAACAATGCCCATAGTCACAAAAACTCTACTTCATCATGGTCGCCGAGCCAAGTATGTCCCGCACGGCTCAGAATTTCGGAAAGGTAGAAAAGCCTAAAAGCCTTCACTCACGCGCTTGCTCAACCGCAACAAAGTCCCACATAATGATGGATGACATCCAATCAATCTCACCGCTACCGAGTGATGCCCCACTTTCTGATTCCATTTCAGTCATGCCTTCACAAGAAGACAGTCAACCGCCCCAAGACCCTCCACTGCACTGCCATGTCATCGTCTCGACGATGAATCCAGCGGCGGGAGGAGGGCGCCGCATGGCCAAAGGCAAAAGCCGTGCCCAGTGTCCCTTTTCGGTGGTGACAGTGTCGACCAAGCGGAAGCGAAAGCGCGGCGCTCGACACGCCGAGCAAGAGCTATTGCAAAGATCGCCCTTCGAGCCCAGAGGCAGATTTTTAACGCATGACACAATGGACGTGGCGTATATCGTCGAGCCGCATAAGTGGTGGTCTGGCATGACACGGTGCAATAGCTTTGATTGTAAGACCCCCAACAGTCCCCTTCGCTGGTGATCAGAGCGGTAATGATGAAGCACGTACAGTGAACCGCGTGAAGTACTACAGGGAGGATTTTGTTTATGTGGCGACCGATCGGGCCATCGCGCAACAAATGGCTGGCAATGGGGAATCCGAACACCATGGGTTCCAGCCCACCGACTACTGGGTGGCCAAAATACTTGATATCAGGGCGCGGGATCAACACCACGTCTATGCTCGTGTTTGTTGGATGTACTCCCCGGATGACTTGCCTTCCAAAGCACTCGACAACAACAAGCTGGTACCAGGACGGCAACCTTACCATGGACAAAATGAGTTAATAGCGTCCAATCACAGTGAGCTGCCTCATCTACTCAACGCGAACCGTCACTAACTGAGAGTCAGTGGATATCATTGATGTCCTCAGTGTTGTTATGCGCGCTCAAGTCAGGCAGTTGGTGGAGTCGGACGATGAAGCGGTGCACTATTCGCTGTACTGGCGGCAAGCATTTGACTGTCGAACGTCTGAGCTTTCGGTATGACCTACGGAATCCCATCTACTTATGGCAAAAGGCTAATCTTTCGGTGCTAGACTGTCGATCTCACATGTTATTGCAAGATGCCTGCCAATCCGGACAAAACATTGATTGGCTGCTCAAATCCAAGTTGCGATCAATGGCTTCATTACGAGTGTCTTCTGCATGCCTGTCTCATGAGTGTCTACGAGCAGCTGGGCACAGACAAGCCGCATAAGACAGAGTTGGCATCGAAGGGGAAAACTGTGGTAAACCCACAGCCAGACGTACAAGCAAAAATAGCAGCAAAGGAGGACGACACGACAAAGCCAGCTGCTTGTGAGAAAGAGAGTGAGGTGCCTTACTCAAAGTTAGAGTGCACATACGGCCTCACATCACAGCCAGCCGGTACACCGGAAAAAGCAACAGAAGTCATGGAAGTGGCGCACGACAAGCTTAATCAGTCGGAACACATAACAGAACCGGGCACAAAGGAGAGAGCAAATGGCGCGCCATATGTCGGGCTATTCGATGCAAAGCTTCGGTTAGATCGACACCAAGCAGTGTGGGAGGTGGCTGATCTGCGGCAAAACATCCCTTGCGGCGATCGAGAATGGGAATTGGACGTCAAATGTTTGGTCTGCGGTTCTACAATCACGTAGTTGGAATAGTCCGTACCATAGAGAACAAGGACGGCTGGACAGACCGGTCTTACCGAGAACAGGACGCCTAGTCGAGCTCGCTTTGAAGAGGCTCGGACCATGCAGTGTATATTTCCTCGTGACGCACTACGCTCTCTTGTGTGGTGACGCGATCCCCTGTAGCGCCTGTCAGTGGCCCTTTACCATGGGACGCGTAGCGCTCTGTCACAGAAGCCAACCGTGCCGCTCTCTCTCGAGGGGAGGCGCCTTCAGATTGCTGTGCAACACGTTCGCGTCGCCAGTGTGGCTGCCTATTGTGCAATTGTAGAGAAGTCTTCCGGTGTTCAGCGTCTCCAGTACGTGGCCTAACGGGAATTGGGCATTTGGTACAAGGTCTTGTGAGAAGTGCTGGCGTGACGCTTCATCATCTCTGTGCATTTTATTTTGCGGCATTGTTGTTGCATCGCATAGGCCGCACGTAAAAATTTACAGGCACCCCAGCGCTGACTTGTGGTTCCTTTCTAACGTTCGCGGGAGCATGAGATGGCCACTCCCACCACCAGTAAAACGTTGTGTTTCTGTCCCCTCAAACCCACGGTGATGTCGAATGATTGGCTGAGATCATCTGGAGAGTAGCGCGAGCCATGGAAGGGAACCGCCATCTCTGGGCGATAAGTCGTGCGAGCCCAAGTGTGGACATTTAAGCCAAGTCAAGAATCAATTCATCCGTGACGAGTCGCCAGCGGGCAGCATGCATGATGATCTACAATTGCACGCATATGGAATGTAGGTAGCGAACCGCTGGACTTGCGTCGTACGATTCTCTCAATCTTCCTAGTTGCTGGATCCCTCCCGGTGATTCAGCAGCATCTCTCGACCTGAAACTTAATGACACCATAGCTACATTGCTGTGCTGAACGTTAAAATAGTACTTACGAGAGCTCTGCCGCAGCATGCTTCGAGCAATGGCGCCTCGGCAGGATTGGAAAATGCGCTTTGGAGACTGTAGGGGCGGCACTGCAGACATGTAGCCCTTTGGCGCTACGGCGCGTGGTCAACGCTATTGAGGTCTTCCTTGTTGTGTTTTTCATGTCCATAAATTTGTACACATACGCACCTATAATCAGGGAGTCTTCAGCCATGCCCAGAATCGTACGATTTGTATGGTGAGACGCTGACAGGGACACATACTGTTTGGACGCCTAGTCAGTCAGGTCACAACGGTCAGCCACACATGAGTGAGCTTAAACTCGACAACCTCGTCATTCACGTGCAGGCTCTGTTTTCATTTGCCCTCGGGCTTGCTAGCCATTACATTGCAGGAAACGGGGACTGAGATACGTAAGTGCAACGCTGCGATCGCCCAGGCGAGAGTTGTCGATGTGCCGCCGTGTGCAGTAGTCGCGGTGAAACATGCTTGCAACTCCTGCTGGACATGCTTGCGGTGCCGGAAGGTATAGCAGGGCCGACACATGACGACCATCGGACCATGATGGTGAGACTCAGCAGGGTGGACATCCCGAAAATCGCCGGATGGCGCGAGAGATCGCCCGGGGCAGGACGGACTTATGGCCTTTTGCTCTGGATTCTTCTGGCGAGAAGGGACGGAAAAGAAAACGTCACAAACCTACTCTTGGGTGTAAGGCAGGCAACCTTGCACTGGTCGAGTGATATGTGTATCGGGAACTCAGTACTGGGTGGCCAGAGACGTGGCAGGAAGCGCTGTTGCTTTCGCTCCTAATGATCCAGTGGGATCATGCCGCCCTCCTTTCTGCCTAGCATGGCGGGAATTGGCGGGACTTGGGAATGTAGGTGGTCCCGGCACCCTGTCGCAACCTGCCGAACATTGCCACTTTACCCTCTTGCCGGGAAACCTGTCGGCCGCCTGCCAAGCTACACATGCCAGCTTTGTGTCAAATTTGCAACCAATGAAAGGCTGTCGAGGTGTCTCATGTTAGCCCCCTCGCTGGCATATGATTGGTTGCCCCAGTGACAGCGCCCGACGTCAGCATTGGGGCTCCACCTTCACTGGCGGAGGCCGTCCTCGACGCCAAGGAGAGTGTTGAGACGCCCTGTTTGGCACAAGAGACGGACCTGAAAGTTTGCCGGACTAAACAGAAGTAAACAGCAGCAAAAGTGGCAGGGCGTCAACGACTCGATCAAATTGTTGAGCTGGCGCTGAGGTCCTGCGAAATGTGTGCTGGAACCTAGGGAAACGGTACGACCCGCCCTGTGGTCAGGGGCGTGAGCCATGGCAAATAGCTGGCAACAAGTGCCTCACTGCAGAAGTAAAGCTGATGCATGGTGTAGAGCATGCATTCTCCGCCTTGATGACGCAACGAGAAGGTGCGCGCATGCCGCGACAACCAGGCTGGACGACATTGCCGTCAGCCAATCCTCTGCGAGGGCACCGGGCGAGGCGAGCAGATCCATTTGGCACACTTATCGCCCAATCGGCTCCGCCCGGTGACCAACACATGGAGGGCGAGCTCAGGCGCTACTCAGGCACAAATCAGGCGCTACTCAGGCTGCTCAGGCGCTACTCAGGGTAGAGCGGCGGGAGCTCAGGAAAATGACTGAGAGAGGAAATTCCAAATGTCGGGATTCGGATCGTGTACTCTTCTGTTCTGAACATCACCATCGCCGCTCACTCTTTCCTTTCCCTCATTCCTATAAAGTTAGTATCCCGACGCCGTCGCTTCACAAGAATCTCCAACAGCTAAGCATCAGTTAATGTATCATCGACAGGGTTTCGCAAAGATGAAATCCTCTCTTGTCGCCCTGCTGGCCGCAGCGGCCACCGCCCAGGCCGCCTTCGTGCCTCCATGGATTTACCGATCAACCCGCCCAAAACCTACCACCGAGGCTGTGGTCCCTATTTCCAAGACAATCGTCGAAGGGGTTCCGCATTTAGCCACGGCGGCTGACTGCCCTGCTGCGCCGCCTACTACCACGACCGCAGGTGGGGGATCGACGACGACGACTCCTCCTCCCGTGGCGAGTCTGAGCCGTACCCGCCCTCCTTTGTCCTGGAAGCCCCGGTCCAGCGCGCTTGGCTATCCTATCTATTCAAAGCACTTTGGGATGCTGCCTGGGGCGCCTGAGCCATCGCAGCGCGGCGTACCTGCGGATGCGGATGCGGATATGGAGGGGCGATAGGCGTGAAAAGCCGGTTTGTTCAGGAAGTTCCCGTTGAGTTGCAAAATATCTTTTGGATAAAAGGGCCAGAAGGGGATGCAGCATGGGAGAGATGAGAACTACTATTTTACCCACACGCATATCTCTATTTGCCCACGCCGCGCACGGTATACAAGGGTATACAAGCTGTTACCTGTCGGGCCGCCCCAGCCCGCAGCCCGCAGCATAGAATATAGATATGCGTGTGGGTAAATAGTATTTCTCGGAGAGATATGCTGGAACTTGCAAGGGCGTTGCTTAGGTTTGTTTACTTGGGAGTCACTCTCCCCCATTAACGTGCGCCTTCACCAAGTGCTACGGAATATCGATCAATACCTGCTTCATGGAGACAAGGATATTGGTGGTGGTGGCACTTGCAGCCTGGGTGTTGCGCCATTGAGCAAAAGTGAAGCTGCTCCACTAGAGCCCACTTAGTACGCCATTTATGCTGCAACACACCCCCTCAGGTTCGAACTATTTGTTTGTTTGAAGCTGGAGACCGGCAGCTCCATGATCGTAGCTTTAATTTTTGCCGATGGTCAGCACCTCCGAGGGAGCTCTTTCCTCGAATTTGGCGCCTAGAGACATTCTTGTTAAGCCCTGGCGTCTCCTATACCAGGTCTCGAACCTGGGACCTCTATGTGCGGCGCAGGGAATTTTGTTTTCCGCAAACCGGGCTCATAACTGTTGCGCCATTGAGCAAAAGTGAAGCTGCTCCACTAGAGCCCAACTTAGTACGCCATTTATGCTGCAACACTGGGGCTTCGACATGGGCGTCCCAAAACTACGCCGAGGCCGCTACGCCCCTTGACCTGGTTTGATGGGAGAAGAAAAGGGGGCTAGGGGAGGCAGAGGGAAGAATTACGTTGGTATCTTGCTTGTCCAGTCTCTCAGGCCCCTAACAGTGTTTGCAAGAGTAATGGAAAGCCGTGAAGTCGTATAGTCGTGTAGTCGTTTACAAGCGATACCTGCCCCCCTCCCCCTATTTCTCCGACCTCCCCTCCTCCCCCTGTCTGGTACGCAGCAGGTCTTTGAGTATCGAACAATCTTCGCCGCGACGTACTTTCAACCCCCATAGCTTCAGTTTCCCCGGAATCAAGCTCAACCTCAGCGTTCAAGTATCTGAACCTCCTTCAAGACAGCCACTCGCTCTCGTTCACCGTCACCGTTGCCGGCTTGTACTTTTCCTTGCCACGGACAAGGTTGAACGTCAACTCGGCCGAGTTCAAAGTCATGGACACTTCGAAGGGGATGTTGTAGTAGTGTCGGCCGTCATCCTTGACTTGGTACGGCAGGGAGTCGATGGTGTTGAGGTCAATGGTGAGAGTGGCAAGGGGCTTTTCAAGGGCTTGAGGCGAGTCAGCATATATAGCTTCAGTGGCAGTGACCTGAAGCACTTACAAGGAACTGGGTTGGCCTTTGTGTGTGGACGGGGCGGAGGTACGTCATCCTTGGACGAGTATACATCACAGACGATTTCGGGTCTTTCTTCGTCCGGGGCGATGTCCACTTCGTACCAAAGTGGGAACGTTTTCGCCTCGCCGTCCAAGATTTCATCACCCTGTTGCCGTTAGTAAGCATGTCTCTGTGGCATACCAGATATGGGATTACCTTTCTGACAAACCACTCCATGACCTCGACCTCGCGTGGTCCGCTTCTTCTAGATGATGTCAGGAACGCCTGTGACGTCGCCAAAAAAACAGGCCCATACCGTCGATTCTTTCCATTCCTGTGATAACTGGTAACCCTGTCGTCTACGTCAAAGACACACGTCCCGTAGTGACGAGGTGCCTCTCTGGCCGTGATGCGGGTGGGCTTGCGAGCGTAAATTTTTCCTATCCTCTTTGGCCTTTTCTTCTGCTCTTCCCAGAAATGTATCGCCCCCTCTGAGCTCACGCTTTCCGAAACGCCGTCTTCTGACGTATCGTATTCCGAAGACTGGCCCGCTTTGGATAACCCTGCCATCAACGCACCTCTCACGATAGCAGTGCGGCTACAGGACGCCGTTAGAGAATCGTGGCCAATGGTAGGGGTATCATCAGACAAACCTGTTCTCGACTTTGCGGACCTTGATGTCGCCGCCGACCTCTTGCTCGAGCCGACGTTTCAGGTAAACGTTCTGCCCGAAGCCTCCGGCTAACAGAATCTCCTTCACACACCCTGTGGTTGCAATCGTGTTCTTAATCTGGTCGCGAACGAGACCACAAATCTTGGCGATCACAAGACCAAATATCTTCTCGCGGACGTCTTCCACTGGAATGGCGAGCACAAGGCCGTCGCCGCCCGGCCGCCGAGGGGGAAAGACTGTGTTGAGGTAAAAGGAGCCGCGCTCTGTTCCAGTGAACTGTGGCTTGATCGTGTTCTCAAACTCTGCGACCGCCGCTCGAAGGAGGTTTACGCCGTTTCTGGTGGTCCAGTTGACGTGTGCCAGATCCTTCTTTTTCATCAGATAGTCCTCGAATATTCTGTTGAGGAAACTACTCCCACATAGCTCGCCAGAGATGGTCGAAACCCTCCTCAAGCCGATGAAGTCCTCGATCGAACTGATTTTGTAGGAAGATAGGTCAACGGTACTGCCAGCAACTGATTAGCGACTTCGGCTCAGTAACGGACAAGCAGAGCTCAGGAGTACAAACCCTCCACCCGCATCGCAGATCACAAATGTGTCACCTTCGTCGAGGCCAAGGTCACGCATGGCGGAGAGGGCGTACATGCCAGCCGCCTCCGGCTCAGCGACCATTTGGAGGTGTTCTTTCAGGCGCGGGTCTCCCAGGAATGCGTCTGCTGCGCACATGCGCATTGTCTCTTGCGCGCCGTGGCTCCACATCGCAGGGACGGTGATGATGTACTCCCGGGGATAGTCTTGCATGCCGTCCATTATCGAGGCGAAAAGATGATCTACGGCACGCTTCAGAAGGGCCAGGTAGCTGATGACAAGTCGCTCGCATTCCTCTTGAGAAACGGGAGGCAAGGCGACTTTGCTGGGAAACTTTCTCAGCAGCTCAGAATGAGCCGCGCGTGACTCTTCGAGCTCAGGACAGAGGCCCAACTTGAACCACTCATGGACCTGCTTGTTTGGGCTGCTCTTGTTGAGAGCTTCAAACCCCCAGTAAGCAAAGCCAGACGTGCCGCCATTCTCATACCTCAGAACCCTGACCAGTGTTACTAACGGCGTTGCTCATCAGAATTCATGAACCTACGTCGGCACTTTCTCAGCTGTGAGGCCTGGTCCCCAGTCTGTGACGAGGCTTTCGCTCTCGGCCTTACCACTGAGCATTAGCACGTCGGCCGTATGAGGTTATTCCCCGCACAAGAGCATACTTCATCACCGTTGGCAACCGTATAGGCCACGCCCGAAAACGTGGTGCCTATAAGGTGACAGTAAGAATGTGGCACTAATAATATGTCGCGTCCTGCTCACCAAAGTCTACCGCCACGAGAATCCTCAAATGTCTCGGGATCGGTGTCACACCAGCACTGGCCGCGACTTTACCCCTCGCCATGAGCACACGTACGATGAATCAGAAGAGAGATTTGATACAGAAAGCAGATTGAAGCCCAATACGAGGCGCAACAGTGTCTACAAAGATTTTGAATCTTGGGCCTCTCTCTCGGGGACTTTTACATTGGGCCAGTCGATTTGCGTGAGGCTCTGCCAGTGCTGCGGCTGAGAGTCGCTCAGGGAAGGCGACCTATCAGGCAGAATTGGTCAGCTCCGTGTGACAATGAGGGGGTCATGCAGGATGTGCATCCAGGGCGAGGCGCAGAACCGGTGAGCAGGGCTGTTGACTCGAATTCCGCCGCAGGCCTCCCACCCTCCTCGAGTTTTTCCGGTCACCCGGCAGGTCGCTGCATCCAGCGAGGAACTGACACATCAGCTGCAGGAAAGTCCAGTTGTGGTAACACTACATTTTATCATTTCACAGGACAGTGAGGCTCTGGTACTGTGTCTGTCCACGTCTCGCTCATCCCTCGGCGGTCTGATGTTGGGCAGGAAAGTGACTGCGTTCCCTGTCTTTGGCGGCCTGAGCCGGCATAGCTTTGTACCCGCCGACCCCGTGAGTGGCAAAAAGAGAAAAAACACTACTTGCGTCAAATTCCTCGGTGCTTTCCGACACTCCGCCAGCACCTATTCTTGGCGGCAATGGCCACTCCGACGAACTGGCCAGACGATGCGGTGAGACAGCTGCACCAACTCGAGCGAAAGAACGGCGAGCTCCTCGCTCGATTGATGAGAGTTCAGGGTGAAGCGGACCAAATAACAGACATTGAGATACAGGAGGGCTTTGCGAAGCTCCGAGAAAGCATCTTTGGCTGGATACAAGCTATTCATCGTCATCTCGGGGAAGCTCAGCGTGGATGGCACCCCAAAGACGTGCTGCTCCGTCAAGTGCAGCGGGACGAATCTCTGGGAAACGTCAAATATATAAAATGGCTGGTGGATTACAACAGTTCGACGGCCGTTCGCGTTGTCCTAGCCAGGGCCATATGGCGACACTTGAACGAGAACATCTTCAAGGCCGAAGAGCACAATGCACAGCAGATGTGGATTCCAATTGGCATGACTGAAAACGCCCAATCTCTCTTTGAGGACATTTTCAAGAGCCTCAAGGCTAACGGGGATAAAGACGGTATGACTTTAACTATCATGGGCCTGTTCATATTCACTGACCGCGTTTGATGCGACATAGATGCGGCTAACAGATGGAGGTCGACAACAATGACGGGCCTCAGCGGAACCGAACGAGCTCAAGAGCTTAGAAGCTATCACACTGAACAGGCGTTCGATGGGATAACGCATTCCCTGGGCAGCCACTTGGACATCCCCAATGTGGCATCTACCCTGGCGGAGTTCCTACCAAAGCTCCAACAGAGCATTATTGAGCCTGCGGCGGATTTATATCAACGAATTTCGTGCTCGCGGCACCAGTACTCCCTCGAGGCGCCGGTCACACAGCCCGGCCAACGTCTCGAGGAGTCTAACTTGTCAGAATGGCATTTGAAAAACACCAAGGACTGGGTTGATGTGTCCAGCGAGGACGATGCACATGGCGTGCTCAGCCTCCTCTTCCCCGGCCTTCGTCGTCACACTACTTGCAATGGAGCAGGTCTTGCGGTCGTCAGGCCGTTGGTTTTAGTATATGATGAGTCAAGTCCAGATCCGCCATCTGGCGCTGACTCTAAGCCTAGCGACAAGCCCTCCGAACCCAAAAACACCACTTCCGAGCTCCCCAACAGCCCATCGTCGTCAGATCGCACGCCGGGACAGGGCCGATCTGGCCAATCTCTACATGCAGCTCCCAAAAGCTCCGCGACTGACCCAGGGGTGTTGAGAAGCCCAGTCTCATCGAAACCGAGCCGCGAAAAGGGCAGAAGACATAGCGGGAGCGCTCCTACTCGGTCGTCGAGTTTACCTTGGTCCACGGAGCCCTTCAAGCGTATGCGGGGAAACAATGGGCCCAAGTCAATGGGGAGTTCCAGCCGCAGGTCGTCTAAGGACTCAGATGCAGACCGGCGGGCATTCACTGCCTCGCTGCCGCCCAATTCACCGACGCAGACTCGCCCTTGTGCCAGACGTAGCGAGACGTCATCCCTCTCAAGCGATGACTCGTCCCGCAGTGCGCGCGGGCCGACACCCTCGGACGAGTCCCGTTCACGGCATTGGCCGGAAGAAGATGACAGACGTGACCAGGAAACCACCCCACGCGGTACGACAGAGAACCTACCCTCCAGGGAGCGGTCTGGATCATCTTCAAGCAGATCTTCCATGGAGCTGGCTTCTGGCGGGGCCTCCTCGCCGCGCACGCGAGGGAGATCGGAGAACGCGGGAATGAGCCAGGTGAGGAGCAGCGCGCATCCTGATGATCCGGGACATTATTCTTTTTTTAAGAGCTTCGTGGTCTCTGACGAAATCGTCTCTGGTCGGTGGACAGTAAGCCAATACAGCTATGAATAACGACGCATATGATTGCTTCATCTCAACTAATATCGAACCGGCCATAACCTTCGCGAACTTTATCGCCATGTTATCTTGACCTACATGATGACAATTGACATGAGCATTCCTCCTATTCCGATACACATCCTCTCCAGAGTCTGTCCAGGTCCTCGTGCTCATCGGCCTCGTGTCCAATCCACCGTTGTTACCCGGAAGCACCAGGGGGCCTCGGCTCATCATACCTTCTGTATATCCTGCCCCTCCTCACTTTCCCGTCTGCGGTGACACGGACTGGGGATGGACGTCTCGGTGGCGGCACAATATCCGGATTGTTGTCTGGGGTGTTGGGCCTGGAGCTCATGGTTGTAGTTACGCTACAGATCGGTGGCCATCGAGACACAGCACTGTGGCGCCACCACAACAATACCAGAATTAATACCACGCCCAGGAGCACGCCGACGACAATCAGGGCGGTCACTGCCGTGTCTCTTCCTCCTGATGAGCCTGATGAGCTCTCTCCTGCGGTGGTAGTCTCCTGAGGCGGCGTCGATGTCGGCGTAAAGGGGCTCTGGGGCTCATTCGTCTTGGTGCCGAGCAGAATTGTGGTGTACCTTGTGCTTCCGTCCCGCGTGATTGTCAGAGTGACGTAGTAAAGAATTTCTCCGCGAGGAACCCTCATTGTGACTTGACGGGGAGTTGTAAGCTGCAAGCCCCGCTCACTTCGCTTCACCCCTTGCTGTTACAGTAGGTGTCGCCCGGTCGTGAAATTGGTGGCATTGTAAAATGCATAGAGTACAAGCAGCGGCTTCGATTGAACATGGAGATGCAGCTGGTGGGTGAGCCAAATGTTCCTCTTCCACGCCCACCCCGCGGCGGTGCTCACAAAGCATTATAAGAGAGCGGCTGAGCAATTTGGGCCCATTGTTCCCGTGTGTGAGGGTGCAAAGCGATGACTGTTGCCTTGGAAGATCTTTGCCTGCACAGCGCTCGTCTGCATGAAAGTGCATCGAGAACGGGAGGGCGTAGTTCGGTCTTGGCCCCCAATATAGGACTGCTGCATGAGCCACGCAGCTGCATGTCGCAGTTCGGTATGGCTTTTGCGTTGGTGCATGTAGGGTCAGCATTCGCCCGCCCTGTTCGGTAACCAACATTGGAGCTAGTTCAGCTTGGCAGCGGTGCGACCCGTTGCAGGAATCTGACCCGTTACCGTTACGCTTTTTACGTTTCTATTCGGAGGGCGCCTCTCTTTCTACAGTTGTGAGAGCGGAGTGACACGTAATTGTCCAAGGGCCAGACGCTGTGTTTGCAGATGCCCGGGTTGTCCAACAACTGAATGTAGTCTCCGAGTCCCTGATGAAGACTAGGAGGGCGACACGACAAGTACTGGTAGAGCGGGGGACAAGGTTCTAAACACTCGGCCTCGCACAGTGCTTCAGGACACAGCATGAAAGGCAGTCTGGCCATCGCAGTGTAAACCGCACACCGGACAGCCACCCCAGGCGCCGCGTCTGCGGCAACAAGAAGGATTCGGATATTGCGCGCATCGAAGAGGTCGACCCGCTGCTCAGGGCCGTGACAGAGATTGACCAAGATACGCCCTCCGTTGCGGCTGAGCTGGCCCGAATCCGGCGCGGCGCTGATGATGCCTCGTCCTTAGGTGCCCTACACCCCATTCCCATCCTCCTCAAGGGGACTATGGCCACAGAATACGGCATGAAGACGACTGCCGTCTCGTATATGCTCCTGGGCGTATGGCCCAAGCGGGGCACTACTGTTGCTGCGCAAGGCTGGCACCATCATCCTCGGAAGGGCCAACATGTCGGACTGGAGTAGCGCACCCATGCCCTGCAGCTGCTCTGTCTACGGGGACCAGACGATCGGGGCATACCGTCTAGGCCAAGATCCGTCCGGGTTGTCGTCGGGAAGTGCGGTCGCATCTTCCCTTGGGCCGGCGTGGGCCTCACTGGGCACTGAGACGAGCGGCTCCATCACCCATCCAGCGCACATGAGCGGCATCGTGGGTATGAAGCCGATGGTTGGTCTGACCTCATGATATCTGGTTGTGCCTGTGGCCGAGCACCAGGACACGGTCAGCGCCATGGCACGAATCATAAAGGACGCCGTGTACCTTCTGTCAGTCGTTGTTGGATGTGATTCCCACGACAACTACACCAAGATGATTCCGTTTGAGGATGACAAGATGCCCGACTATGTGGCGGCATGTAAGAAGCCAGGACTCCACGGGAAGAGACTGGGAGTGATCTGGGAGCTGGTGTACGAAGACAACATAGACGAGACGGCGATCCCCGCACCGACATGTTCAACTCGACGCTCCTTCTTCTGCGTTCGGCCGGTGTAATCATCATCAACGATATTCGGGTGCCTGGGGTTGAGGCTCTTCTCAGGACCGAGTCCATGAGAGTCACGGTTGGATGCGACTTTGTCGCAATCTGCCGGCTTACCTCGGCAAACTCGAGACGGATCTCGACAACGTCGAATCGCTTGTCGCGCTTCGAGACTTTGCGCGCAGCCATCCGCTCGAGAGGTATCGCGTGTAAGGGACGGAATACTGAGACAAGCTGCTGAAGAGCGACGCGGACCCCACGTCGCCGGATTGCATACACAACTGCACGGCCATGCGACACTACGTGGGTGAGCTGGACCTAACGAGAGCGCTGCGCAACCACTCGCTCGACGCCATCGCCATGCCGGCGTCGTACTCTTGCCTGCTCAAGTCCGTGGATGGGCACGCCTGTCGTGACGTTCCCATAGGGCGTCACCCGACGACACGCCGGTGCGGCAATCCGGGGACGGCACAAGCCCGAACGTGCCCTATGGACCAGGATTTGCAGGCGACAAGTTCAGCGAGACGAAGGCGTTTGCGATGGCGTATGCCTTTGAGCAACGGACGAGGGTTCGCGGCTCCATTGAGCCATACGTGCGGCCGACGACGGAGCTGACAGAGGTGGTTCGACGGTGATGAGAAGGGCCGGGGTAAAAGTGTCGTTAATACTGGACACACATGGGATCCAGGGATGATTGACACCTGCAATTTACGCATCGACAGATTGAAGAGTATTGTGGCCAAGCTGCATGAAGTTGCATGGCAGTGGCAGGTTTGAGGTGTCGGCGTGCCGCTGTTATTATTAGTGGGCGGCCAGGAGTGGCAGCCCTGCGCCGCCAAGGTTCCGGCTGCACGCCGAGTACTTCGTACCTGAGGCACTCCACCGGAGTACTGCAAGTACCTTGCCTGCCTGCCGTACCTGCCGGAGGTGACGTACTTGCAGCCGGCGCCCTTGTAACATCCCGTCAGGCAGGCGCCGCCCTTTGCTCCAAAAGCACAGCTCACCTCAGCTCAGCCTCTCACTTCCATCTCAAACAAAGCCAGACGCACCACGGCAGCTATTTGCTCGTGCAGGACACAGCAGCTGCGACACCGCCATCCCGACCGAGATGCCCACGTAAAGAGCTCGCGCAATGGGCCAGGCACACTCGGACGAGCATCCGCGCCAGCGCTCCCGCGAGCAGCTGGCGCAGGAGCTTGTAAGTTCCCACCACCAACATATATGCATGTCCCACCTCAGCCCCGGCGAGTCCGCTGACAAGCCCAGGCACTCAGGTTCAAGGACAAGTGCTTCACGTCCCTCGAGTACTACTCCCTCAAGGATGTCTTCAAGAGCCTCGCGGACCACCAGGGCGAGGTCCGCTACCTCAAGGAGGAGACCGTCGCGCGCTTCCTCGAGATCCCGGACATCCTCGGCGCGTCACCCGTCGTCTTTCAGATGATCTCGTATCTCGGCGCCTTCCCCTTCCTCCAGGAAGCACCCGTCGTTCTGGAGCTGCCGCAGTTGATCATGGTTGTCGTCATCATGACGGAGCGGTACAAGCGCGTGCTCGCCAAGGCGTCGACTGACCGTACCAAACTCTTGTTCAAGAGCTTGGCAGTGTACGACCGCAAGCTGTCCGAGGCGGGGCCCGCGACGCAAGCCATCACACCCGAAGATGCAAAGCCGACAGGCTCGGCGCATGCTTCCGGGTTTGCCGTGGACGTTCCGGGGGAAGACCCGGACAATATCGAAGAGGACGACGACGACCTGGTGCTGACGGCTTACGAACTCCTGGATGTCTCCGAGGCAGTCAAGCAAGGGAGCGCGCCCGAGTTCCATGGCGCATTGATTCCTACCGACAATTTTCGCAAGCTGGTTATGCTGCTGCTACTCGCCGCCCCTCTTGATCCGCAGGAGAGCCTCTCTCAATACTCGGCCCGCGTTGCGGGAAACGAACTGGACAGCTTGCGGGCTGTAGCAGAGAGCATCCTGGCCGCCTTTGTCGATGCCGAGACCGCCCCTGGCATTCGTTATCGCCACTTCAAGACCATAGTCCCTGTGCTCTTTCCCAATCTTTTCAACGGATTTAATGGCTTGTTCGAACACTTTCTCTTTTCCAAAAATCTCGACTTTTCGAAGCACGTCGACGACTCCAAGGCCGCTCCCGCCGAACCCCCAAAGATCGCCCAGCCGCTGTTGTCGGACAAGGGCGACATCCTCAACGATCACCTGCTGTCGCAAATTTCAATGTTCCTGCCTGGTTCTTCGCTTTTCCGAAGGGTGCGTCGTCTTTACTCTGGAAATGATGCAGGCTTCTCCATGGGTGGCTTCCAGTCCAAAGTCTTCAACTGGAGGGCGCCGACGATCCTGCTGGTGAGCGGCACCCGCCTCAGCGACGTACCAGAAGGTGGGCAGGAGGTGGCATTCGCCGAATCGCTCCCGCCAAAGCGATTCCCCCATGGCTGTAAATCTGAGCGCGTCACATTCGGCGTCTATGTGCGTGAGCCTTGGAAGCAAACGCACAAGGAGTGCTTCGGCGACTCGGAGACCGTCTTGTTTCAGCTGGAGCCCGTTCACGATGTCTTCCCAGCCTCGACGCTCAACACAGACTATGTTGCCTTCACCCAACCGCCGGGCAACAAGGCCGGGGTGTCCTTTGGCTGTCCGCACCCAAAGCCAACCAAATCCAGCCGCAGGCAAGAAATGCATTCCCTGGGCGCAGTTTCTTTACTTTTCCACGATTCGTTCGAGTTTGGCGTCTTCAACCACGACTACAGCTCCCGTGGAGGCGCATTCCATACGAGCATGGTGCGAAAGTTCGATTTCCAGGATCGTTTTCAGATCGAGCAGCTCGAGGTTTGGGGATGCGGCGGAGACGACGAGGCCAAGGCGCAGGCCGAGAGATGGGCATGGGAGGCGAGGGAGGCGGAGGCGCGGCGCAAGATCAATCTAGGCACGGGTGATATAGAAGCGGACCGGGCGTTGTTGGAAATGGCCGGCATCATCGGTGGGAACCGCAGCGGCGGCTCAATGGGGTGAGTCGCATCAAGTTGAAGCTCAACCTCGGTGAGGGTTTCTCGGTCAAGTTGGGTGGCACTCTAGAACGGCAAGGGGGCAGCATACCATGCGCAATCCAAAATACCTGTAGTATAAATGAATGTGCTGTTTAGCTTGGCCGTGCAATGACGGCATGCAGTGTACAAGAGTAGGGCTACAATGCCAAAGGCAGCTTCGTCGCGTATATCGTACAGCCTTTTAAGAGCCATTCCTGTCCCCCAACGCCGTCCCAACATATGGTGAATGGGTACGCCACTCCTCTTCCGCGCGCAGCGTCTGGTGTTTAATCCTTCTTCTTTGATGCAATGACCTCGCCGATGGCGCCGAGCGAGCTCTTGGGGTTCTCCTTTCGCGCCGGCTTCTTGTCCTCTACGCTCTCGGGTTCTGCGGGCTGTTGCTCTGCCGCAGCAACCGCCTTCTCTCCCTTTGACCACAAGCCCATCTTGCCCAGGATGCCGCCCGTGCCCTGCGACGACTTGGCGTCCGGCGCGGGCTCGTCGACGGCGGCCGGGGCGGGCTCTGGCGTCTCCTCGGCCTGGGTCCTCCGCCCGCTCAGCCGGGCGCGCATAGCCTTGTCCTCCTCGTCGCGAATCTCGAGCTCGCGGATCCACTTTTGGCGCTTCTCCTCGGCGTCGCGCTGCTCCTTGAGCTTGCGCAGCTCCTTGGTCTTCTCGCGGTCCTTGCTGTAGTACATGCTGCCGGCGACCATGGCGATGACGGTGAAGCCCTGCGCGGCGACGCGGGCGCGGAACATCTTGTTGGCCTGGCGGGAGTCGCCGCGGCGGAGGGCGCGGTAGGCATTGACGAAGGCGAAGACGGTGAGGCCGATTCCTGCGACGTGCGAAGGGCGATGGGTTAGCCGACGGGGACGAGAGGCCTTGCGGGTGTGAGGGTGGGTTGGACGTTGGACGCACCGAGTGGCACTAGGGGCTCTTCCTTGATCTTTCGGACGACCTTTTGCATCGGGCGCTCGTTGTAAAAGTCTCTGGATGTCGCGTGAGCAAGTTTCCTCAAGGGCGCTGCTGCCGAGCCATGCGACGCAGCGCGGGGGGAGAAACGGCGCGTACACATTGTCGTCGAATGACGAGGGCAGCGGCCCCGGCATGGGGGGCGGCGGTGCTCTGTCTGCCATGCTGAGCTGCAGCGGTGGCAGGAAGGCGTCGACTGTGCTGCGGGTTTGTCGTGTGCGAGTTTGGAGGCTATCGTCGGATGATGTCGTGCAATGTCATAGACTCGTAGATTTCGGCCCGCCAATTGCGGATTGCGGACTCTAGGCGGCCTAGGGTCCGCTGGAGCTGGTTGCCTTGTCCGCTGTTGCCGTCGTTTGGCAGGTGGTAAAATGATCCAAGCGGGGTACCTGTGAAGTACAGGTGGTCGAGTTAGGCGCGAAGGGTCTCAATACCTGGGGCCGGGCTGCTACTTGCTCGGTACCAGTCGGTGGAGGCATGAGCCTGCCTGCCGGGCTGTCGCCTGCCGCCAACGTCCGTCCAGTGCTATGGGAAGCAGACATCCCACTCGAGCCAAAACTTTGGAAGCTTCCACAGAGCTCGAAACACCAACGGCAGCTTCCAGGTTGCCACTCACCACCCGCGCCTACGACTGCCAACGCCCCCCCGAACACGCGAGAGCAGACGGAAAGTTCTTGACGCACGACAAGCACACAAACGCCCCGCCTCGAAGCCCCTGGCCGACGCGGCGCTGCAGTCGCAAACGCACCCACTCCGACACCGACCGAGCTCCGCTGAGCGCCGACGTGCAACTGCACCCAGCACGATGCTGTAAGCGGCGCCATGTGGCCATCGACACCTTCGGTCGACACGTTGACGCGGCCGCGCGTGGCCGTGGCCCTCGTCTCCGCCATCGCCGCCGTCTCCGTCGGGTACTACGCCTACCAGTCCCGCCAGCCGACTCGTCCTCTGGAGCTCCCTCCGGGGGGTGAGCTGCATAGGAGCAACGCCGTGCGCCGCACGGGTCGACGGTCGCGGAGATCCGGCACAGCTTCGAGCTCGTCGTCGGACGCCGCGGGCGATGAGAATGCCGACTCCAACATCCGTCTCGAGCCGCTGCCTGCGCCGCTGCCTGCGCCCAACGGCGACGCAGAAACGGTCGTCGAGGCCGTCGACGACATGTGGAACGACGCATCCGGATACCTCCCACCTCAGCTGCGGGCGGGCCATAACATCGTGAACCTTCTGTTCAGGGTATCCGAGGACAATGCGAGGCGCAACGGCTGCGTGCATCGGGGCTGCCAATGTAATGCGTGTGGCATGGTCCCTATCCGCGGCGTTCGGTACCGCTGTGCCAACTGTGCCGATTTCGACTTATGCGAGACGTGCGAGGCTCAAGGGGTTCACGCCAAGACGCACATATTCTACAAAATTCGGGTCCCCGCGCCGCCGTTTGGCCCTCGACAAATGCAGCCTGTTTGGTACACCGGCGACCCGGACACGTGCCGTCGCAACCTGCCCAGGCAGTTGATCGCCCGGCTTTCCAAAGAGACCGGCTTCGAGCGGCCGGAGCTGGAGGCGTTTTGGGAGCAGTGGACGTTTATGGCCAACACGGAGCTGCGAGACGACCCGGACGAGCTCAACATTGCCATGGACCGCAAGACGTTTGAACGCTGCCTGGTGCCGACGGGCGGCTCTCGCCACGCCGCGCCCAATCTCATCCACGATCGCATGTTCTCCTTCTATGACTCAAATAACGACGACCTCATCGGCTTCTCCGAGTTCCTACATGGCCTGTCTTATCGAAAGCGCAAGGACAAGCTGTTAAAGGTGTTTGAGGGCTACGACCTGGACGGCGATGGGTACGTAAACAGGCGGGACTTTCTTCGCATGTTCCGGGCGTATTATGTCCTGTACAAGCAGATGCACAAGGACATTCTTGACGGACTCGAGGACCAGCTCCTCGCGAGTACGGAAGCTCAACAGCTCGTGACGAGCCGTCAGCCTCTGAGCAGCCTCTTCGGCCGCGAGGGACGTATTCCCGACGCCGACGGTAACATGCGGTTCGAAGGCAAGACATACCACCGTGACGGCAGCGTCGACATCGACGACCGATACCACGGGGCCATTGCTGAGGATCGCGGAGACACGGCGAACCGGGAAGACATTCTTACGAGCCTGTTTGCCTACGACACCGAGCCTGGAAGCCGCGGCCTAATCACCCGCAGGGATACAGATGCCAACTGGCGCACCGTCCACAGACTGGGCGCCGCAGAGACGGACCACGCATACTGGGCGGCGCTATTGAACCCGCCCACAACCCTGGAGGAGCTCCCGGATGTGATTGCGGGCAATAGTGACCTCCAGTCAGCCTCCGATGGCGATGCTGACGACCAAGGAGACGGCGGTGACGGGGAGCGTGAGGGCGACGGAGGCGACTCGGAGTCGGCGACGGGCGTACCCATCACGGATAGCGAGCGTCGCGCCAGAGCCCTTGCAACAGCGCGGCGTAAGGCGCCGGAGCTGGAGAAGCGGCGTAGAGATATGGCGCGCAAGCAGCTGCATGAGAGGTGGAAGCGTCGGCAGTTCTACCTCGACGAGGAAGAGGGTGGCCAGGCTCCTGACGATTGGGCAAACGACGAAGATATCCTTGCCACCCTTAACAAGGCAGCCGTTGAGGCCAAGTCCAAGGACGAGCCGGTCGCGGCGACGCGCTCACGCTCGAGTTCCAAAGTCCGGTTTGCTGAGGACATGGAGGACTACGATACTCGATCGAACCCTTCGACTTCGTCGAGAAGCATCCCCGAGCGGTGGGGAGGAATGGATATCCCCGACGCCGAGAAGGACGCCGGTAAGGAGATCCTGTATCAGGTCACTCAGCAGGCATTCAACGAGCTTCTGGACACCATCTTCAAGCCGGCAGAAGATTTGGCCATTGAGGCGGCCGAGACGAAGAAGCGGCGAGAGCAGTACAAGCACGAAATTGACGCCATCGAGGACGGACCCGAAAAGAATGGTGAACCTAGGCGGGACTCTGTGCCGCACCTGGGGCGCGCCACGGAAAAGGCCATTGCGGACAAGAGCCTCGAAGAGCTGCTCTCAGAGACGGGCTACACGGTAGTGACTGATGAGCCTCGCAATGCGGTGGATCTTGACTTCTCGCTCAACCTTTCTGACTACACGATACCCTCGGAGTCTTCGGTCGCAGGTGACACGGAACCGGAGGAGCACCGCGACCCTACGATGCCTCAATTTCGACCCAACAGCGACGCGTCGATGCCAGCAAGCTCTGGAGGATCAAAGACGACGGGGATCGCCGACGAGAATGAACTGGCCGATGACGATTCCGACCACGAGTCGTACACATCGGTGGAGAGCGTGATAGGCACGGATAAGCTGCGGAGGTGGAAGATGATCAACGAGGCGGAGGCCAAGGCGGCGCAACGGGGTGGCTGGGGTCGGCTCAGCTTCAAGGAGTTTGAGGAGATTTACAAGAACCAGGAGGATCTGGGCAATCGACTGGACTATTTGGGGAGCTGGATCGACTTTTGCATTCCCTAGGGCTGGAAAACCTCCTGCCGGCCTTGGGGCGTGCCGGCAGATATGTCCCATCGGAGAGTGAGGCGGTGAGATGTACATGTACTCAACAGCGGCATCGGGCATGGACACGAACCTAGAAGATAGCGCAGATGCATAATTTACAGTGCCGATAGCGGCACTAGAGCGGTCATTATTCATTCACAACGCTACCTAGCGTGGCTATGCTTTTTATACGGCTGGCGAAATGCTCGCAGATGTCCAAACGCCATGCTCCCAAAGCGTCCAAGCGCTCAAGCACGAAGAGATGCGACAAAACCCCCAAAGCATTTTCCTTCCACCTTTTCACGGGCTGCCTCCCCGGTCCAAGGCCTTGACGATGGCGTAGCTGGTGCCGGCGGCGAGGACGCCGATGACGAGGGTCTGGAGGGCGCCCCAGACGCCGGCGCGGTGGGTGCGGATGGCGACGTAGTTCTTTGCGTAGCCGAAGACGAGGAGGATGACGAAGGTGACGGCGACGGAGACGAGCAGGGCGTCGCTGACGCGGTCCATGGCGAAGTAGGGCAGCATGGGGACGAGGCCGCCGACGAAGTAGCTCAGGCCCATGGTGACGCCCGAGAGCCAGGCAGCGTGCGTTTCGGGCTCGTCGAGGCGCAGGCCGACGTCCATCTTGAAGCGGAGCCAGGCGTCGGAGTCTGCGTCGTGAGCAGCGACAACATCGTGAGAAGCAGCAGTGGTGTCGTTGCAGGCATCATCAGCGTCGTCGACGCGGCCGCACAGCTCGTCGACGAGAGGGGTAGCTGCCGCGCGGGACACGGCGTAGCGGTCCAGGATGGCGTAGATGTCCTCACGACGGGCGAGGCGCGCTGCTGCCGCGGGAGACAGCGACGAAGGCGCAGAAGAGGATGTGGATGAGGGCAGCGGGGGCATGAGGCCGGCGCGGGCCTGGGCAGCGCGCTGGGAGCGGTAGCGGTCGCGCTCGGTCACGGCGGCGAGGTACGCGCCCAGCCCCATGCTGATCATGCCGGAGATGAGCTCTGCGAGGCCGCCCATGATGACGAGGCGGGTGCTGCCGAGGGAGGAGAGGCCCGCGGTGAGGGCGAAGGGCACGGTGAGCCCGTCCGAGAAGCCGATGATGATGTCGCGGAGGGTGTCGCTGAGGCCGTCTGGCGCGGATGACGAGGAGGAGGATGACGATGACTTGGAGGAGCAGCGCCCGGGAGACACGTCTCGGCCTTGGGCCTTGAGGCCGGTGGCTGACCGCTCGGAGCGCGGCTCTGGCAGTAGCGGAGATGTTTCTGAGGCGTACGCCATGGTGACTGTGTGTATTGTGGAATGGGGGATAGGGAAGAGAAGGATGGGGGAAGCCCGGCTCGCGGTGGCGATGATGGCTTTGGAGGTGAGTCGGGTGCTTTTTATATCATGTGCTTTGGCCTTGGCAGAGCGTGTGATGATGGATGTATGAGTCGAGCACAACAACACCAAAAGCGACGAAGAAGAGAATCACCAAGGGCGAGGAACACGGGCAACTTATATGCCACATTCTTTCTCCCCCTCCCCCTCCCCTGTCTAGTCCCACGTCACTAACTTCTTTTTCACGACCGTGTGTTCTTTTCACTTTTCGCTCACCGGCGACGGGCCCGCCCGCATTGCACATTACCGTGTAAGTCAAGAGCGAGCGAGCGAGCGAGCGACGCCCGAGCAGCAATACGTAGCTGTGGTAGAGCACCCCGGTGGTGGCGTGAGCGGGTGGCCAATCACAGCGCGTGTTTTAGTAATCCCCGAGTAACACATCACCTGCTGGCCACGCCGCCGCCGCCCCATGCATATGCGCAGCGCAAACGCAAAACGGGACTGTCTCCCGTGGTTTGCAAATCAGAAAAAGGCCCGAGGGGGGTTCGGACTTTGGTTCGCAGCAAAGGGTGTGGTGGGTTCGGAGATTCGAGGCGGCCGGGATGTATGATGCTGGGCGTCGGTGTTTGGCGGGGTGTGAACGAGCTGGTACATGGTGACCTTGGTGACGAGGATGCGTGTGTAAGCCGGCGGAGCGGCGCATCACCGCATGATGCCGATGGGGCGGCGTGCTCATGAATCCTCGACGCCGGGGCCGTGATGCCGGTCTTCCAGAAGGTTTTTCCCATTTTGCGCCGACCAGGCCACTCCCAGTCCATCAGGGTTCCCGGTCCCGTTGACCAAGCTCCGAGCGGGTTGCGGCGCCGAGGCAAGCACTGGTAATGGGCTCGATGCCATTCGTCCGCTTGCCCTTCGAGTCGTCATCGTCCTCACTTGTTATATATCCCGGCGGTGACGATGGCCTCATGGATTGTCCTCTGGCCATACGAGCAGGTCGTCGAGCGACAACGGGCTGCACCCGCTGCCGCTGGCCGTGGTCGTGGTGAGACTCCCGCTCGCCATCGAGAGGCCCTCCTCGCTCGAAGACTCCGTGGCCAGATCAAAGGCGGCAAAGTCAAACTCCGGTCCGAGAAACCCATGCTGCTGCGGCTGGTCCTCGTCGAGCGAGGGCCACGCCAGCTGCTGAGACAGCGACTGGTCGTCTCCCCAGGCGAGCCGCTGCGTGCGCAGGTACTCAAACGGCGTGACGCCGACGCACTTCTTGAAGACGCGGTGGAAGTGCCACTTGGACAGGCCGGTGCGGCCGGCCATCTCGGCGAGGCTCATGCGGCCGGAGGCGGCAGTGGAGCAAGACCCGGCAGCGACAGCAGCATCGGTGTCGCCGTGGTGGTGCTCGCGCACAAAGGCGCGGATCTGACGTACGGCGCGCTCCTCGGGCATGAAGCCGGCGAGGTCTGGCTTGCAGCGCTTGCAGGCGCGGTAGCCGGCGCGGCTGGCCTCCTCGCCCGTGTGGTAGAAGCGCACGTTGGCGCGGCGCGCGAGGCGGGCCTTGCAGATGGGGCGGCAGTAGACCTTTGTGGTGCGCACGGCGTAGACGAAGAAGCCGTCGGCCACGGCGTCGCGCGCCTGCACGGCGGCCCAGCGGGAGGCGTCGTCGGCGAAGAAGGACGGCGGCGATGGCGGCGGCCGCGTGACGAGGAGCGCGGGGACGTACGTCGTTTCGTCCATGGCGATGATGAATGACCTGCTGTTGGATCGGATCGATCTGCGATAAGACAGAGATATGACCGACGTTGAGGTGAGCGAAGGGGGCAGGGCAGAGTCAATGGGCCAACGGGCCGCCCGCGCGAGAGTGTCTCGTCATTCACTCATAAATAACGGCGATGATGTCGGGTCGTGAATCGTGACTCGAAGCTAAAGCGGCGAATGCGCGGCGGGCCATTGCTTCCAAAGTGGCCAATCACGGCCCCGCACTTCACCTCATCTCCCGCAACCGCCAACCAAGCGCAGCCTAGGTCCTCAAATCGTTCTTATTTCCAGGACCTCATCATCAAACGGAGTGCGGACTACAGCTACAGGTATCCGGCGGGAGACTAGGAGCTACGTACTACAACAAACACGTGCATCGTGGCTTCGAAAGTTCGCGGCCCTCATCAGCATCTCAAAAGTCCTCCTCCAGTCTCCTAGTCCCGCACCGTCAAGCACATTTTCCTTCCCCCCAACGCCGCTGTCCGCCTCCAAACGCCACACTCCCAGGACCCAGACCCAGACCCGTTCCTCACGCTCTCCCAAATCCCAAATCCCCAGAGTTGAATCTGTTTTCGATTCCAAAGGAGACCCTGGAGGATCCGTTTGATTCAAAGAACCGGATCCGCCTCGACGGCGGCGTCATCCACAGCGCGAGTGTCCGCGTACAGGTCGACCTACGACATGACGAGGCTGGCCACCCGGTCGCTGTTGGTCTCGAGGAACATCAGGTGGCCGTTGCCAAAGATGCTGTAGTCCTCGAGCTGCAAGTGCAGCACGTCGGCGCCCGCCTGGCGGAGGAACTGCACCGTCGCCCAGTCGTACGTCGAGTGCGAGCTCGCCTGCGCCGTGACGATGGCGTGCGGCACCTGGCGGAGGTTGACCAGCTGGCGCGGGCCGGTGGTGCGGTTCGCGCCGCCCGTCTTGTCGTCCTCGTCGCGGTTCTCAGAGCGGAGACGCTGCATCATGCAAGTGCGCGACTGGCCGTTGGCGTCGGTGGACGTCTGCGGATGGACGTCGAGCTTACCGCTGGACGTGTTGCTGTTGTCGTTGTTGCTGGCGCCACCACCCGAAGAGCCAGCAGCAGCTCCTCCAAGGGGCGGCTCATACGTCAGGGGAATGTCCGCGACGCCGTACTGGCGCAGCGCCGGGTCAAAGTTGATGAGCGAGCTGTAGCGGCGCACGCCGTCGGAGCCCAGGCGCATGGCGCTGCCGACGGGCGGGCCGGCGGGCTCGATGGCCACGACGCCGGCGACGAGCTGCGGGTGCACGTCGGCGGCGAGCCACGCCATGGTCGCGCCGGTGCCCTCGCCGAGGAGGACGGCCTTGCCGATGCGCTGGAGAAGGTTGCCGAGCGCGTGCTGGGAGAGGCCCTGTCGCTCCGCGCGCCTGAGCGGGAGAGGGCCGAGCGAGGCAAAGTAGGCGTCAAAGATGGGGTCGCCTCGCTTGCCATTCTGCAGCATGTCATGTTAGTGATCCGTTGTTCTGGTCCTGGTTCGGGTTCATGCCCCCGCCGTTCCGGTCGTGAGATGCACATACTCCGGGCCACTTGTCGTGGAATTTCGCGGTAGGCCACGACTCGTACGTCTGGCCCGCGGGCGCAGTGAGGTCTCGCTCCACGACGCCAGTGTCTAGGGTGTTGGCACGCGCGGCAAGATACGGCTGGCCGTTCCAGGTAAAGGGAGAGCGGCCGCACGCGGGCAGGTCGACAATGTACACCAAGAAGCCCTGGTAGACAAAGTAGGAAGCCCAGCCGGGCTTGCCATCTGGCTTGGTGTTCCAGACCTTTGTACGTGGTCAGCGCCACCTGTTCGTCCATGTCCTGCAGAGCACCGCTACGATGGGTGGGGGGAAGGGAGGGGGGCGCTGTTCAGTACCTGGCCGGTGTGATAATCACCGTGGATCAAGACAATGGGATGCTTCTGCGTCTTCAGCAGGGGCTGAAGCTTCTCGACGTACATCTCCCCAGCGACGCCCGAGTCCGCTCCACCCTCCTTGGTGGTCAAGCGGGCGTGGACGTAAAAGGTGGACCGAGTGAGCATGGCGCCCTCCTCGGGCTGTTCAAAGGGGCCGTAGATTAGCTCTTCGAGCTTGATCAGGGGCTCGTCGGTGCCAGTGTCCTGGGCGGCGTCAGCCAGGCCGTTGGCGGCGGTGGGCAGGCCAGCTTGGTGATTGTTGTCGTAGTTGTTGCTGCCACCTCCAGTAAACGCGGTGTTGTTCACGTACTGACCGCCCTGGTTGATGTTGTTGTTGACGCCGGTGTATCCGGTCATGCCCTGGCCCTGGTTGTCCATGCCATGACCATGGAAGCCGACGGGTGCCTGTGGGTTCATGTTCGCCTGGGGGGTGGAAAAGCCCGCCATGGCGTTGAAGAGGGCCTGAGAGTGGGCCATGGACGCCGCCTGGTTGCCAACTGCCTGGGGATTGGCAAACGTCTGCATGTCGTTGATACCCGCCGTCTGGGGGTTGGCGAACATCTGGGGGGTGTTGACAAGCGTCGTGGGAGTGCTCTCCAGCGTCTGCGGGGTCGCAAACATCTGGGCATCGCTGACACCCATCTGGGGATTGACGGGCGTCTGCGGGTTATTGACGCCCATATGCACGTCGTTGACAAGTCCCTGAGGGTGGTCCATGGAGAGCGCCTGTGGGTTGACAGTACCCGCGTCCATGTCTGCGGCGACAGCAGCCTCCGACTGATACGAAGCCTGGAAACTAACCATCACGACTTGCTGCTCGATGAGCATGTTACAAGGAGGAGAAAAAGAGAAACCCGAAGATGCCCAACGTTTTTATCATCCTGTGTTTACGGGCATGCAGGTTAGTCAAAGCGTCCTCTCTCTCTCTTCCATCTTGTTGTGGGCTGTCGTCTTACCAGTGCAAGCAAGAAGCTGCTTTTCTGCCAAAGTGGCCTCTCGAGACGACGATCAAGGTGTCTTGAGCAGGATAGAGTGAAGTGTGCCGAAGCAGAAAGAAGATGGGGGGAAGGGTTCGAGACGATGTGTCTGGAGACACACGCGCAGGTTGGTTTGCTATGATGGGGGTGAGTGGCAACGATGCTCTCGTCTACCAGACGCGTCTCTCCCAGTTGCGAGGGTAAACAACTCGCCGCAACGAGGCAAAGAGAAAGGCAAACTCGAAAGAGAGAACAGAAACGGACAAGCAAAACAACTGTGTTCGTCCACGATGATTTTGAGAGTCAGATCGTGTGTTGAAGGCAGTGATCTTCGTCAGTATGTGAGAGGGAGTGGTGTAGGAGAAGGTGTGAAGGAGGGTGAGGAGATGGGCGAGGGGGAGGGAACAGGGGACGGGAGATATAGAGCGACGTCTGTCCGGATCAACAAGGGGTGTGGGCGCGTCTCCCAGGTGCGGCCAGCTGCGAGCCCCTGCGCCCGTGTGTGTGTGCGCCACGCCACAGGGCATACGCTGTTGTCGTGGGGATCCTCCTGAACAGCCCGGTGTAAGTGGCCACCCGCACCGTGTTGTTCAGTCCCGGCCAGCCACTGTCACAACGCCCCGACCACCGATGAAACTGCAAGCCACTCACTATCCCACTATCCGGGCCACAGTGTGAGCTTCCTGTGTGTCGTGGCCTCAAGAATGGGTTAGCCTGATGGTGGCTAGGATGCAGGGCGAACGAGATGTTGTTGCATAGGATCCCGGCTGCCCGGCATAACATGATATTTGTTTGCAGAGACCCAGTTTTCCGGCGGCTGCCTAGGGGCTGAAGAGTCCAGCCCGATCAGACGAAATGACTCTTCTATCCTCAACGAAATCACGCGACATGAGCATGCCCACATGTAGCCACCATGCAAACAGATACATGCGCATGCACACACACACACACACATAAACACCTGTCTCTTATACACATCTAGATGTGTATAAGAGACAGCACACACACACACACACATAAACACACACATGGTGCGTAGCGAGCGGGTCCCCAAGGGGATCAATAAACGGATCGGACTGCTGCTTTTAAACAGGCGAGACCGGCTCTGGCCTCTCGTCCTTCATGTCCGGCACCCACCCACTCGGGCGCTCGCTCCCGCGCACCACCAGCCCATAGCCCAGGTTCTCGACCTTTCGCACGCTCTGCCGCATGGCATCCATCTTGCTGCGAAAGTCCTTGGTCGGCACCGCGGGCAGAATCTCAAACGCACACCCCAGCTCCTGAATGTCCCGCAGAATCGTCCTCTTGCCCTCCCCGTTCCCAGCCTCGCCTCCTGCACCCTCCGCCCCAGCGGTTCCCCCCGTGGCGTTGGACGGCGTCTCAATCACCTGCGCGCGCTGCACCGTCGCGAAGCGCATCAGCTCCCCAAACAGGTCGAAGATCCCGTACATGTAGTCCCCCGGCGTGAGTTCCAGGGGCGGCGTGCCCTCGGGGAGGGGTACCGCGGCCTGTGCCTCGGCGGGGGTGATGAGCTTCTGGAGGCGCAGGTAGTGCGCAAAGGAGAGCGCCTCGACGAGCTCCTCGAGGCACCGCATCTGCCAGGCGTAGCGGTACCGGTTGACGGACTGCAGGTCGGCGGCGACGGAGGCCAGCAGCCGCGAGATTTCCGCCATGCGCGCGTCAATGTCCTTTTGCGTGTGCGAGGGGAAATCTGCGTTGAGCGTCTTGACACTACGAGGCGGTTAGCCGTGAGATACGAATGCGCACGCCCATTGTTATCGTACCGTTGCAGCGCAAAGATGCTGCCCAGCCAGCCAAGGCCCTACAGTCAGCGAAAAGAGTTCCCCCATCACGCTCCCCAGTGTCCAAAGACGGGAAAGCAGCAGCGCACGCACATCTTCTTGCTCTGGGCCGTCACGTCCCTGCTCGCCTTGATGATGCGCTCCCGCCGGTCGTAGTGCTCGTCGAGCTCGTCGCGAAAGGTCTCAAACATGCCGTGGAAGCGGCCGCGGGGCGCGTCGGGCGGCGCGGCGCTCTTGACGCGCGCGTTGCCGTCGCGGTCGCGCTTTACTCCGCCAGACATGCTGCTGTTTGAAATCTGTGGAATCTTACAGGCGGTGGTGTGTGAGCTGGGGGCGTTGTGCGGCGTTGTGAGATGATGGCGGTTTTGCTGGCCCGGGTCCGGCGACTGAGGTTGAATGTGGATCCGGGATTTGAGCTTGGGCGCGCAGAGCCTCGCAGCGCTAGCGAGGCGGGTAGGGCGCAGTACGTACCACTGGACTCCACCACAAGAACGAAGCTGTTGCCGGTCAACAGCTGTCATCACTGATTCGTTACAATACAGTCTTCACTACACCTTTTCGATACAAAGCTCTCGACAATCCCAAATGGCCCTCGGGGCTTGCTTCCTTCTTCAAATCTACTGAATTTCACACCGGCGACCAAACACACATGTGCACAGCACCTCCGTCCGTTGCAAGATCGTTGACGTCTTCAACCGTCACCGTATCGCAACATCCCGGCAAGAAATGCTAACAAGCTAGCATGAAATGGGCCCATTCCATGTCTTCGCCACAGCCTTCTCGTGCGTGCGCTGGTCGCCAATTTCAACCCCGTCACTCATAGTAGTCTTGTGCAAGGATCCGAGCCCCCGTGCGCACCAACCTGACCGTCACCGTCCGAACCGTTTGCGCCTCGAACGCAGCTTGACAGTACGTAAAGTAAAACTGCCCCGACGTTAGCATAGCCCGTAACAAACGGCTGTCAACTCCGACAGGTACTCGCCTGCCATTTCCTTCTAAACTCTTCAACCTCTGCGTCGCAGGCTTGTGGCCGTCTGGCCATCAAGTCAGGGCGAATTCGAGACTCAAAGTTTCGGCCAAAGGCTTCGCCCCATTCCTGAAACGCCCGCCCCAAACCGCCAAAGGTCTCGACCCTGTCGACAATGAAGTGGTCGCCCGTTCCCTTGTCGATCGCGTGGAGGGTCTGCAGCAGAGAAGGCGGGTACGCGCCGGGGAAGATCTGTGTCAGTTCAGCATGGTCGGTCGAGCCCTGGCTGGGATGTTAAGAGGCGGTGCTGACATGTCTGGTCACGAAACTAAAGGCAATTGAGTGTCAGTCTCTTGACATACTCTGCCAATAGGCAGCGCCTACCTGTCAGTTCCTTTGCTGTCCGACAAGTACTGCGTGTTTTCGTCTCTCGGTTAGCCTCGCATTGTCGGAACATAGAACGGACATGTATGATGTCTATACTCACCGCCTCCGACATCATCGTCGCCTGAAACGTTGCTATGGCGCCATCCCCGGGCAGCAGATCTTTGATCACACCAAAATACTCGTGAAGGTGCTCGATTCCCGTGTGCTCGAGCATCTCAATCGACACGACCTTGTCAAACCGAATACCCAGCTTCGGAATCTCCCGGTAGTCACAGAGCAAGACCGTGATCTTGTCTGACAGACCGGCGGCTTCGATTCTCTTTTCAGCCAAAGCTTTCTGCTCTATAGACAGGGTGACTGTGGTCACGGTGCACCCCGTCTCCTGCACGGCCTGGATCGCAAAGCTTCCCCAGCCTGTTCCGATCTCGAGCACGTGGTCTGAGGGTTGAATTCTGGCGGCCTTGATATGGTATGAGAGTTTCCGCCTTTGCGCTTTTTCGAGACTGTCGTTGACATAGTCTGGGTCATGCGAGGGGAGCCACAGCGGGCAAGAGTACGTCATGTCCGGGCTGAGGAAAGCTGCAAACATGTCATTCGAGAGATCGTAGTGGGCAGTGACATTTTGTTTTGCTTGTTCGATGCTGTTGGTTCTCGCGAACAACGAGTATAGTTTTGTCATGAACGGCGACTGCTTATCCAGCTTCATGAATATGCGTCTGTTCAGCAAGGCTAACTGCGGGCAGTTAGGTTTTTGCAGGGCATGGGATGCGTCGCAGGATGTACCTTGAAAATGCCGAGCAGATCTGGTGAGTCGATCTCGCCATTGACATACGCTTCCGCGAAGCCCTTCCCGACAGGGTATGTTAGTCCTCTGCAGGAGCCCAAGTCCAGGAGCCAATCTGCTTACCACGCTACCTGAGGCCAAGACGCGAACCCAAAACCAGTCGTCCTTCACAAGCACTATGGCTGAAGGTGTTCCGAAGCCGAAGGAAACATCTTGTTCGTGAGTTCCCTGCTCTGACTCAGGGGAGGGGTAGCTGATCTTCAACTGGCCATGCTCGATACCTTGAAGAGCCGCGCTCAACATGCGTTTGGCAACAAAGATGAGCGTGGGCCGGAACATAGTCACGCCCATAGCTGGGACGTTCATCTTGACGATGCTGTAGTGGGATGTCGAGTTGGATTTGGCTTGAGCCTCAGCACCTGGGGCACCGTGTTTGTAAAAGTCCAGCCTGTGGCCTTATTAAAGCTCAAGCTAAATACACTGCAGACGCTCGCTTAACGGTAAAGTGGACCTCAATCCGCCTTTCCCCTGTTGTGATACCACACGGACAGGGTACGTTTGCCACAGAACTGGCACTACAGCTGACGAATGCCTCTCAGATACGGGAGAGTCTTGGTCAAAGTCGTACAATGTTTTCTTCTTTTGTCTCTAAAGGCACGTCGCCGCGTCGGACACTATTAAAAGAAACATGCATTGTGCACAGATGGACTTACCTATTTAATTACTCCACGGTTGCGTTGGATGATGTCCAGCTGGGCAAGGATGCTGTATTCATGCGTCCTGGAGTTGCTATGCCCCACGGCGGGTAAAAGAAAGTTCAGGGCGGAGGACGCAGGCCTTATTCGGAGGCAATGCGGGCTACATTCCATGTGTGCCCAGTTCTCCCACGACAATATGTGCCGAGGGTACTTCCACAACCATACACATGAGAGCTTGTACATGACTTGTTCTGGCAACTGGATGCGACAGCATGATGTAAGTGTTGCCCCNCCCCCCCCCCCCCCCCACGCAATGACATAAACCTACTGACAGCAGCATTTGTTTTGCGACAGTCGGCGTTGGCCACGTGAGTCACGCCACGCGGGTTGCGACTCGCAAGTATATTGTACTACGTACGAACTGTCGCATGGGTCTTTGACGCAGCTGGCGCCTAGGGATACATTGGCCTGCGTCTGCTGCATGAAGACTCCCAGTTCCATCAGGGTCCAGACTCCTCTGTAACCTCTTGGAAAGTCAAGCGCGGAAAAGTACCTTGTCGCCGCCATTCATCTGTTCTGGCAATTATCCCGATTTGTGTCAGTTGAGGGCGGGGGGGCTGCTGACCGGAGCAATGTGTTACACAAGGAGCCGTCCGCCCGCGAGGAGAAGCTAGAGCGGTCTCCACGCAGCAGGGCTGCCCTTTACATCTTTGCTCTGAGTGTCAATGTCCAATGCAAATCTCAAAAGAAGGCAATTAATTCGGCGAAATTATGGAGCTGGGCAATCGAATCCTAGGTGTTGATGTTTGACAAGGTGTATGTAACTATGGATGTTGAAGCTGTCAAGTCCAGTGCTGGAGCGTCCAACACAAACAGCCGCCCCACTCAGCGCGTCCAACTCCAAAGCTGCATTTTCGAGCTCCACCTCGAATCCGCACGCGACCCCCTGGCTAGCTAGCCAACAAGCTGTTCACTACATGCTCCGTGCTCACTCACCCACTCACCCACTCACCTCTCGCGCCTCATTAAAAACCATGCAACGACCTGCACAATAGACAGCGACTCCCTCCAGCTCCCGAGGCCCGGCAAGAAGCAATGCCTATCGCGACCAGCCCCAATTGCAACGACCACGTCCGCTGAGGAGCCCGGAACAGCTTCACCAGAAGGGGGCGAGCTTGTCCACCACCGCAACATCATCCCTCGGCATCAACACCCACCCATCTCAGGCCCTCTCACTCTCTCGCCGCCCACCATGGCCGCCGCCGCCGGCCTCAGCATCGCGCCGCTCCTCCGCCCGGCGCCCCTCTTCCTCATCGCCTCCGCGCTGCGCATTGCGCTCCTCCTCTACGGCACCTGGCAGGACGCCCACTCGGCCCTCAAGTATACCGACATCGACTACCTCGTCTTCACCGACGCGGCGCGCTACCTCGTATCCTCTCCGGCATCTCCGTCTTCATCTTCCGCAGGCTTCTCCTCCTCGGCGTCGCCCTACCAGCGCGACACGTACCGCTACACCCCGCTGCTCGCCTGGCTCCTCCTCCCCACGACCCTCGCCCCGCAATGGCTCTTCTTCTCCTTCGGCAAGGTCGTCTTTGCGCTCGCCGACCTGCTCGCCGGGTGGCTCATCCTGCGCGTCCTCCTCGGCAGTAGCAGCGGCGGCAGCGGTGGTACCTCCAGGCGTCCTGCTGGAAGGGTGCCTGAGCCGTCGTCGTCGCAGCACCAGCACCAGCAGGCCATGACGCCCGAGCGCGCCGGCGCCTTCGCCGCGCTCTGGCTCTGGAACCCCATGGTCGCCACCATCAGCACGCGCGGCAGCTCCGAGGGCCTGCTCGGCGTCCTCACCGTCGCCCTGCTGTGGGCCGTGCAGCGCCGGCGCGTGTCCCTCGCGGGCGCGCTGCTCGGCCTGGGCGTGCACTTCAAGATCTACCCGTTCATCTACGCGCCCGCGATAGTCTGGTGGATGGACGACGAGCACATGGGTGTCGTGACGAGAAAGCCGTCCTCAAAGGCAGGCGCGCAGTCCTCTGTGGGCGCGACCCTGCTGCGCTTCTACTCCGCCGCGAGGATTCGCCTCGCCCTCGTCAGCCTCGCCACCTTCATGGGCCTCAACATCCTCATGTACTCCATCTACGGCTCGCCCTTCATCGTGCACACTTTCCTGCACCACCTCACGCGCATCGACCACCGCCACAACTTCTCCCCGTACAACGTCCTGCTGTACCTCACGTCCGCCAACCCGCCCGCCGCCGCCGCCTGGCACGTCGAGTCCCTCGCCTTCGTGCCCCAGCTGCTGCTCTCCTGCGTGCTCATCCCGTTCGTGCTCGCCAAGAAAGACCTCGCCACGTCCATGATGGCGCAGACCTTTGCCTTTGTCACCTTCAACAAGGTCTGCACCTCGCAGGTAATGAAATGCTCCACACGCCCCCTTCCTTGCTGGCCTCTCTTGGCACAAAACCTCCCTGGAAACCCTTAGCTAACAACATACGAAACAACGTACAGTACTTCCTCTGGTACATGATCTTTCTGCCGCTGTACCTCCCTCGCTCCTCGCTCCTCCGCAACCCCAAGCTGGGCGTCACAGCCCTCGTCCTCTGGGTCGCGTCGCAGGGCGCCTGGCTGCAGCAGGGCTACGAACTCGAGTTCCTTGGGAAGAGCACCTTCTTTCCGGGCCTCTGGCTCTCATCGTTGGGTTTCTTTCTCGTCAACTGCTGGATTCTCGGCATCATCATTAGCGACGGGGTGGCGCAACGGAGCATCAGTCCTTCACGCAAAGCACACGTCGAATAGTATATCAGCGCTCTGACATGTAGCATACACGCGGCACTGTATCATATAAATGTAACAAGCATAACCACTCAGGGAGCCAGGCATAAACACTCATTGTATATTCGACCATTAAGGGGTATCTCCGCGCCGTGCTACCGTGTGCAAGTGTGCAAGTTACCCGAAAACCAAACAAACCGTCCCGGGAAGCTCCCGCCCTCGTCGCCTTTTTGCTCTGAGCGATCTCGCGCAAAGCGAACTGCTCCTCGTCCAACAGACTATCCATGTGTCCCAAACGCCAAGTACCATCCGAGGGGTTTCAAGGACGGCAGATGATGAGATGAAACGATGCAACCTCCGCTTCCTCAGCCCGACAGGGGTGTCCATCGCGATGTAGACTGCTGGTGCTAGTTCCCATCCGACCAGCCTCACCCCCCTTCGACGCAATCACTGTATCGTCATCCGATTGGCGAGCGCCTGATAGTTGCAGATTTTGAGCGACAGGACCCGTCCCCGCGGGCACTCCGGCGAGATGACCATCCTGCCTTCCTTGCTATACACAATGTTGCCAAAGTTGTCGCAAAGTTCGGCAAAGGCGGCGCGGGGACGGACTTTTGCCATCTCGGTGACGATGTCGTCACTCCACACCCCAGTGCATTTTCCCTTTGCCAGCAGGAAGTACGGGTTGAGGGGCGGCAGGAGGGAGTCTGGGATCGTGTTAGCTGTCAGGCTCAGGCTTGCATTTTCGCCGGGTGTCGGCATACCAAGATCCACGAAGCGGATCCTCAGGTACTGGAGCTGTGGGTGCTTCGCCAGCAGACGGATCGCCGAGATGACGAGCTTCTCAAAGGCCTCAATAAAGGACATCTCGTGGATGCCCGAACCAGTTCCATTGTACTGGGTTGCCGCGTCGGAGTCGCGGCAGCAATTCTTGATGGTCACGTCAATGGATCGAAGCTTCGACCGCAGGGGATCGCTCATGCGCAAGGCAAGGTCAAAACACTTGTGGCATATCCGGCCCGTATATGAGAAGTGTTCCAGGCGTGGCAGGATGTGGCCCAGCGAGAGGCAAATGTGTGTCCTCATGGCCACCTTGGAATAAAACGACGGCGTGATGGCCTCTCGGCGGTAGTCATTCTCCATGCAGAGCCCGAGCCGCTTCACATTGGTGGGAAGCGATGGGATATAGTCCGAGACCGTGATGTAGCTCTTAGACTTGGGCTTGCTGTACGAACCTTGCCACTCTTCGAGATTCGGCAGCGCGCCAAGCACCCGGGCAAAGTCGTCGTTGTCCCTCATCAGATTCCACTGACCCCGGGTGACCAATGTGCGGACAGACTCAATGGGGTGCAGGGGACGATTTGGGCCTTGCGGCGGGTCTCGCTTGTCAAAATGAGCCACCTTGGGCGCCTTGCGCCGCTCTCCACCCTCGAGCGTCAGGACCTGAGCCTCTGGCAGGGCCAACGTCACGAATCGAAACATCTCGTCGAGAGTGCAGTTGTTGTCCGGGAGAATATAGGTTGCATTGGTCAAGCCGCTGGAGGTTACCGTCGGCAATGCCAGTGTGTTGGACGTTGCCGGGGGGCCGTATCTAGGCTGGAAGACGGGAAACCAGACCTCGATATGCTTGACGTAGCTCGCGAGGTGCGGGTGGCAGCTGAAGTGCATGATGGCGTCCTCGATGTAGTCGATGGTCGCTTTCAGCTTGATGTGACGGTAGAGTCGTTGCTGGATCAGAAAGGTCCACCGGCGGTTGACGAGAGCCAGGTTGGACAGCTCCCGTCGGCGCGAGTGACGGAGTGCAGTAGCCCAGCACTTAGTCAGGCTAGAGATTTTCATGGCGCTGCTAGAGGTAGGAGAGATGCAGAATCCGAAGAGATGGTCGATGATGCCCTCGTGTACCTCTATGGGTAGTTGCTGGAACTGGGTCTCGTGCAGGTGACCGAGAACGGGCTCATCGTGCGCTTCATCATGCGGCATGGCGGGCGCCTTGTCGGTAAGGGCCGACTGGCAGTCGACATCCCGGTCGTCGAGGGAGAATGTGTGTGGGTTTCGGTTCTCAGGATGGGAGAAAGGCGTGCTGCTCGGTCGTGCTGGGGGCAAAAAATCGGCCGGTTTTGCCTGCTCCAGCTCGGGACTCGACTGGCCCGGAGAAACAGGGCTCGACGTAGTGTTGAGTATCGCAGACATGTCCCTCATAGACAGCGCCACGGGCGTCGAGACCTCGTCTGCACCGTCCATCATGACTTCCTCGGCCCTGCGGCCTGGTGTTCTCGGTGGCATTTCGCCAGTTGACAGCGAAAAGCCAGGCTGCGCCTTGGCATCGTGTGAGCCCGCTATACCATCCATGCCTCCCAGTGACGCTTCACGTTGTTCGCTCTGACGGACTAGCGATCGGCCGAGCTCGCATTCTCGGGGAGTCGAGGGTGAGTCGCAGAGGATGGAGGATGGTCGCACGAGCTACTAATTGGGTGAAGGACGTGAAATCGTACGAGATGAGGCGAGGGCAGATTGGACCCAGCGGCCCGGTAACGCAGAGACGGCCAGGCAGACAGCCCGGGCAGAGTCGAGGGATCGAAATCAGGGAGTATGGGACAGTGATGACAAGCCCTGCCCTCGGGGCACAATCAAACACTGCGGGCGGGGTATGCTCTGGCGGTGAAGGCGCGGGCGCCGACAGGACAAAAGGGCGAGGTGTCGAATTTGGATGAATTTCGTTGGAGTCGGCCGGCGGGAGGAGATGGGGCTCGGTCGGGAAGCCGCAATTAGCAGTGTGGGCTTGTGGAGTGCGGATCGGCTGCCGCGCGGGCTAAGGACGCAATCTTAGGACCGGCGCCTGGACCCTTGCTGCGGTCGGTGATGATGTGATGGCCGTGGTAATAAATGACGGCCACTTTACGCGCTGCTGGCGGGACGAGGCGTGGTCGCGTGTTCGCGCTGGAGCCCCGGTCGCTGAGGAGCCGGCTGGTCGGGACAGCGAGGCGTGGCGGCAGAGGCGGCGGCGGAAGCAGAGGGCGAGGGGAGGTGGAATGGGAGGAGACGGATTGAGTTTGGCCTATTGGTTTGGGGCTGCGGCAGGAGGGGAGTGCCACGGCATCCGCTCAGCCACTGCGGCGTTGGTCCAAGAGTCCGAGGCGCTGAGTCGTGAGCGTGGCAGGAGACGCAAGGTTGCGGCGGCCGTGGTGTACGCGTGCTCGATACTTTTGGAACAGCCGTAGAGTTTAGAAACGAGTGGTTGATGAGATGAAGCTTCGTGCGGGTGGCTGCTGAAGATTCCTATGAAGCAGGTTGTGACGGGATGTTGATGGCGAGGCGCAACGACCACTCGAGGCAAACGGGATGGGGCGAGACGCAAGTCCGTATATGCCCGGCGAGTGCAGCAGGCAAACGTGTGCACCCGTGACGAATGCGGATGTCGCTCGCACGCGATCAAGCGCGGACGTATGCCGGCAAACACCCGGGTCCCCGGGGGAGCTGGAGCTGCGTGTTTGTTGCTCGCTGGCGCTTCACTTCCCTCACACCTGGTAGGGCAGCGCGACGGGACGAGGCAGCGGGCGGCGATGCCCAAGCAACGCCAGCAGGGCGAATAAAACGAGGCTTCGCAACGAGAAGAGGGGGGCAGACTCGGAGGATAAAAGTCGGTTGCGGGATCGTGCCCAACATGTGTGCCGCGCAGATTGGCTGGGGACGGGTTGAAGGACCTGAAATGGACCTGAGGCGGTTCGCGATTGGCATTTGCGGGAGGGAGGGGGACGCGCGAGGGCGGGCAACGGCAGCACGCGGAGTGGATCCGGTGGGGGGGAGACCCCGGGCCTGAGGCCCCCAAGGGCCCTTGGCCCGCCCTGCCCGCGCGCTGTCAGGTCCACCCTAGTGGCTCTCCCGTCGGCACTCGACGCCGGGAGGCGGCGCCGCCTCAGTGCTTCAGCTGCAGCCAACGGGCAGGCGGGGGGGGCTCGCTAGACTCCACCTGCAGACACTGACGGGGCACCACCTGCGGTGGACAATCACAGACTGCACAGTTGTTAGCTGCGCCTATGCGCCGTCCAGCACTAGGACGCCAGTTCAATCTTTGCCCAACAGCATTCAACCTCAAGTGCCCGCCTCCCACGGACAGGCTATAGAGCAGACCAGGGCCATGCGTCTGGTTCAGGCACCTCATGACATCCGACATGTTTCCACATCATTCGGGTGCTCGTCTCAACCACCGGGGTCTAACGTCCGTGGGAGGGGAGACGCGGGAGAGCATCGTCTCCTCTCCAACGGCAGATGGAGAAGCTCATGTCGTGGCCCTCGGATGGTCCCGTTCGCCTCGCGTGGGACAGCATTTCCTCATCTCGTGTCCACGATCCCGTACCCCGCACTCGATCTGGAGGCGGGACCAAATGAGCCGTGCCTGCTCCAGACTTAATCGCCCGCCTCCCGCCGGCCGCTGCCTCGAGCGGTGGCTGTCATCCGTTCCTGGAACATGTCGAGGCGGTGCCAAGAACGGCTTTCAAGACGGCTCGATGAGCCTATCCGGTCGGCGGTTTGATCGATGATCGGTGGCAAGGCATCAAATCGGAGTTGGATCCGTCTCTTTCACACGGCCATGTGGTCCTCTCGGATGAGGGGCCTAGCAATGCGACCATGCCGCTCTCGAATCGCAAGTCGACGCTCCTCCGTAACCTCCTGCGCAGCCTGTCGAGAGCCATGACGATGCTCATATGAAATGTCGTTCCCTCATGAACATGCGAGTTGTTCGGCGGCACCTTCTTTCTGAGCGTAACACGATCTTCAGGGCCACGTTCGCGCTTATGGCAGGCGGAACCTGTCCAAGAAGCGAGGGGGGAATCGTCCGAGGACTTGTCGTGCCATGCGTCTGTGGGACCCCCGGCGAGATTCGAGACTTTTCGGACGGGCCAGGCCACGAACGTCATCTCGCCACGAGTCACGACACCCGCTCATTACGACATATACGTGGGGAGATAACATGACGCATCAAGGCTCCTGTACGAAGCCAAGAGAAGCTGCCGCGTAGATTGCCGACGGCGCGTGCGTGTAGGACTTTGTGGAGCCAGGGCTGCTCTCGTGTGACGCTCAGAACAGGTTGTGACCGTCCGTCGATGACTCCGCGATACCGTCTTGAAGCGCGTCGGCGGTCACGACATGTCGGCTTGAGCCGACGGAGCTCAGCTCAAACGGCATGCTTTTCATTTACATTCGGCACATTCGGTATCATGGTAGCCAACTGCCTGTTATGGAAGTTTTCGTCCGACGCCCCGACAGCCCGCCCTGGTCCAGTAAAGACGACAGACCGGTGGTCGATGCATGGTGAAGCACCGGCGGAACCGCTTATGGAGGCCGCCTGCGAGCACAAGTACGTAATCATCGGGCAAGGGCTCGAAATCGTCCGGCCTTGCGCATAGTGCCATGGGGCGTGTGTAAATTGCCTGATGTTCTGAAGAGCCCCGGTCCTGGTCCCATCCCTACTTGAGACACTGACCGACTGTGATATCCGGCGATCATATATGCATCCTTCGACGTTTTGTACGCGTGGGTGCATTACCAAAGTTGGATTATTAGCGGTCCTGTGAGTCCTGGATGGGGCTTCAATATGGAAGGGGGAATGACAGTACCGCCCTCGTAGCAGCTGAACTGTCGAGTCGCTGATGCGGGTTCGAGTCTAGAGGTCTAGACCACAGAACATCGCGATCTGGGCTGCTCTATGGGCCCGCGGTGCGGATATCAGCCCTGTCCACATTGGATCCTCCGAAAACAGTAAGTGCTGGTGCCAAGGAGGCAATCTACTGCAGACGAGTTCGAGCTCGGGGGGGAATCTCGGGCTGTCATCCTCTCCCAGTGGTGAGACTGCCGGTTCCGTACAATGTACACGGCCGTAGTTTGCGCCGAGACCAGCGGACCTGTCAGCTCCGGGGTCAGGCTCCCACATCCAGGGCGTGCAAGTGTCTGTGGCGCGGGCTTCGTTGCTGATGCTCGGCTTCGCAGCACAAGCTTTCTTGACCATCCGCGTCCGCGCGTCCTCGTTTCGATGGCAGCCATACTGCTACATATGTTCGTTCCATCTGCCGCCGACGTCGAATCGATACACGTACGAAAGTCGTCCAAACCCCAGATCGCGACAGTGCAAACCGAGGCCTCGTGAAAAGGGGAGCTGGGCCGTTTCACTTGCTGTCCCAGTCCATCCCGCTTGCGGCTCGGCGGCCAGGGGTTCAACGGACGAGTGGTTTCGAGTCCAACGGCAGAGTGCGTTTCCAGTTGGTGGGGCCCGGCGCCGGAAGGCGTTGGCCCCCCATCCTGCCACGGTCCCGCCCCGGTCGGCCCCCCCACCCCGGGCACCTTTTTCTTGGTTCTTTGGGCCAAACCTCTTACACGGAGCATCGCGACATGCAAGTTGGCGTGTGTTACCTGCCCAGGGCTCACCTTCACGCTATCGACTCCGCGTGCGCTGCGGCAAACGGCTGGGAGACATTGCAAGGGGCGACGCGAGGGTCTTTGGCAGCGTCGTATTCCGGTCCTGGTTTCGTACACGACCACGACGAACCGCCTCGGTGAAACGATCTAGCTGGACCGCAGGCGGGCCGGCGGGCAGTCGTGATGATGCTCGGATCTGCACGCCACCCCGAGGGGATTTCGAGCCGAAAGGCGGGTGCGATATGAAGTCTTAGCAACGACGCTTGAGCATGTTGTTTTGCGCACGGCGCAATCTTCACCGGGGGGCGGCCGCCATCCCTGCGGCACATCATCACCCGGATGCGCCGTCTTTCATCGCCTTTTGCGGCGCACCGTCGTGATATCAGGTCAAAATCGCATGCATGCAGGTTGCCGGATGGCTGTACTGCCGCTAGGGCCTTTGCCGTGCCCGGCCTGCCTGCCCGTCTGCCTTGCACCAAGCAAATAGACTGAACCGGGTCAGCGACATCCGTGAGCCGTTGAAAGCGGCCTGCCTGCCGCCTCGGGTATTGATCTTTTTTGAGCGACGCACGTTGAAACGGGCCATGCTGGGGGCGTTGCTCATCACGGGCCCGGGTAGTGGTGTACTTATCCCCTGGCGTGGCGGGCTCATGCGACGATGGACGGCTCTTGGCCGCGGGGTTGATACATACATTCATCCATGCTTACCACGAGTAGCCGCTTGTAAAAAAACTAATACGAGCATGGGAGACATCGCGGACCACTGGAGCATGCATCCGCGGCTGGGAAGCGGGCCTCACCACCATGCCGGCATTTGATCTCCCAACGGGCTGGGTCCTGCTCCTTTGATTCCACTTCATTTTTATTTCCGGAAGCCTCCGTCCGGTACTTGCTACCTAATATACTGTGCCTGTTGGACTGTAGACAGTACAGACTCCAACACAACACATCCATTGGACTCAACATGTTGAGCAAATCGGCACAGCCAAAAAAGCATCGACGAATCTGGAAAGCAACCAGGTGCCTGATAGGTGGCGCGCAACGGCGCGCAACCACTGGTCCCCAAGAGCTGCACCAGGGGCGTCTGGCGCCAGGCACACGCTGCGGCGGCAGCCAATCACCCCCGCGTAGCCGCCCGTCGGTGCAACTGCAACTGGGGTGCGCCTCCAGGCTGTGCCCACCCAGCGCCACGCCCGCCAATGCCCCCTCCGCCAGCAACGCCTTTGTGCCTGGCGGGAGGAGACTTGCGGGTGGTGCGCCCCAAATCTCCCCGTCCTTTTTCCACCTCGATCCTCCTCCCTCACTGTCCGGCGTTTGAGCCGCCGCCCCTCCCAGTGCCCACCACCACCCGACTCGAAACCTCCTCCACCACCGACCTGCCAATGGCTGCGCCCCGGAACTCTCTCCCACCCCCCCTGGTACCCTTGCCTTGCTTGCGGTTCCTTACTCGTACGCTCTCGAGACGTTGAGTGCCTTGGCAGGAAGCCCTTTGTTGCTGCTCCTGCTCCACCCCGCCCTCCCGCCTGGACTCTGGACTCTGGAGCCGACAGGCCCGCCGGCCGACCTCTCTCTTTCAGCTTTCTCACGAACCAGGGGCCCGGAGCCGCTCGAGCGTCGAAACCTCCCCGCGGCGCCTCCTGCGTTTTACCCCCCTGTGACGCGCGCGCGCGCGCCCTCCCCTTTCCGGCGCACAACTTGCCTCCTCCGGCCCACCCCCATGTCCCTTTTCCTTCATAGGGTCGCGCTGTAAGTTACGTCGTTGCGTAGCGGCTGTGTTGCTGCGCTGTAGGTATCAGATGGACTTATTGATGGAAGGGACTCCCTGTACCCCGGGGGTGTGTGCTGCCGTCTCTTGTATTTGGCCGGGGACTGTGGGCTCAACGACGACCAACATGTTGGATGTCGTTCGACCCATCCGCGCGCGCGGCTTCAGCTGTGTGGCTTTCTTGGTCCACCCCCCGTCCCTTCACTTCTCTCTCTGTCCGTAGCCCAGACGTCTACTGTATACTGTCTGTAGTACTGTACATACCCACATCTGTACCGAAGATGAACGTGCGTGCGTCCTTTCCGTGCTGTCTCCGTCCTCCTGCCTCCCTCCCCCCTTGTCCCGTCCCGTCCGTTTATCTACTCCCGCGCCGCCCGCCTGCCCGGGCCACCAACTGACCTGGACTCCCTTCGTCTTCACTCACCCGTCCCTGTAGACCTCACTCTCTCCCCCCCTCTCACGTCAAGCCCTTGAGGTGACGTCTACTGGACCTTCTTTTCTTCTTGTTCAACTTACCGCCGGTCGTTCTTTTATTCGGCTTCTTGTGTCCCGTTTTGGTGAACACACACTTGTACATTCTAGATACACACAGTTGGCTGGGCTCATCCATTGTCGACGACAGAGGGAGCGAGCGTTGATCGCGGTTCTTGACCACTCTTTTTCACCAGCACGCCTTTCATACATACGACAGAGGAGCAACAACGCCAGGTTCGCTCACTCAAACAACGGAACACCGCCTTTTCAGGTTTTGACCTTCACCACGCCATCTTTCAAGTCCATCGTTTGGGGAAAAGACGAGTGACCGGCGGGAACTGGTTACACCGTTCACCACATACATCTCACTTCAAGCATATATCTTGTCGAGGCCACCCATTGCATTCTCTTCGTATAAACGGCATAAACGACTACAAATCTCATCATGCTCGGCGCTCTCTTCCTCCTTGTGGCGCCCCTGGCGGCCGCTCTTCCGCCCTATGTCGTGGAAACGACCGTCAGCCACGACCGGCGCGACCTCCCTATCGTCAACGCCTTCGCCGAGCGGCCCGTGGAAAACACCTACATCGCCGTCTTCAACTCGACGTTTGGCACCGAGGCCATCGACGCCCGCATCTCGGCCATGTCGAGCACCATCCAGAAGCGCAACCTCAACAAGCGCGGCCTCGACGGCAAGTACCTGTCCACGGAGATGAAGTCCATCACGCTCGGCGACTGGCGCTGCGCCGCCTTCCAGGGCGACGCCGACATGGTGCGCGAGTTCAACGGCGCCGACGAGGTCGCCTACGTCGAGGCCGACACGTGGTACAAGACGACGGCCGCCATCATGCAGACCAACGCCCCGCCCGGGCTGAACCGCATCTCGCACGCCCGCGCCGGCGAGCAGGGCTACATCTTTGACGAGTCGGCGTGCGAGGGCATGACCGTCTATGTCGTCGACACGGGCGTCCGCGTCGACCACGTCGAGTTTGAGGGCCGCGCCGTCATGGGCGCAAACTTTGTCAACAACGTCGACACTGACGAGAACGGCCACGGCAGCCATGTTGCGGGAACCATTGCCGGCGCCACTTTCGGCGTCTGCAAGAAGGCCAATATTGTGGGTGTCAAGGTCCTCGGCGCGGACGGCGCCGGCCAGAATCAGGGTATCCTGCAGGGCATGCAGTTTGTCCTCAACGACGTCAAGAGCAAGGGCATCCAGAACAAGGCCGTCATGAACATGTCGCTCGGCGGTGGCTTTTCGCAGGCTCTGAACCGCGCCATCGCAGCTCTGCTGGACGGCGGCATCGTCCCCGTTGTGGCTGCCGGCAATGAAAAGGTGCGACTCTTATCTATGCAACGGCAGCTCAACTGCGGAGAGGGAAAGATGCTAACCTTTACAACAGCAAGATGCTCGCAACACGTCTCCGGCGTCCGCTCCCCAGGCCATCACCGTGGGAGCCATCGATGCCACCAACGACCAGTTCGCCAGCTTCTCCAACTTTGGGTCCGTCGTCGACGTCAACGGTCCCGGCGTCAAGGTCCTGTCCGTCGGCATCGCCTCCACGGTGGCCACCAACGTTCTCAGCGGTACCAGCATGGGTAAGTACACATCGTGCCACAGCCACTTGCGTGGTATCTTTGCCCGACACTGACTGACTCTTTCCCAGCGAGCCCCCATGTTGCCGGCCTTACCGCATATGTCATGGGGCTGACGGGCCGCCAGGCGAGCGAAATGTCCGACATGCTCAAGAGCCTGGCCAGCAACAGCCCTGCGAGGGTGAAGAACATTGCCCAGGGCACCAGCCCGCTCATTGTCAACAACGGAAACCTGTCGTAAACGGACGTCATGGTTGGGAGAGGGAACAAGGACGAGACACCTTTGTACACTCGCTAATGCGCTTTGTGTTTACACCTCTCCTGAAAATAGATGCACTGGACAGAGGAGACTCGTTGGATTTTCATAAAGGTAGTGGCATTTTGACCAATGGTCTTGTACATCTCAGATGGATAGCTTAGATATTGTGCATTTTCCTTGGCGTCTTTGAGTCAGCCTGCAGTTCAGCCCTCAGACCATGCGATTTCGATGTCGACAACGTCACCAGCTTATTAGCGTCATCCAGACTCAGCAATGAACAGTCAGCGTCGATTCTCGCATCAATGAGCGGAAGCATGTTTGCATTCCAGCAGAGCCTTGTCCCATGGCGATTAGGGGCCCAACTCTGCTGCGCCGCCCCAGAGGGGAAGCCAAATGCAGTTCGATTTTAGCACTTCTTCGGCACAACCACAGTCATCAAAGGACTGGATTGCAATTTGACATCCGTGCTGCGTCCGCAAAGCGGCCGTCTTTCTGTTGGTGTAGACAACATGAGACTGCGTCACAGGAGACACAGAGGGACAGCATTAGCATCATATTATTAGTCGCCCATAAAGATACTCCAGGTGTGGTCTCGTCAAGTAAATGGTACACGTTATGTACATGAAAAGCATCGCAACGAGGACGGCAGTCGGCCGGCCACGCCTATAACTCGTCGCGCCCCGTGGCGGCTGCCGGTGGCGTGTTGCCGGGGAGAAGATTCGCTGCGTACTGGGCTATGTCTGTGAGGATTGGGAATCTCGCCCCCAGGAACATTGCAGTTCCGATCTAACGAGTCCAGTCAGCGAGTGTGCGACACAGAAAGCTGACGCTCATCTTGCACTCACCATTATGCCAGATACAAACAGGAGACACAAAAGGACAACGCCAAACATGACGAGATTCTCGCCAGGGTCCATGGTTGGCTCCTTCTTCTGCCGTTGCTCGTTCTCAAGCGTCAGCTTCTTGGGATCCTGCTTAGGATACAGCGTCTCGATGAATTGCTCAATCTGGCAAGGCATTAGCTTTCGTTTTCGTTTGGACAGTTTTCTCTCCATACCTGAGCACATCGCACGCTGATTGCCAGGTAGTTGGGGTCGCGGGGGTCGTTCTTGGCGTGAATCTTCCGGGCATATCTCCGGAACACTTCGCATACCGAGTGCAGGTTCTGTGTGCATTCGAACATGAGCTGGCAGGCGTCGCCCTTGGTGATCTTGACGTTCTTCTCAAGCACGTCGGGGTTGCGGAACATGAGCTCCAAGGTGGCAATGGCCATGCCCTGGGGGATAGCCACAAAGTTGAAGACGCTTTGCTCGCGCATGCCCGCCATGTAGAACAGGCACTCCTCGGCGTGCTTCAATGCGTCGAGAATCATGTCAGACACACAGTTGACTGCCTGCTCGCGGTACTTGGGGTCGAGCAGGTCCTCCCACTTGTCGACATGCCTGCTCCAGATCTCCTTGGGGTACCACCGCCGGCCGTCTTGCCAGTCCTCGTGAATGTCGCGGATGATGTTGGTCTTTTGCAGGAATTGACCCATCGACTCGGTCAATGACGGCCGCTCCGCCAGCTTGGGGTTTCCCAGCTCCGACGAGACGAAAAGACGGGTCAAGCCCTCGCCAACAAGGCCGGCGACGTAGTGGCAGTAAAGCTCATACTCTTCGATGGTCTGAACGCCGTTCTTGATCATCTCAGTATTTTGCGCGTAGTCGGCCATGCCGTTGCCCATCTTGACCGTCATCTCCTTGATGATGGTGCGGTATTTGGGCTTGAGCTTCTTGAGCTCCGTGACGACAACGTCAAACTTCTCCAGCAGTTCCTTGTCCTTTTCTTGGCTCTCATGATACTGCCAGCCGTCAATCTCCATGGTCTCATGGAAATTTCGCAGCAGGGGAACCTTCTTGTCTATGGAGATCGTCATGTCGTCTTCGATGGTGTCGAGGCCGCGCAAGACAAGATAGAAGAGGGTGATGGGGACAAGGAGCTCATGGTTGAGCTCCTGAATGACGGCCGCGAAGCTGCGACTCGTCAGGTTGAGGAAGCGGAAGCATTCCTGCAGCTCTGGCGACTCCTCCGACGGGTTGCGCTTGTGGACGGGGTCGTGCCAGAGCTTCCTGCAGCTGTCGTCAGTATCGGCACGGTCGCGCAGAGACGTGGGCCATACCATTGTATTATGGACCGCAACTGGTTCGGGTGCATGAGGTAGTAGAGGGCACCCATGGTGGCTGGCACGCGTGGCAGTCGCACACAGGTCGAGGGAGCAGGGCAAAAGGGGGCCGCCGAAGCAGGCACAGCCGTCGATCTCAGCAAAGAGGCCGAGGCGGGTGGTCGCAACGAATTGCGAGGCTATCACCGAGACGCAGGCGTCGAGTCAGAGGCTTGAGCAAGAGATTGGCTGCCGCGACGACTGGAGAGGTGTTTTCTGCCGCGAGGTCTCGTTGCGGTGTCTCGACGCGCTGGTGGGGAGAGGAGCAAAGTTAAATATGCAGCGGCCGCCGGTGGAGGATTTTTAGGAGGTTGCCCAAATTGACTCCACATTTTGGGGGGTGGATGGGGGTTGCCTCGCAAGCCTCCCACTGACCGCGCGCCATTCCCAATCTTCCATGTCACCTAGAGAAAGGTGGCGTGGCCCGAAATCTCACTGGGCGGCCGGCCCTGGAGCCCTGCAGACACAGGCTGGGCGGTCCGTACCTGGCCGCCTGGCAAGCTCTCTGCGCGGGCAGTTGGGCGGTCTTCGGGGTTCGGTCTTGGAGACCCGTACCCGTGAGCACAGCGAGCCCCCGTCCGCGGACAGGCACCACCAGTGACACCTGCCACAACGGACGGCATCGACTGTTGGAGGCAATCGGTCGGGGGTTTCGTATTCGCAGCCCAACGACGCCGCCGCTTCCGCCGTCGCAGCACACCAACGGCTTCGACTTGAATCTGAGGCGGCCCGGAGTCGAACGTTCCGCGACGGAAATGGTGTCTAGGCAAACTCTACCTCCTCCCGCACCACCGGCAAGCTCCACTATCGTCAGGCTTGGGTCGGTGGGCGGTGGGCACATGGAAGAACTCCACGTGTGATGGCTCGTGATCTGACGATGCGCGGACTGACATCCCGCTCATCAAAGACGCAGCCAACTGCATCCCTTGCTCGAGTCTCACAACCTGTATCCCCAGCCGAGCCGTGCGCACATCAGCCGGTTCGCACTGCTCCACACCAACGTGGCCCTGTCGAGAAAGGCGCGGTTGAGCGATGTCGCGACATGCGCGGTGCGGCTCACGGAGTCACCATGGTCACATTGATCCCGCCGCGATGCTCCTGTCATTCATACGGCAATGCACAACTGCCAAGCACACATGTGCGAGTGCTCGCTGGAGAGGAAATGCTGCCAGAGCAAGCCTCGTCTCCTGAAGATATTCTTGACTGTACTCGACAGGGATTCGCAGAAACGTCACCTACCTGCAAACGAGTGTTACCTTGGCCGCATCTGCGGTCCACGAACGGCACCGCCGCCCTGGAACATGTTCATATCGCACGGTGTCTTCCTCAAACGCCTGGATTGTACTCACTCATTAAACCCCAAATTTGCACGGTAGGTGCGGCACTACAGTAGTATGTACCTTGGTCGCCTGCCATCCACAGGCTCTGAGGAAGGCAAGGCCAACACCATGGCGCACCGCTCTTGCCTTCTCAGATGAAAGGACGTGGCCTTCGGTGTTCGCCTTCTCTGGCGTCAAAGAACGTGAAAATGATCAGTCCTAGTCACCTGTCTTCCTGTGATTGTACCTCGTTTCCTTGCTTGCGTCGACTTCCTCACTCCAACGTAAACGCCAGCGAAAATGGCACCAGCGCGGCCACAGCCACGCTTCCTCGTCTGGGGCGGAGACGGTTGGATTGCTGGTCACCTCGAGACACTCCTGAGGCGGCAGGGCAAAGATGTCCACACGACCACTGTGCGTATGGAGAACCGTGAGGCCGTCATCCGGGAACTTGCCCGCGTCGGCCCTACTCACGTCTTCAACGCCGCCGGCTGCACCGGAAGGCCCAACGTCGACTGGTGTGAGGACAACAAGGAAGCGACTGTACGCTCCAACGTCATCGGAGCACTCAACCTCGCCGACTGCTGTTTTCAGGCTAATGTCCACTGCACCGTCTTTGCAACGGGCTGCATCTACCAGTACGACGACGCTCACCCCATTGGAGGGCTCGGATACACAGAGGAGGACGAACCAAACTTTCGTGGCAGCTTCTACTCGGAGACCAAGGGTCACGTTGAACCGGTGCGTGTTGCGTCGGCCATGGCGTGGGTCCTGAGCCTGAGCTGACGGGTAAGAAGATCATGAAGCATTATGGCAATTGCTTGATACTCCGTCTGCGTATGCCCGTCAGCGACGACCTTCACCCGCGCAATTTCGTCACCAAGATTACAGGGTACGAGCGGGTCGTCGATATCCCGAACAGCAACACTATCCTCCACGATCTCTTGCCGGCTGCTATTCTCCTGGCGGAACACGACGAGGTCGGCGTCTACAACTTCACCAACCCGGGCGCCATCTCACACAACGAAGTCCTCCAGCTCTTCAAGGAAATCGTCCGACCCAGCTTGACGTACAAAAACTTTAGCGTCATCGAACAGGCGCAGGTCATCAAGGCAGGGCGCAGCAACTGCAAGCTAAGCACATCCAAGCTCGAGGCGAAGCTCCGCGAATACGATTACGTCGTTCCGGAGGTGCACGACGCATACCGCCGCTGCTTCAAAAGGATGAGGGCCGGCGGGATTCGTTAGCGGAGTTGGGCAATCCGTCCCGAGCTTTAGCTGAATGCCGTTGCCTTGGACGTCGTCAACTGAGAAATGGCGACTAGGGGGATTCCGGGCGTATTTGGAAGCGAATTTAACCTAAGCGGCTCTTCGCCCGTCGCAACGACATGCATAGTTGTCCTATTCTCTTTAGAGGAATACACAATGTTGTTGCAGCTGCGAGGTACGACTTGGTTTAGGGTAGCCCACTTGGAGTGTCGTAGCACAAGATAACCCCCCCGGTCTGAGGTGGTAATAATCTGCGCTGCGTAGCAGATTGTCGCGGGCAGATCCGGTCCCTGTGTTTCGACCCGAAAAGCAACCTCGAAATCAAACGCGCAAGCTGAGCATCATTTCGTCAAATCAGGACGCAGGCCATTCGAGCCTCTGTGGCCCCCAGAAAAAGTGGTCCGCCGCCTCGGTATCCTCTGTGCGCGAGGCTGTCACAGGAGTCGCCGAAGGCCAAGTTGGCACTGCCCCGCCATTACGTAGCGCCTCCTGTCCTGTCCGTTTGGTCAACAAAATTTCCGGCCTCGCAATCACAAGCCGACTCCTGTCTGCGTTCATCGAACGAGCATCGAACCTTTCCCTTCTTCCGACACGAAGCGCGTTCCCCTACAGAGATACCCCTAGCCCAACATGGTCGTCGACACGGCCTACTACGACACCTTGGGTGTCCAGCCCACGGCCTCCGAGCTGGAGATCAAGAAGGCTTACCGCAAGCTGGCCATCATCCACCACCCTGGTACGGCCCCTATTCTCCGTTGAAGCCGCGCGCCGGAGTGGCTCTCTCGGTGTCGCCGGCGTGTCGTCGCGACGTTTTGGCTGACCAGAGATGCAGACAAGAACCCCAACGACCCGACCGCACACGAAAAGTTCCAGGCTATCGGCGAAGCATACCAGGTGCTGTCCGACAAGGAGCTGCGCGGCGCATACGACAAGTTCGGCAAGGACCATGCCAAGCCTCAGGAGGGATTCGCCGACCCGGCCGAGTTCTTCACGTCGATATTCGGCGGCGAGGCATTTGTCGACTGGATCGGCGAGATCAGCCTGATGAAGGACCTGACGGCGACCATGGACATCACCATGAAGGAGGAAATCGAAGAGGCCGAGGCCCAGGCCCAGGCAGAGGCTGCCGCGCAGGAGGCCGCTGCGCAAGGCAACGATGATTCCGACTTCCCGGGCACCGAAGAGGCCAAGAAGGCGAGCTTGAAAGAGCAGGCCGCCGCCGCCGAAGGTGCCGCTGCGACCGCCCCGCCACCGACAGTAGTCGTCGAGGACGAAAAGGGTGCCCCTCAGGCGCCCCCTACTGGTGCCGCACCGACGCCGCCCCCTCGATCGAATGCCACGTCTCCGGCGCCGTCGTCGAGCTCTCGAAGCCGAACACAGATCCCGCTCCGGCCGGCCCTCACCGAGAAGGCGCACAGCGAGTCCCCCGATCGCGAGCTGTCCGAGGAGGCGCTCAAGGCAAAGGAGAAGAAGAAGGGCGGGCTCAGCAAGGAGCAGCGCGAGCAGCTTGCCGAGTTCGAGAGGGAGCGCGCTCGCGTCCGCAAGGAGCGTGTCGACACTCTCTCGCGGAAGCTGCTCGATCGCATTAGCGTCTGGACCGAGACAGACAAGGGCTCCGACGTCACCAGGGCCTTCCAAGAGAAGATGCGTCTCGAAGTGGAGAATCTCAAAATGGAGTCGTTCGGCATCGACATTCTCCACGCCATCGGCCACACATACGTCTCCAAGGCCTCTGGCCTGTTGCGCAGCCAAAAGTTTCTCGGAATTGGCGGTTTCTTCAGCCGCTTGAAGGACAAGGGCACGCTCGTCAAGGATACGTGGAACACCATCAGCAGCGCCATCGATGCGCAGCAGACCATGGAGGACATGGCCAAGATGGAGGAGAAGGGCGGCGAGGACTGGACCGACGAGAAGCGCGTCGAGTACGAGCGCCGTGTCACTGGCAAGATTCTGACTGCGGCGTGGAGAGGCAGCAAGTTTGAGATTCAGAGCGTGCTTCGCGAAGTCTGCGACGCCGTGCTCTACGATAAGAAGGTTCACCTGTCCAAGCGTCTGGAACGCGCGCAGGCTCTCGTCCTGATAGGCGATGTCTTCAACAAGGTGAGTGCCGCTTCTCTCACAGGATCACTGGGTGCGAAAGAAGAAACTAGCTGACAATGGTGCGATGCAGGCTGCGCGATCACCAGAGGAAGAAGGCGACTATCTCGTTTTCGAGCAGCTCGTCGCCGAGGCTGCCATGAAGAAGGACAAGGACGAGGAGAAGAAGAAGAAGGACAAGAAGGGCGGTAGCCATCACCATCACCACGACGCTGCCGAGGCAACGGCTGCGGACGCACCCAACGTGCCCAAGCAATAAGCTTGGCGAAAGCAGCAATGGATAGCATTCTGGCGGGATGTATAGAACGGCATGTGGAGCCATAGACTTGTTTGAGCGGCGGGATGCGGGTGCTTGTTTCCTTTCCTCACATTCGATACGCTTTGGGGCGAGAAACATGGATATCGAAAGGCCCAGCGGCATAATCGCGGTGAGCATGGATAAATACCTAGGTAGTTATATGATTTACATCCAACTCTACTATTTCTGATGCAGGGGTATCTCTCTACTTTGTATATCTATGCTATGCCAGGCTTGCCAGGTCGATAAAGAGTCTAGGCGCACACTAATCCATCTTGTCCATCTCGCTCTCTTCTTTACCAGGCTCCGGCTCCTCCACGAGCAGCCCAACCAAGCAGGCCGACAGCATCGTCTCGTAATTCACCCAGGGGTGAATCTCGCCAAACAGCTTGGTGCCGTCACGGCCCGCCCCGCGCATCAGCTCCGGCACGCCGCCTGGGTGAAACTTTGCGTACGGAGTGACGTTGTAGACCTTTCCGTTGATGGCCATCCACGCATCCTTGCCCTTGCGGCCCGTCTGGCGCTTGAGCATGGACGGCGTAACGCGCAAGTACGGCGTGGAGGAATCTAGGCCACGGAGGTCGGCGTTGGGTCCCGAGATGCGCGCCCAGTCGAGCGGCGAGTGGCCCGGGTCGAGGATGATCTTGCGCGACGGCTTCTGCGGCTTGGAGGAGTGTGTCGGCGGAGGGGCGAGGCCGCCGGGGGACAGCGATGGAGGGCCGCGGTTGGGAACGGGACCGCGGGCGCGCTGGGCCGAGTTGGGAGCTGGAAACTGGGGGAGAGTCGGGACGCGGCCGGAGGGCGAGGGTCGCGATGGGCGGGGAGGAGGGGGCATGAGGCCTGAAGGCGCTGGCGCGGCGGAGGGCTCGTCGGAAAGGGTCAAGGTCGGTATGGGCTGCGAGGGACGACTCGCAGAAGCTTTGGGCGTCGTCGGGCTCTCGGGCTCGTCCACCGTCGGCGGCTGGATCGTTGGAGGAGGTGGCGGAGGCGGCATGGCCAGCATGTCGCGCCGGGCTATGCCCGCGGCCGACGCGGCGCCCGACTGCAGGAGCGCACTGCCGTTGCTCGCCTTTGCATCGTTGCGTATCCTCGGCGCCGTGTCGTTGTCTGGTTGTGTCTCCTCCCTCTTCTCCTTTTCATGAACAGCCTCCTCGGCCTGGGGACTGGCCCCTCCGAAGCCGAGCCATCGCAGCATCGGCAACAGCAGCCACTCGGGGCGGCAGACGGCGACGTAGATGAGTGAAGCGACGATGACGGACGACCCCAGGAGGCCCATGGCTAGGGTTGGGCGACTCGAGAAGGGTGGGGTCGCGCGCAGTGGGCGCACGGCGGGCGGTGAGGGATGAACGTCGATGTTGGATGAGGCGAAATGACGGGACGAACGAGAAAAACCGAGATCAGGGTCTGCGGATGAGACTTTGGCGGCGATGGCGTGGGTTGGCCCTGGCGGGCGGCGCTGGGGCCCCTCCGCTCGGCGTCATCCCGCCTGGCGTGGTTGGCTGACAGCCTGGGAATTGGGGGGGGCAGCCCGCCTGTGACGGGTGTCCAGTGATCCATGGATCCCTCCAGGGCTGTCAAGCCTGTCCAACAGGGATCGGCAGCGGCAGGCGGGGCTCCAGGGCGGCCTCAGCGCCACCTCGCGCTGGGCGGCCGATGTGCGTGTGCCTGAGCCGCGTGCTTTTGCACCGAGATGCGGCGGGCCTTTCGGGCGTCAATGAGAACGCGGTGTGCCTCCCTATTTCCATGTGCCCCCCCCTCATTGACGACTGGGGGGCCACGCGCGGGGAGGAGCAAAGAAAGTAAACAAACAGTCGGCCAAGCGAGGAGGCCCAACCCTGGTCGACGAAACGAACCCAGGGCGCCCTGCCCTGGACGCATGAATGACTGAATTTCACGCGGGCTCCGCATGCCGGGCGATCGTACCGTACTCTACACGCAGGTCCCGCGGTGATGTGCGGTTCCGGTGCCACGGCTCCCACTACGGAGGACTCTACCTATGCCTCGTATACAGTTTACCCCTGCTGCTGGGCTCGCCTCCCCCGTCTTGTTCTCGTGACGACATCAAACGACCCACGGCCTCGCATGAACCCGGATGGGAACGTCAGTTCCAACCCCGCGGTCATGCCACAGGCATGCAGCGAGCGGGCTGCGCCGGGAGCGGGATGGGTCCATGGATAAAGGCTCCAGCGAGCGGGTGCCCGCTGTAATGAAGCGAGTCAGCGGCTGCAACCCCGTGATTTGGGCTAATTTAGGCACCGCGGCAGCGCCGGGGCTCCGTAGAATTCCCGTCCGGCGCGCGTGCGCAAGGCGCCCCCCATTGTGCAGTGCCGTCCGCTCTGGAGTTCCAGCTCCAGCTCCAGCTCCAGGATGGGTGCAAGTGCAGCAGGTGCATTGATCCATCCATCCGTCCATTCATCCCACCCACCCGCACTGGCATCCGCCATCCCTCCCAAAGCCAGCCCGCCCGCCCGCGACTAACTCACTGCTAGCAGCAGCCCAGACGACGCCACCACACACACACACCTTTGCCTACGCAGCGGCCCCCGTGAAACCGCGCGAGGGAGAAACGGGATGCGTCGTCGCGACTCGTCCACCTCCAACTCTTCCAAAACAACAGTGTCGTCGACGACCTCCAGCAAGCCTCGCCCCCCGCGCCCCGCGTCCATCAACCCCTTTGCTGGAGACAGACGCACCGCACCCAGACCGCCCTTTATCGCCATCCACCCGCCGCTGACGCACCCGCCCCCGTTGCTCTCGCCGAGGCCCTCGTTGTTGCGCCGTCCGCCCAGCAACCCGAGCCTCGCTGCCGCTGCCATCACCGCCGCATCTGCATCCGCCTCCTCTTCTGCCTCCTCCTCCGGCACCCGCCAGCCGCTGCGACCCCGGGACGGCAACTCCCAGAAGCACCATCAACACAATGTCCCGCTCCTGACGCCGACGACGACGACGCGCTCCACCATTGCGAGCGCCGCCAGGATGCCCGCCGGCGACAGACCGCGACAGCCCCAGCTCAGCGCTGCGGCCGCTCGCTCCATCAACCGCACACCAATCACCCCCAAGATCGCAGCCAAGGCGCAGACTCCCGTCACGCCTTTAGCTCGGAGGCCGCAGAGCGTACATGCGCCGCTCGGAGGCGATGCCTCGACCCCTGGACCCCCCTTGCTCGGGGCCAACAACATAACCCCTCGATCCGGCGCTCGGCAGTCGCGCACCGACGGCGTCAACAACACACCGACCGGAACCCCCAACCCCGAACGGAATTCTGATGGAGGCACCGGCAGACCAGGCCTGGGCGCGTCGGGCACCGCCCCCGATGGGCTTAGACGGTCAGGAGACTCACCGGGCGAGTCGGGCGACTCCAACAAGTTCTTCTACGCCAGCGATGCCAAGTCATTAAACCAAGGGGGCATCCAGCGGCCTGCATCGGTGCCCCAGAAGCCGGTGACCTTCTTCTATGCCAACGGAATCTCGGTCGAGAAACAGCGCAACGCGAGCCCGCCAGGTAATATCGTCGCTCCGGCCTCTGCGACTCCGCAGGAGCCCATGGGCAACAAGTTCTTTTATGCGAACGGAACTCCCGACCTGGCGCCCGCGCGACCGAATCTGCCGCACTCTGGCTCAGGCTCCATTGTGTCGTTCAATTCGAGACCTGTTCTCGGCCGCCCTGCCACAAGCCAGTCAGTCACAGGCATGGCTCCGTCTGTGAATAGTCGACCAGTGTCACCAATCAAGGCCTCGACCCCTACACTTCAGGCATTGAAAGGCAGCCCCTTGCCGCCACTATCACCAAGTCAGGCGTCTCCAATGACGTCTCCATCAATATTGCCTGGCTCGGCTGCAGCTAGCAAGAGAAGGGTCAGCATCGATGCTGCTCCCAAGCTTATGCACAAGGGTCACTCGCGAGCAGGCAGCGTGCCTGTGATTGAACCCACGACCGCGTCTAGTTTCGCAATGTCTCCCAATACGCCAGAAACGGTCTCGCCTCCTTTGAGCCCCGATGCCTCTCAGCGGGCCATGACCATGGCATCGATCCTACAAGCCGCCGAGGAGCTAAGTGAGCGCGATGACGAGGGTCTATCCTCGCGCGGACCGCAAAGTCCAACCAAATCGACGCACATGTCGGATTCTGTGAGTGAGCTGGTGGCAAATGCTAGACGGGAACGAAAGGTCCAGGATCTCGAAATTACGAATGCGTCTCTGGAGGCCATCAACAGGACTCTAGAGCGGCAACTGCGGAAACAAACCGCAGAACTGAGGAGATTTCGTCGGCTATCGCGGGCAGGGCGTATCTCTCTCGCCTCTGGCGTCTCCAGCCGGGTCGCTTCCGCGGCGCTTACGGACCCTCCGGTGGATTTGACTGATCTCACAGGGGAGGAAAGCACGCAGGAGGAAGACAGTCTGGACTCGCTTGATGACTCGGACTTCTCTAGTGGGGAATCCACCGGTGCGGACTCAGCATCGCCGAACGCGAGATTGGCGGCGCGACGGAAGCGAGAGGAGAAGCGGCTGCAGCTGGATCTCACCAAGCACCAGGAGCTGCTGATTGACAGCCAAAAGATGAACCAGAGCCTCAAGCGGTGCTTGAACTGGACCGAGGATCTCATCAAGGAGGGCCAGAAGGCGCTGGCTTACAAGGTCAGGGTCTCGGACGTTCACCTTGGCGGCCGGGTACTGGCACCGCCGGACGAAGAGGACGAGGACAACGTATCGTTTGTGGATGACGCGACGATGGGGCCCGACAACACGGGCCTGGAGCTGCCGTGGAACAAGGGCCCGCAAGACCGCGACAGCGGGATTGAGCTGGCCAAGTGAGGGCATTTAATATCGACACGACATGCAGCGGCCAGGTTGCCGCACCTCAGAGCGCATCGCCACTCTACACGATGACATTCGCTTCCTAGAGACTACGAAACGGCGCAAAGGGCGATACGGGTTACGGAGTCGGGCGCATGCAGGCCTCTCACCTCTTGCTGTTTTTGAACTAACCGGCGGAGAACGCTTCGATCTGCCATGCTACCTCCTTTTCACCACGTTGCACGAAATTACCGCGGTCGTCCCGGACACCCGCGCCTCACCAGAATTTCGTTTCCTCAACCTACTACAACAACACGCCATGCGCAGACTGCTGCGCTGACGCGAACAAACCCTCAGGCCTAGATGGCCTTTCCTTCCCTTATCAATAGCCTTTTACCTCCATCTCTCTTTTGTTGCCGGTTCCACCCGCCGAGTGCGAGGCCCTTTTTTGCTCTTCTATCGTCCTATTCCCTTCTTCTTTTTCTCAACTTTTTTTGGCGTGGTGTTTTCATGTTTGCGAGAAATCGAACGATACCAGATACCCCCGAGCGGAATGGCATATGTTTTTGCAGACAAGGCGGTGCACATGGGATGGGAGGGAGAGAGAGGGGCGGGCGACGGCGGCGGATCGGGCACGGGACGTGCAGGACTCCGGGACGGAGTGAAGGATGGGGACACGGAAGGCTCCCTTATTTATTACATCCCGGTTTTCGTTTGGGAGGGAAGAAGAAAAAGCTGGGTGCTACACATAGGCCTTGAGATGGGGGGTGCTTCTCTGCGAGCATGGCGATTCGGCCGTGGGAGACACCTTGTATCTGCGTAGAGCGTTTGTGCACGACTACACTGTACTCTAGAAGAACGCGAGAGAAAGCGTGAATGAGGAAACAGAGAGGTATGAGAATACATCCTCCATTACATGTTCTTGCTCTCAAAAACGTGTTTAACTGTCGAGTTGTACACATGGTCGGCCCTCTATCTCCGCCTGCCAAAACGGAACTGAAGCTCGTCATCGCTGTCGTCGCTATCGGGCACCTCGACGGCCTTCCGTGGCGGGGCCGCTGCTCTGGGCCTCTTCGCCGGCTGCTCCGCCGCCGCTGGGGGTTCTCGCGCCGGCCGCTTGCCCTGGCTCTGGGTCGTGCCCTGGCTCCTCGTGTTGCGCTGCGACTGCGTGGCGCTGATGCGGGTGCTGCCCGTCCCGCCGGGAGCTGTGCCGTGGTTCGCCGCCCCCGTCTCCTCGTCCTCTTCCGCATCGCTGCTGTCTGATATGACGAAGCCCGAGTTCTTCTTGCGCTGGGACGTCCTGGTAGACGGCGGTGGCATCGATGGCGTGCCGGCGCTGGCGGACGGGTGGCTCGCAGTCGTTGCGGACGGCTGCGTCGTCTTCTTCCGCTGGCTACTACCCTCGTCTTCAAGCCAGTAGTTGTCGCCCACGCCAAACTCCTTGTTCTTGACCTGCGAGAGCGGTATGATGACCCTCGCGGGCTGTCGGCCTTGCTCCTCGCCCCTGCGGCGGAACTTTTTAAAGTTCTTCATGCCGTTCCACTTGGGATTCCACCGCCCGCTGGCAACGTCCTGGTCGCGGTTCGCGACGGCGGATGCGCTGCTCTGGCGCACGGGCATCTCCTCGACGATTTGAAGGCGGCGAATCTCTGCGAGGTCAGCATCGTCCGGCAGGTTGGCAAGGTCCTCCTTTTCGCGGCGAGCGCGTGCCTCTTCCTCCTCACGGTGGCGAGCCGCATGGGCGAGGACGTCGAGCTCCTTGGGGTCCTTGGCCTTTTTGGCGCGAGATGACGCCGCGGCGACATCAGCTGCAGCAGCAGGCTCGGGGGAAGCAGACGCGAAAGCATTGGTGTGCTCGAGGCGCTGGCGCTTGAATCTCGCCACGGCCGGAGCCATCCCGTCCATAAGGTCGTCTTCGGGTAGCGGCGACCCTCTTCTTTTCCGTGGCGATGCATTGGCGACTGAGTCTTGTTGCGATTGCGAGGCGTATGCTTCCTGCGAGACAAATAGGCCACCCTCGTCATTCCCTGTGTGTGGCTGCTCTGCGGCGGACCTGACCGATGACGGCTCATCCACATCCATATCTGCATCATCGTCGAAGCCCGCAAAGCGTCGTTTGATTGGCCCCCTTGCCCTCCCCCGTCGAGGGGGTGGTTGGTCAACCTGGTCGTCCGTAGGCTGTGACTGGCCATGGTTCGAACCAGTGTGTGCGGACGAGCTCGAGGGACGATCAGGAGCTGCAGGAGCCTCGCGCTGCGGAGGCCTGTCCCTTTGGCTGGGCATTGACGATTCCACTTCGAGCGGCCGCCGCAGCTGACTAGCGTCCTTGGCCAATATGGCCTCCAAAAATTCGTTCTGTTCAATTGGCCGATGGTCGAGGCGTAGCGATACGTCGGTGATGAATTGTGTGTACCAGTCAACCAGGTCGCCTTTGCCCGGCAGGTAACGGACGAGAACGACCCCCTTCCCCTCGCTACCGTCTTCGAAGCTGCCCAAGCCTTTCTCACCGGCCACGCTCTTTACATATCGTACAAAGTCATCCGGCAGCTCCTCGCCGGGATTGATGGTGTGGAGCATGGCCTTGCCGCCGCCGTTTGTGATGGGCGCAAGGAGGTTGTTGTATTGTGTCTTGTCGTAGAAGATGAAGGTGTACCCTTCAAAGACATCTTTCCGGCCTAGATCCGGCGCATATATGGTGTCAGGGTGTTGGACTGGCTCGCCGCCGCGGGGTGGCAGGTGTTGCATCGCATCAGGCCAGTACTGGGAGAAGTCCTGTTCCAAGGCGCTCGGCTCCAAGGCATCGCCCTCTTGCGGCGACTCCGCAGCCTGCACGACAGCATCGAGAAATGATTCCGTGACAATGTGCTTCCCGTTTATGAGGGCCTGAAGGCCCTTGGCTGTGTTGCGCTTCTTTGCCACGACGTGCGTGGTATGATCCGCGTTGTACTCGGTCAGGAGTTTGATATCGAGGGGTTCGAACTGGTCACGCAGTGACGTGAGAGGCTGCGTTTGCAGTTCCTTGTTCGTAAAGGAGAATGTAAAAACGACAGGGAACCAAGTTATCCTGTTGCGGTCAGCGTGACGAGTCAAGATGGAGCTGTGCAGGGGTGTAGACCAACCGAAACAGCTGGGGGCATTTGCCCATGACGAACTCGGCCTGCTTGCCCTCGACGACATATTTGGCCCCCTTGATCTTTTGGCCGTCGACTGTAGTTCCTATCTTTGTCTTCAGGTCCTCGATCGTGAGCTTGGAGCGGCTGGTGAGGTGGTGGGCGTGGCCCTCGGGAACGTCGTCAACGGTGATGGTCAGGTGCTTGCGCGAGATGGTGTTGTGGGAGATGGCAAGCTGGCCGGCTGCAGGAGTCAGCGCCGAGCGGAAGCAGAGAGTCGTACATCACGTACGTTCTGCGGCAGTTCTTCCAAAGAGGTACGTCTTGCCGGGCCTCAACCAGAGGCGACGACCTGGGTACACGTTAGCGGAGCGGGGACGGATGGGAGGTCGGGGCAGCGCGTGCCTTCAAAAGCCTCCTCATTCTCCAGAAGCCACATTGCGTGGGCCACGCGCCGCGGCGGAGCGCATTGAAGAGGGATGATATTATTCTTGACGTCGCGCGGGACCAAGGCGATGCTCGAGGAAGGTGACGTTGAAGCATCGTGAACTTTTTGTGGGGTTGACGAGGGACGCGTCGCACCTGGACGCCAGTTCACGTGCGTCGTGGCGGGGGTGCATCAATTCACTCTCTGGGGGTCCCTGGCTGTCACGGCCGCCTTTCACCCACCAACCACGAATGAGGCACGACCCAGTAACCGCGCAGTTCGCTATGGCCGTGACAGGGCGGTGCTGGGGAACAATTGTTTGTGATCCATTGACATTCTTCCTTTTTTTGATGTTCCCGAATGCGATGCCGCTGCTTATCGTGGCGTGCAACAAGACGCGTGCAATGGGCTGGCGATAATCATTGGCAGCTACCCGCGACTCTGTGCAGCTGCGAACCTCGACGGCCGCCACGCTTCATCAGTCAACGAACAGTGCGATTGATTTCAGCAATTGTCAGCTGGTGACAACGAACCAACTCCTTTGCCGGTGGCTGGGAACAGCTGACTATTGCTAGACTGGGCACGGCCCGGAGAGCAACCAGAGTCCCGATCCACGGTCGCATCGTGATGGGCCACCACCAGGCCACCTCCCTCCCTCTGCCAAGCGAGCCCAGAAGCACACGGGGCAGCTGGTGGAGGAATGATGTCAGGGACGAATGGAGGGTCGGCGTCCCGACACAGAGGGGCGGGCCATCCCGTGGCGCCGAGTCAAAGTGAGGGCCATTGTTCCACCCTCACTTCCTCTTTGAGCGTTTGTCGTCGACTCGACGTCGCTCGTACAAAGTGCAGAGCCCGATTAACTGCGTTCTACAAAGCCACCGGAGACAAAACCATGCATGCATAACACGATAGCGTCAATCCGTGTGTTTCCTTTGTAGCGAGCTTGGCCAGTCACTCTCCTCTCTCTCCTGGCCCCCAGTCCCCCAGCCACCCGCGAGACGTGCTGCTGCTCTGGCTGAAGTCCGTCCGTACCTTGCATCCCTGCAACCTCGCCTCCAGCCACCGATTTTCCTCTCGTCTCGTCCCCACCGCCCGTCTGTGCCGGCGCACTAGCGGAGCTTCTGCTCTGCTCAATTCTAGAGCTGTTCCCGCCCGACCACCGCATCGTCAGCCGCCATTGGTGCCCAGCCGGCAGGCGCCAAAAAGTTCCTTTGGGCGAACGGTGAAGCCGCCCTTTGGAGGACATGAAGACATCAAAGCACGACGATGCAACGCCATGCCTACTCAACGGGGGCCGAGCGATGCACCGTCGTAAAGGTTACTGGCAATTACCAAATCACTTCCTACAAAGCAGCGCGGGCTTGCGCGGGCGCCTGCAGTTGGCCTGCGGCGTTTGGACCCGGGAGCTGCGCAACATGCGACCCGCCGCCTGCTTCGCACCCCGGCCGCAGCCCATCCATCCCGTTGGAAGAGCTGCCTTGAAACAGGATTCTCAAGGACAATTCACCACCCGCCGAGTACCTTGACCTTGGTACCTCTTGCCTCTTATAATAGTACTAGCTGAGGTGTCACCTTATACGAGAGCCAGTCGGGCTGTCTGCCCAACAAACCGCGCCGGCTCCCGTCAGCCCACGCCGTCCGTCCAAGTTCTCCCGGCCTCTCCAGCTATATTCTCCATGTCCACCCGTAGCATTGCTCCATCTTCATCCTCGGAGCGTCATCGCCGCCCCCATCTTTCTCCCTAGCTCTGACTCGCGCGCTCCCCCGGCCACACCGCCATGTCGGCGCCGTACTGGGGCCAGCTGCCAGAGCCGCAAGTCGTCAAAGACCGGCGCCGAATGTCTGCAGGGCTCGACAGCAACGAAGACTCGTCTCGCCGAGCACCCAACCGCGCCTCCGTCCAGACCAGTTACACAGACGCCCTCACCGAGTCGACCTTTAGTCCGCACTCGCCCACGACGTCGAGCCTCGCCGACGCCGGCCTGGCCCCGAGACCGCCCTCGTACCAGCGCCAGAACCGCGTGTCTCGCCCGACCGACCACCACGACACCAGCCGCCCTGCCGTCGCTTCGGGTCTCTCGACGCCGCCTGCCGCTCCCGACGCACCTCGCGGCCCACCCGTCAGCTACCGTCAACCCTACGCCAACGGCGGCCTGCCCTACACATATCCGACCGCCGTCGCCTCGGCCGCTCCCCACGATTCTGAAGCTCCTCTCGCTGCGCCGCTGCGGGACGAAGACATGGAGCCCGAGGCATACTACACCACGAGGCACGACGCCCACTTCGATGGCTCGTCGCAGCTGCCGGTGCGCGACGTCGCGGCCAGGAGGGACGCAGACGTCGCCGCCCAGCCCCGTCGAGCGTCGGCCGCTGGGTCCTCGGCGGAACGTCGCAGAAAGTTGGCCATCGACCGATCACCACTGCAAAGGCTTGAGCTGACGCTCGATAGCATGACCAAGGAAGAGAAGAGGGCCCGGGTGCAGGCGGCAGAGCAGAGGGCGAGGCAGCGCGCAGCCGCAAAGGCGGCGGCAGAGATGCCCGTCGCAAGAGAAGCGCAGCCGGAGGAGCAGTACCGGACGGACCGCCACTTGCAACAGGCACCTCATATGGTGCCCGCGCCAGTGTCTATGCCGGCCCCCGTCTCGGTTGCGCAGCCAATGCCCCACGAACCAGCCAGGAGAGAGGTATCAGCTCGGCATGAGCCGCCATCACACAGCCATCCACAAGAGGACCATTACGATTATCGTCTCGCGCCATGGCAAGCACCGCAACAGAGTCCGCGGCAGCAACGCCAGCAGCCACGTCAGGCTTCACGACATGAGGCCGTCCCTCCTCAGCTGCCTCCTCCAAGACAGGAGCCCGTCCCTTCTCAGCTACCTCCTCCTACCGCGGACAGCGGCGTCCCAAAGCGCAACCTGAGCTTCCGCGAGCGCACTGCGCAGAACGATGGTAACTTGGTTGGAGGCGAGACACAGCCGGTGCCCTCTGGCGGCGGCTTTGCCCTTACCCGCAGCGGGAGCAACAAGCTGAGGAAGGAGCCCCCTCCAGAGGCACGCTACCGTCAGATGGGCGCCGAGAGAAGCGTGTCCATGAGACAGAACCCCACGGGCCCTCCCCGGCCGGAGAGAATAGTGCCCCTCGAGGCGCGAAACAAAGAATTGCCACCACCGCCGCCAGAGGCCCGCGGCGCTTTGAGCCACGATAATGAGCGTTATCCGGCGTTTGTCGAGAGTGAGCCTATGCACAGCATCCAGAGACGCGCCACTGAGCCCAGCCAGAGACACCGCGAACCCCAGGCTGCCCCCGTCACTAGCCACCCTCACGACGTCAAACTGCCCGCGGAGGCGCAGCCGGATCAAACCGCTGTCATCCGTCATCAGCCACCGCAGGAGGCCGATTCGGAGGCTTCACATCCACAATCTCACGTGATGCCTGCCATGAGGCGCGAGGATCTGCGCCCAGGTGAGGGCCTTTATAAGGCACCCGAGTGGCTGGATGAGTGGAAGAAGGGCACTACAGGGACGCTGTCTGGTGTGCTTCTCGACGTCAGTCGGGAGCAGCCGTCTGGTGCCGATCCGAACAAGGCGTGGTGGGAGACTGGACGAGCCGGCGGCAACAGCAACGCGACAAGGCGCAAGGCCGAAGCTTTCGACGGAGAATACGACGACACGACAGGTAAGCACCCCGGGCCCGTGAGCTGGCATACGCTGACTTTCACAGGGCCAACTCGCTTCAAGCCACAATTGTATCTCAAGTGTGGCCCCCTTCTGAGGTATTGCGGTATCCGCCGCGAGAGGATTCCTACGAGGTCCGGTGGCTTCTCTGAGCGCGAGATATGGCGGGGAAGCATCATGATCGTCACTCGAGACTCGGAGTCTTCGTACGAGATTGCTCCAATGCTGCGGCTCTTTGTCCAAAACGTTGGGCTTCTGCCACGGCCGCCTCATCAGGTGAACGGGGATCTCCCGCCCGAGTACGTCGACCCGATTGCCGGACATCCCAAACTGGGGCGCAGGGGCGAGACGCTGTATGTCCGCCCAGTGGAGCACCTGGAAGAAGCCAGGGACTTGTCTCGTGACGAAACCGACAATGGTCTCTTCGAGAAGACAAAGAGCCCGCCGGACGTCCTGCCAGACGATGGCTCTACCGATCTTCCAGGCTCGTTTGCGCGCCGTCGCAAGGCCGTTGGTGTCGATGGCGAGAAGCTACAAAAGTACAAGGATGTTCGGGGCTTCCGCCTGCACGCCGAGCGCGGACATACCTTCTGGCGCTTCAACATCGAGGTGGAGCTCCAGGCCAAGCAGCAGCGGATCGCCTACCGCATCAACCGAGGACCCTGCATGGGGTTCTGGGTCCCAGCGCGCGGAGAGGCCATGAACATCATGTTCTACAGCTGCAACGGCTTCAGCCTCAGCGCCAAGCCCGACGAGCTCAGCGGCCCGGACCCCATGTGGCGGGATGTGCTGAACACGCATCAGACGCAGCCCTTCCACGCCATGATCGGCGGTGGTGACCAGCTTTACAACGACTGCATATCTGACGAATGCCAGCTCTTTGACGAGTGGTTGGACATTCGCAACCCTCACCACAAGCACAATGCGCCGTTTTCGCCTGAGATGCAAGACGAGATGGAGGAGTTCTACCTTGAGCGATATTGCATGTGGTTCTCTCAGGGCCTCTTCGGACTGGCCAATTCGCAGATCCCCATGGTCAACATGTATGACGACCACGACATCTTTGACGGATACGGTTCGTACCCTGACCGCTACATGAACTCGCCCGTCTTCCGTGGCCTCGGTGCCGTGGCGTTCAAGTACTACATGTTGTTCCAGCATCAAAGCCTCATGGGTGAGACCGAGAACACGGAGCCAAGCTGGATTCTCGGAGACCAGCCGGGGCCGTACATAGGTGAGCTGAGCCGCAGCGTGTACATGTCCATGGGTGGCAAGGTGGCGTTGCTGGCGGTCGACTGCCGGACGGAGAGGACTGAACACGACGTCATTGGGGACAAGACATGGGAGAAGATTATGAACCGACTATACGCCGAGCTTAGGCGCGGACAGGTGGAACATCTCCTTGTTCTGCTTGGCGTGCCCATTGCTTACCCCCGTCTGGTGTGGCTGGAGAATATGTAAGTTCCCCAACAGCGCACTGAGAGGATTCTACTGACAAGCGAATAGCCTGACATCGCGATTGATGCACCCCGTCAAGGCTTTGGGGCGGACGGGCGTCCTCGGCAAGGCCCTCAATAACATCGATGGCGGCGTCGAGGTTCTGGACGACCTGAATGACCACTGGACAGCCAAGAACCACAAGCATGAACGCAGCATCATCATCGAGGACCTGCAAGACCTCGCCATTGATAAGTCGATGCGGGTCACCATTTTGAGCGGCGACGTGCATCTGGCCGCGGTCGGGCAGTTCTTCTCGAACCCGAAGCTCGGACTGGCCAAGCACAAGGACCCGCGGTACATGCCCAACATCATCTCGTCAGCCATGGCCAACGCGCCACCATCGGATCTCATGGCAGACGTGCTCAACAAGCGCAACAAGGTGCATCACTTTGACAAGCAGACGGACGAGAACATGATTCCTCTCTTCCAGCACGGTGTGGATGGCAAGGCCAGGAACAACAAGCATCTTCTGCCGCACCGAAACTGGTGCCAGATTCGTGCGTGGTCGCCAGGCAACACGCCACCTCCGACGCCGCCGTTGTCGGCCTACGACGGCAGCCCAAGCCCGCCGCCTAGCAACAAGGGTGGAATCTTCAGGAGGTTGTCGTCCAGAAGGCAGCCTCAAGCGGTTCGTTTCGACGGGTCGAGAGACTCTGTGAGAGGCCCCAAACCTCCTGTGTCTGGCGGCATGGGCTTCTTCCGCAGCCTCTCGCGACGCAACTCTACCGACGGGCGACGGCCGGCCAAACTCACCCGAACAATGTCGCTGGGCCGGGGAGACGGCGAGAAGAGGGGCTTCTTCGGGTTCGGGCGGCGAGGGAGCGAGAGTCGGCCCGACGATGGTGGCATCAACGGACAGTGGGGCGCCGACAGCGACGAGGACGAATACTACGGCCACCCGGCGCATCCTCCTCCCGCTGCTCGTCCGTCAGGCTTGCGCGGAGGAGGTACGTATGACGACGAGTATGCCGAGGGCGACGACTCGTACTTTACCGCGAGGCCGCTGCCGCCTCGTCGCGCGGTGACGCTGGGCAGCCAGCCTGCATCGGCCGGCGACGAGGAGGGTCCCGTCATCAGGCCATTCCACCGCACGCCGACGGGATTATCGACGAAGCAGATGAAGAAGGCAGAGCAGTACGAGGTGGATCTGGAAGGTGGACTGGACATTACGCTCAACGTCGAAGTCAACCCCAAGGATCCGACGGGAATCACAGTGCCGTACCGCCTGCTGGTGCCGCGGCTGCAGTACGAGTACGACCCGGCGAATGACGAGTTGGCGGCGTCGACGAAGCGGCCGGCTCAAGAGCCGCGAGGGTTCAAGAGGCTGTTTAGCATACGGAGGCGGAAGCAAGAAAAGGCTGATGAGATTGACGACAGGCCACCGAGCGAGGAGGATGAGGACGAGGACGAGGACGACTATCCACGGCGATGAGGTTGAGGTCAACGACGAATCATGAATAGTGCATATTGGATCGGTCGGGATGTTGCATACGACGGCGTTGGCCTGGAGTTTAGATTATTCGTCGCAGGTATATACGCTTGCGTCAAACAAGGTGGTATTCAGTTGCCGTGTTTATTGCCTCTTCAGGTTGTTTGCACTTGGTTGGTGGCAGCTAAACCGAGCTGGCGGGCTGTCGGCTCCGCGCGCGCCCATCAAACTCTCAACTGCCTGCCTGGGCTGCATGTATTAGGTGGTGGGCGGCGCCAGGGACGGCCCCACTGCAGCATGGGGAAGGGGCCGAAGGTGCCAGCTTGCCATCTTGCCTGCATCGGAAGCTCCACGTTACCGAGTACCTTACAGGCTAGCCAGGGCCTAGACCGCCCCCCCAAGCTGGACCGCATGTGGCAGTCGTGGCGCCCGCCTCCACCAGCAGACCCTCCGTACTGCACCCGTCCGCCCCGGAGAGCAGGTGACCTCCTACCTTGCCCGCCAAGCTACGGGACAGGAGTCGGCCAGCACCAGACCCCGACCTCCCACCTACTGTAAGGCTACAGTACCTGTGGCCGAACCCATCACCAGTCAAACGCCCCGCGACATCTCGTCGCCAGCATCGCCCATTCCTCAGGTCCATCCGGCAGCGTTCGCCCCCTGCCGATCGACCTGCCAGCCTGTCTAGCTGCCACGCAGCCACGGACCGAAACGAAACGCCGTCTCAGGAGCCGCGAGCCTTCTTGCCCGCTCCGCGTCGGCCTCAACGCCCGCCTCCTGACGCCCACCCGACCCGGGCAAGGGGCTGGCATGGCGGCGCCGCGATGATGGCTCGCCACGACATGTCCGCGCTCGACGAATTCAAGGCCGTCGCGCGGCGCCGCGCGCGGTTGCTCTGGGCGTGGGCGCGCGGGCCCGGGAGGCAGCTCGCCGGGACGCTCTCGCTCGCTGCGCTGCACCAGCTGCGCAGGAACCTCGCCCCGCGTCGCCTATTCAGCTTCCCGCACGCTCTCTTCGTGATATGGGTCATTATTCTCCTGTGGGGGGAGCGCTGGGTGTTTGAGACCAAGATTGCCGACTGCGACTGGCACACCTGGGAGCATTGGGTACGTGATGCCCCCTCGCTCGCTCTTCGCCCCCCATGGTTTGGGACTGTATCGAAGCTGACCCTCTCCGCAGCCCAAGGAAGCAAGGCCACACCACCTCGTATTCATCGCCGACCCGCAGCTCATCGATCCGCACTCGTACCCGGGCCGCCCGTGGCCCCTCAACCCCCTGACCGTCCTCGTCACCGACAACTACATGCGCCGGGGTTACAACGCCCTGCAGCGCCAGCTGAACCCCGACAGCGTCTTCTTCCTCGGGGACCTCTTCGACGGCGGGCGCGAATGGAAGACGAAGAGCGGCTCCTTCGTGGACCCAAAATGGGGGAGCTCGCGGTCTTCGGGCGAGAAGAAGTGGGTAAAGACGTGGCACCGCAAGTACGGTGAGGACTTTTGGGTGCGGGAGTACCAGCGCTTCAGCAACATCTTCTTCGACAACTTCAACGCCGGGGGGTCCAACCCGGGACCCATGCAGAGGGGCAAGAAGCTGGTTGCGAGCTTGCCCGGCAATCATGACCTGGGCTTTGGGGCGCAGATTCAGGTCCCCGTTCGCGACCGCTTTGCTGCCTTTTTCGGTGACGTCAACCGCGTCGACGTCGTCGGAAACCACACCATCGTGTCTGTCGACACCGTCTCGCTGAGCGCTGAGACTTCGCAGTTCAAGGGCCAGCATAACCTGCGGCCCATATACGGCCCCGCCAAGGAGTTCCTCGAGAACGTCCAGTCCACCAAGAGGAAGCTGGTCCAGGAGGAGCTAAGCGTCTGGCACGACACGGACAGAGATCTGCGGCTGGGCCACAAAGTCGAGGACATTGACAAGGCTGACACGTCACGTTGGCCGCGGGATCCTGGGCCCGGGGCGCCCGACTTTCCCACGATTCTGCTCACCCACGTGCCGCTCTATCGGGCGCCAGGCACGCCTTGTGGACCACAGCGTGAGCATTGGCCGCCGACGAAACCCCCCAAGGGACAGACGGGCGTCGTGAACCCGGACAACCGCAACGCCATCACCGTGGCAGGCGGGTACCAGTACCAGAATGTCTTGAATGAGGAGACGTCGGCCCATCTGATCAAGAGCGTGGGCAACGTGGTGCACGTATTCTCGGGCGACGATCACGACTACTGCGAGGTGAAGCACTCTGCGTCCAAGGGCGGCGTGCGCGAAATCACGGTCAAGAGCTTCAGTATGGCCATGGGGGTGCCGACGCCCGGCTTCCTCATGGTCAGCATGTACAACCCCGTGGGCGCCGACGGGAAGCCGACGGGCGAGGTCGGGACGACGCTTCAGACACACCTGTGCCTGATGCCGAACCAGATTCACACGTTCATGAAGTACGTGACGTTCATCATCCTCTCGCTCGTGCTCCTGACGGTGCGGGCGTTCCTCGTACCCGTCCTGAATCTGCAGCCGTTTGCGCTCGAGCCGGAGCAACGGACGAGCGTGCTGCCGCTGTTCAAGGACAAGGCCAAGGCCGAGCCGCCGGACTACTCGGCGCACCGGAACAACAGCTACAACCACCACACGTCGTCGCTGTCGACAGCCTCCAACGGCCACGGCAACGGCAACGGCGCTCGCTGGTCGTCGAAGAAGAGTGGCAAGCGGGCTCGTCAGTGGGGCGGCTGGGCTGGCGACCGCGGCGGTGGCGGCATCGGCGGCGGCCCGCGAATCAAGCTCGACGCCGACGACTTTTACGACGGCGGCAAGGGGTGGAAGGGCTCCGGCACGCGAGGCGCAGGGTCGTCGTTCCGGACGCTGGGGCGGGAGCTGTGGACGACGACGTGGAGGGTCGCCTGGATGACGGTCCTGTTATGGGCGTACCTGGCGAGGAAGGGCTGAGGCGGCGACACGGCACATGCATCGCGTTGCCGCATTCTTTCTTACATACATGCACCCGCGGCCATGGCGAGCGGTGTCTCTGTTTTTAAAAATCTAACACATGACGAGCGGCGAAAAGGAACATACAAGCACGCGCCCCCAAAAAGATGCCGGGGCTGACAAAGACTGGAGCAGCCCGGGCGGGAAAGGAAGGAGTCTGTATAATATGGGACAGGAGAATGGGAGGGGAGGGATGAGCTGATGATGCCTTTGTGGGCATTGGATAGGATAGGATGGGTGGTTGTTAAAAGACGGCTTTGGGCGGGTAGGGAGCTTTTGGTCCTCGGAAAGGTTGCGTGGGACTCTGAAAGCATTGCCATCATATCATCATCATCATTACTATGGTCGGTGTCACATTTGTCGGGGTATTATGGCGTTGAGCTTCGCCGAGTAAATCAAACTACTTGGTTCAGATGTCCATATTGTCAATGTGGTGTGGTTTCCACATTGGTGCACATGTGGTAAGTGGTTGTTGTGGGTATTATCCTGGCATGGCTATATCATATGCCTTACCAACAGACAGATTGATGATATCCAACACGTCGTTTTGTTCCTGAGGTCTTCTCTTGGTATCCGTCCAGATGATGGCGTGACATGATGGCCCTTGGGGCTTGTTGGCCTCGGGTGAAATGTGATGTGCTGGTTGGTGAGGGTTCCTGCTCGAGTGGGCGTCCTGCGGGCATCAAGTTGGGGATTTCCCTCGGCGGTGGGATCGGGACAGCTCGCCTGCTGCCTCCCTGTCTCCGTTGACTCAAGACGTGCAAGTAGACTTGCGTGGATCTGTGGGCATGCCAGCGGGAGTTGCGGAAGCGGGACGTGGCACGTCCAGTCCGCCCGCCGGCCAGAGCGGAACCTGCGCAGAGCAGAAGCCGGCCCCCTGCATGCTAGCGGTCCCCCTCGCCATGCTCACTCACTGTCGCTCTCGCTCTCGCTCTCGCTGTCTGTGCTTGCGTGCGCGTGCGTGCTTGCTTGCGTGAGCCCGACGCATCTCATCGACCGCCGCCGCCGCCGCCGCCGCCGCCAGCGCCAGGCCTGCGCGTCACGCCGAGGCGCTCCTCGCGCGCGCGCCTGGCTGCCTGCCCGGGCGTCAGATCCTCCTGCTGCCGCTGGGCCTGCGCCTGTTGCTGCTGCTGTTGTTGCGCTTGCTGCTGTTGCTGGCGGGCCTGCAGGGCCTCGCTGGCGCGGCGGTCCTCGTAGGCGGCGACGTCTTCGGCCGTGATGGTGAGGGTTGTGGGCGGGCGCCGGAGCATCTTGTCGTTGTTGTTGTTGTTCTTTTCTGTTTGGGTGTTGTTGATGGCTGTGTTGTGGTTTTTGTTTTTCTTGTTGTTGTTCTGAGTTTGGCTTGCGTGCTCAAGGCTGTCGCGCCAGTGCTAGTGAGCGGGCCCGTGAATAGGTGAGGGTAAGGCTGGTTGAGAGAGGAGCGGGTGATGAGACTCTGAGGTTGGATGGTGGGTTGTCGTGGAGGGTGGTGAGAGGGTGAAGGCGAGGTTGAGGTTGAGGCTTTGTTTAGGTCTGGCGCTGTGAGACTGCGGTGGTGGTGCCCCAGATGGCGTGTGTCTGTCTATCGGTGGCGTCGAGCGGCACACCGAAGCGTAGCGCGCTACAGCGGTGGGGCCGCCAGCGCGCGGCACTTAAACTTGGGCTCGTGTTTCTCTTGAGTCTGGACGAGTTTACGCTCCGAGTCTTCGGGTCATGACAGTCGCCATCCCATGCGCAATACAGACCGTGCGACAAGCAAACCCGTATAGTCCAAACCCCCATTTGAAACGCTGCTCGTTAGGCCATGCTGAAGTTTTCAGCATGCCATCATCGACATGCCGCAGTCGTCCATCCGTCGTCAACAACGGCAACATCGGTCTCAGGCATCGGCGCCGAGCAGCTACGCAAGAGGGGCAACGTCTTTGCCAGCGTTGCTGGCTTCGTCGTGGCAAAGAAAAAGGGGGGTTCCGATTTCATTAATAATATCTAGCATTGCTCATGCGGAAAAGAAGGGAAAAAAGCCACTGCCGTTTCCCCCCATGCCACGTCCTCTCCGGTTTGCCGCAATGTGGTCCCTGCCGCACGTCAAACGTGCGTGCTTTCCGTACCGGCATGAAGCAAGCATCTCTCGCGGGCTGTGCCATCAACAGCACGGAGGCTTTCGTGTCGTGTGTCTGCGCACAAGTTCTCACCCCGAGCCCGATTCGTCGTTCCTTCATGCCCTCATCCTCCCATCCCCGTAGCAGCAGTCCCCAAGTACTCGCGTCGTCCATTAGGTATTTGGATCGGGGGCACCTGGCCCACCGCTTCCCCTCCAGGTCCTGGAGCTGAGCCGCCCATCCCATCGGCAAGCAGCCTCGCTTAAAGGCTGCTCTCAACGACGCCGAATCCGATCATCGAGCCGCACGTACGCGACTCCTCCCTGCTGCGACTGCTGCTCCTGTCCAGACGCCGACGCCGCCGCCGCCGCCGCCGCCCGCGCGGAGACGCCCACGGCGTTGCTGTGCTCCCCCGCCGCCATGGGCGCCGCCGAAACGACAGCCCCAAGGAACGCAGCCGCGCCGCCAACAAGCGCCGTGCAGCAGCTGCCAAGCTTCATTTTTCCTCTCCTTTCCTCTCTTTTCCCTTTTTTTAATCGCCTTGTAATTTTCCCTTTCCGGGTTCCGTGCTTGAGCAAACGCGCGCGCGCGCTTCAAAGATGTCGTTCCGTTTCGGCTAGCGATGGGATCCCAGGCCTGCGTAAATCGTGGGCGTCTAATTGAAAGCAGCAGACAAAAAAAGACGCTCCTGACGATTCCGAATGAAGAAAGCTGCGAAAGATAGAGAGAGGGCAGAAAGAACACAAGGCCGGCTCGATGGACTGCGCGAGAAGAAATCAGAAGGAATTAAGGCGTCTTCTTTGTGACGGCAGACGTAATCGCGCCTTGCTCGCTTGCTCGCTTGCTCGCTTGCTTTCTCTCCGCGACGTGCAATGCAGCAAAAAAGGAGGAGACCAAAAGGTCGTGCGCGTATGCGTATCGAGCGTGACTCGCCGTTCGTTTCGTGCCACACAGACACCACAGACACGCTTCCTGTAACAGCCGATTTTTCTGTTTCTCCTTGCCACCAACCCCTGAGGAGCTACTATACGATCTCGCGGTACCTTCGGGCGGGCGTCCCTTCTTCCGTCCGACACACTGCCGGTTACAGGATCTCGCCGATGTGGTGCCGCTTGTTTTTTGCGCGCCTCCTACGTCTGCCGGGAACAGGGGTGGAGAGGGAGGACCAAGCGTGGTTTCGATGCGAATAATGGACGGCAGATAAGAACAGGGTGATGGGTGGCCGGCGCGACCAGAACCAGGTTGCTCGTGGTAAGGTAGTTCTAGGCACGGAGCGAATCGACGGGCGAATGTTCTTTTTTTTTGTCCTGTATTTGCGAGATGAAGCAGGAGATTGAAGTGCAGAAGAAGGGTGTTGTGTTATGTTGGGGGGAGACGAACGAACGCATGCATACTCCGTACATGCACACCGCAAATCGTGTTGTACGTACGGAGTACGTATGTCCAAAGCAACAAACACCAACGAAAGCGCGCAATTGGAGTTGGTTCTCCCTCGTCTTTCTTCTTATCGTCGTTGGTCCGCCGGCGGCGGCGGGGTACGTAACAAAGAACGAACTCCAACCGAGGAAGAGACGGACGAACGAAACGGAAAGAGTGCCGTGGCCGCAACGCCCTGTCCCAACGGCTCGTTGCTTCACGGAAGGCCCCCAAATTAAACTGTACATTTTCGGCCTGCTGCGCCCGCGTAGCCATCGCCGTTGATTCTCACGGCGCCGCGCCATCCGTCTGAGACACGGTGGGCGGGAAGGGAGAGACACGAGAGGCATGAGAGGCAAGAGAGGGTGCGGCGCGCACACAACAAAGGGCAAACACACAAATACCGCCGACCGCCCCGACACAGCCACGCTTCGAGCAAACAGCGCGCGTTAATCACGGACCGGGCGAGGCACGTCATCGCCTGTCCATCAAAGCCAGCGAAGCAAATTGTAAACCATGTCTCTAATTCGTCACGGATGCGGCAACGATTTCGCCGCATGGCCGTCTACCCTCAGACACCATGCCCATCGGTATAAGCCCCCTCTAAGCTAGCTGTTCTGCACTGCGGCCGGTCCATGTCACTGCGGTTTCGTGACTCTAGTCATACATACCCAAAGACTTCCGGACTCCATCAAGCAGTCCCCGACGCCAGGTGCCCGGCCGATCCGGTATCCAAAACCCCAAAACTCCATGTCTCGTGTCGTGTCATTAGCCATTAACGTCATGTCCCATCATCGTCCCTCATCCCTCGCTATCCAAGCGAGCCGTGCGCCTGTACCAGCAAGGAAAAATCACATCGAGTCGCCGACGTGCTGCGACCCCCAGCGGAGATAGTCGCCCAAGTCGTTCTCCAAGTTGCAGCTCATGGGGGCCATGTCTGCAACTGTCTCGCTCACGTCGCCATAGCCGTAGTCCTCGTTGCCCACCACCAACGGGTCCGGCCTCTTCATCGGCTTCCTTCCCGAGTTTCGGCGTATCGAAGGCGCCCAGTACGCCGGTTCTTCCATGGCTCTCCAGCGCTTGAGGCTGCTGCTGCGAAAGAATCGAATTGCGTCAAATGGGCCTGCTGTCGGGTCGATGGACCCGTCGCTGCGGCTGTGCGCATGATATAAATTGGGCTGTTCCATGTGGACTGGAATGGGGAGGTCCGCGTCCAAGTCGACCGTTGATGGCGACGACGAGGTATCGCTCTGTGATGAGCTCCGTGACGAGTCATCGCAGCTCGGGATGAGCTGCCCGTGCGTCTCGAATCCAAACTCATCGAACCACTCCGCCATCTCCTCAGCCATGTCTTCCTGCTCGTCCTCGTACAGGCCCGAGGCGAGATCTCCGGCGCCGCCCATGATGGCCATGTGGAAAGCCGTCCAGTCCACCGACTCGTCAACCTCCAACTCTGCGTCTCTCTTGGTCGGCTCCGGCCTGTGGCACGCGATGGGCCCATGCCGAAAGGAGCGATTTGTAAAAGAAATGTCGGTGCCATTCAAATAAATGAAATCGTCGTCCGAGTTCCTGCGCTGCTGATGCCGCGTCGTTGCGACTGCCGACTCCTGCAGCGACTGTCGTGGGCTCGAGTCCACTATAATCTCAGGTATCGTCGAGAGCCGTCTCGGCTCTGGCGTGAGTCTGCCTGGAGTTGGGCTTCTAGAAGGGGCCATGAGAAATGAAGTGTTGTCAAGGGGCATGTCGTCAGTCATGGCCGTGTACTCTGCAGACGCCTGACTAGATCCGCCTTGTTGCGGGGGTGCGAGATGCGTCGTTTCAACGTCAGTCACGGCATTCAAATGCCTATCGTTGACCTCGCTAGACTTCGGAGGCGACTCCACAGCCGGGGCATCATCGTGCGTGACAAACCGCTCCAGGTGGAAGGGCTCCTCTGGTGTGTCTGTCATGTCAATCTGCTCATTGTTCGAAACGTCGCATGCCAGCTGCAGCTTGGCCTCTTCTTCGGCTTCGGCTTGCTCGCGCTTCTTCTTGAGCTCTTCTATGCGCGCCGGAGTGAGCATCTCGTCAGCCACGATGCGTTTGAAGCGCTGGCCCAGAAGCTTGCTCCCGACGCCTTCCATCATTGCCCTGCGGAGGGCATTTCCACTCTTTTTGGCCGACCTAGAAACTCATATGTGAGCGGGGGATCACAAACTATCAAGGGCTTTTGCACTGACAGTTTAGGTTCTGCCGCTTTAGGCGGCGGCGGGACGGGCTGGAGACGCTCGGCCGAGGGCGCAGATGGACCTTGGGAATGGTGTCTGGGTACATTTGGAGATGGCGCTGCGAGATGGAGAGAGTCGGGCAGCCGCGAAACTGAGCTCGCGTCGTTGATGGCATTTCCGACGGCCTCGAAGGCCTGCTCCGTCTCCTGAATGAGCTCGAGGACGTTTGCGGATACCTCCTCGTCGAACTGTTGGCCTGCCCTCCTCTGCATCTTCTGGTCCGCCATGCTGATCGACGTGGCCGCGGACGCTGGAGAGACTGATCTGAATGACAATCCGTCGCTTCCATCGGAGATGCTACTTTCATAAAGGGAGCGCTCGGCTCGCAACCACCGTTGATGAGGCTGTCCGCTTTCGTCGGATTCCGGAAGACCCCCGACTGAGGGTGCGGCGGACGGCTTGTTGGCCAACCACCTACCAGATGACCTGTACTCGTCCCTTACACTGCTGGGGTCCGATTTCATGGAGGAGGACGCGGCGGCGGCGGGGATGGGCGGTACTGGGGCCAAGACACGATGGAGCTCCTGCGCGCTCCGGATCATCACGGGAGGATGGACAGCCTTGCGCATCAGTGAAGGAAGCCATGAAAGCGACTTTGACGGCTTAAAGGTAGCGGAGGCAGCATCTTTTAGAAGCGCTAGGCGGCTGACTCGCGTGACCTGGTCCACCGATTGGGTTGGGCGATGTTGGTTTTGCTGTTGTTGTTGGCTCTCTTGTTGGCGCCGTTTTTCCTGATAGCGCTCACTTTGGGAGGAGAGCCTCCCCATGGAGACGCCTGAGAGTCCGAAAGGCATTGTGATGGTTCTAGAAGAAGGAGAAGAAGAAGGAAAAGCCACTATCGGGGCGCAGATAGATGCGGCGGCTTTGCACGTGGATCAAAGATGGAGACCAAGAGGCTCAAAGCGACGCTGTCGACGAGCCACTTACACCAGTCGAGTGCCCGACGAGCCAGGAAAGGGACAAGGGCATAATACTGTGGTCGCCGCACACGCTCAGATGTGCGTACCGTGCAGTGTGCGGGAGACGGGAGATGGAGCGTCGTGGGGAGAGAGACCGTGGCCGTGGGCATGCGAGGGGCGCAATGATTGATATGAGCTACGTTCGAGGGTGGCCGGACGCAGTTCTGACAAAAAAAGAAGTCGCAGCTGGTCTGTGAAAGAAGCTGCAGCTGGTCTGTGTTCGTCGAGGGAGCTGGGGGAGGAGGTGGTGGACTTTGCTTTGCAGTTTGCACCCCGCCGAGTCCCGACGTGCAGCCATCTGGCAAGGCAGCACACTTTGGCATGAGGCGACGATGGGCTGTCGGTCGCACGGTAGCGCCGGCTGTCAGGCGTTCGATCTGCTTAGCGGCCGGCTACTGTCGCTCGTGGAGGGCTGAAGCTCGTGCCATGCAATGCACGAGTTGCTCGCCTCTGGCCCCGGCGCACACCATTGAGCAGCGCCTTGGCAGGGTTGGTTGCTATTCTGGTAGCGCAGAGGCGAGGGCGAGGGCAAGCGGCCACTGGCCAACGCCAGCGAACTGGATGCGTGCGGCCTTTGGTGCGGCATGGTGGTGCATGAGGGTGCATGATGGTTGCATGGTGGTGGATGGGCAGCGAGCGCAGGGATCGGCAATGCCACCTTTTGCTCGCCCTGGTCGCCCCAAGGCGTCTCAGCTGCAGCTGATGAGCCCATGCCATGACGTTCTCCCTGTGTCATTGCGTCTGTCATCGGGCCTGGGGGCTCGAGTCGGCCTTGTACCGGGTAAGAAAGAGTAAGAGCTAGCCGCGCGTCTGCGAGCGTCTGCGAGCCGTGGTTCCTTGTCTGCGTGCCATCCTCCCGGCACAAGACGGATTCGGCGTCTGCCGCGCAACCGAACTGCAATGAACGGCTGCAAGCCTCGGTTGGGGGCAAGATCTGGTGATGACAGCGGCCCTAGTTGGTGGCGCTCTGGAGAGATTCAACGGCGGGACGTGATGTTCTGGATCTCGCTGGGCCGGGGGGCCAGGGCTAACGGCGAGCAGCGTCAAAGACTTCCCCCAGCGGGCACGTCTGCCACCCGTCGTCACGGGGCCGCACGAGGTTGGGGGTGAGGCCCCATTGGCGGCTATCAGCACTGAGCGAACGAACGGGTGGAGCGGCGGTGCTGCAGAGCTGCAGAGGTCGGGACGGAGGAGTTGGTTCTGGATGGCGATAGCGATGAGCGACGACGAGGAGAGTGGGCCGCACCATTGCTGGGGGAGGGGCAGCCTAACAGTCTGGGGCTCCAGTCGCTCCACTGGACGCCGGCAGACAAATGCTGGGCTGGGCTTGCAGCCAACACGCCGCTACGGGTGAAGTTTTCGTGAGGTGTTTTAGGGCAGTAATTCGGGAGGTGCAGTGCTGAAAATCAGGCTCACAGGGAGCAGACAGGGGTCCTTTGCCTACCACTAGAACTGCTAGCCATAACTGCTCGCTGTCAGGGACCTGGTGTTAGCGTCCAGCACTGGCTCCGCTCAGCTCCACTACCAACCACACGTGTCTCGGGCGCCCACCAGCCACGTCTACCGTCGTCAGTCGGCGCCATTGTCACGGCCGGCTTACATCGGAGCCTGGCCTGCGTAACAATAGCGATTCTGCACAACGCGCCGCCCGCTGCCGAGTCACAATTCCACGACGCAGCACAATGCAACCAGACGCGGAGGTCGTCCTCCAAGAGCGACAACCAGCCACTGCGGCCCTTCCGAAGAGAGAAGCGTCGTCCAGCGTCCAACGGCATGGAGCACGGCAAACTAGACCCGCAGGCGTTTCTCCTCCTGCACGTCGTGGCCCCCTCTGGTGCAGAGGCGAGACCGCCAGCAGCCCCGACTCTGTCGCGGCATCATGCAGGAAGCGGCACCTGCTGTGAACCAGAAACGAGGACGTGTTCGAGGTAATAATGGGCATGAATCATGGTGCGAATGTCGGATCATCCGCTTAGCCCTGCGTCAGGCCCGTCAGCACCTCATCACCGCCCCCGTGTGTCAGCCTCGGCGAAGGCGGCAACATTTGGATTTTGGGGGCGGGCAAGGGGGCCTTTCCCGGTTTGCGTGGGTTCACAAAGTTCGAGCCGGGGTGCCTTCGGGGCATGCAAGTTTGATTGATGGGCGACGACGACCCGAAATGGGTAAAAGAGCGACCTCACTTTGACGTGGGTGGTGAGGCAGCCGACGCAGCCACCATAGCTGTGTCGCATTCAGACGACGTGTGCGAAAGTAAAAGGCAGCAACGACGTCTTCCCCTGGGCCGCCAACACCACGCAATAGTCTCCATGGTGCAGTACCGACAGACATAGATCAGCCAGATCTCCCTCGGCCGGATGGATGGGCGGCGACGAGCTTCAGTGGTGGGAACTACCGACCGACGACGGCCCTAGCGACTCGTGAGACAAGGCCTGGGCCCGCCTCGCATACCCCAGATCAAGGCGTCTGGACCTAACATGACAGACGCATTAGTTTTGCAACCCGTCCAACCAACAGGACCGCCGCGAGCACGACGACCGACAACATGGCAACCGACGGCATGATGACGCTGCTGCGGAATGGTTCCTGTGCTGTTTATACAAGACACACTCAGCACCTCCCATCCCAGCAGAGCATACGTGATAAAACAAGCAGGTGAGTACTTATGCTCGGAACCAAGCCTCTCCCATCAGCCATCCATCGTGGCACGTTTTCGCCGCAGCGCCATGCCGCCACGCCGCAAGACTCCCCCGCCACATGAATCGGCGGCATACGTACGTACCTCCTCACTTTGCGGCCGAACCTAGCACAGCGGCGAGCAGTCCATATGGCAGCCTGCCATCCTGTCGTGGCGTTTCAAACATCTTCGTCCTGGCCCGGGCGCTAGGGCTCGCCCTCGCCATGGGCGTGGCACCGACCACAGCTCGCCCTCGGCCTTTTCTTGTGTCCGACCATCTGCACGTGTTGCCGCCTCCTCTCACCCAGGCCATGACTCTTTTACGTGTCGATAACAGCTTCTTTGTACTGTACGTCCGAGCTTTTACATGTAAAGGGCCTCTGTCAAGCATCTGCCTTGACCCCTTGCGTCCAGCCATCGGCCCGACGCTGCATCCCTCCTACCTATAGTAATTCTACTCGGGATTATATTCACCAGCATCGTCTCCCACGACTCAGCGTCAACGACGAGAAAAATCGAACCTCTCTCGCATGGCCCCTGCATTGGCCTCGCTGGGGTCCAGATGCCCCCCTCGCGGGTGGCTGGCATGGCTGGCATGATACGTAGTGCCGGCCCCCAGCGTGGCGCCGTGGCGGCTATCTGCCGTGGACCAACATGCAGCCAGGCAGCCCATGCATCCATCACCGGCATTGTAGATGACCTGTCGCTTGGCACGCTGCTCAGCTTCTCGTCCGGTTGCCCTGATTACGTGACCATAGCTCTGCTCAGCTCTGAAGCCGACCGGTGTTGGTTCAAGCCAAGCATGCATGCTCAAACTATGTACTCTTCACATTGATCCTACATGATAATTCAACCGGTGGTTAAACAAAGAGTCTGGATTCGAGAGAACAATAAAGTTTGTCTAATTCAATCGCTAATGGTCGTCCACTCGTGTCACTATATACCTCATATCTTATTGGCACCCACAATCCACCAAACATCCTTCCAAACGCAAGCTCGCAAGCACTCGCTTCACTCTTTTCCGAGCACATCAAAGATCGTCCCTTCATCCCTCAGCCAAGTCATGTCATGCTCGGTAGCACGGCTGTGGCTGGCAACGCGTATCGAGGCCAATCACAGACACCTCACTTGTAAAGCTCCCCCAGCCCTTTGTCGTTCATGGAGGGTTGAAGCCAAGCCACGCGTTTGAGCCGCACGCACCACCTCCTCCCCCTCCTCCTTTTTGCTTGCTTGCAGCCGACAATCAGTCGCTTTTTTCCGTTTTGCACGGACTTCCGTTTTTTTTGCGGCTGCGCAAACGGTCACGCAGCGCCGTTTTCCCCCTCACCAGACACCATGTACGGCACTTACGCGTACGGCGCCATGCAGTGGGTAGGTAGGTAGGTATGCTCTGCGGCGCTGCACATGATGCCCTCTCCCCCTCATCCGCTGGGTCTGTCTTCTGTTGTTGGAGACCGCTTTATACCTCCAACATGAGCATCACCCGCAGACGCCCGCCGCCGCCGCCCCCCTCATCCACCTCCACACCGCGCGGGGGAGGGGCAATCACAGGATGCTGTTCGCCTCGCGCATCTTCCTGGACGTGCCCGTCTTGAGGAACGACGCCGCTGCGTGCGTTGGGTATCGCGGGGGTGTTGGCGGCGTGGCCCCCCGCTTGCGACCTCCTCCCAGCAGTGGGCGGCAGTCGTCCACGGGTCCTCCTCGCCTCCGCCTTGACGCGTTGCTGCTCCTCCTCCTGGACCCCTGGTGGCGCCAGCACGTAGAGAACCAGCCTGCGACGGATTGGACCATCCTGCAGGGTAGCTCGATGATGTGTGGGCAGCAGCTGCGGCTGTTGTGTGCCTTTTCGTCACCGTCGCCGTCGCCGAGCCTGATACCTCTGGAAGGCATGGTTTCTGTGTAGCTATGTGTGAAGTCGTGCTTGTGATTGTTTCCGCGTGAGCGTGTGTGAGAGCGCGTATGTGTACGCGTTGCGTGGGATTGGGTTGATGTTGTGTCGTCGTGTAAGTGTAGGGATGCGTATCAATCAGCGACCGGGGCCACGGCAAGAGCTCAACCTCCGGACGCAGCGTCAACACTTCTTCTGCTCGTGGGAGATTGTTTTTTTTTTTTTTTTTTGCTCTGAGAACAATGCTCGACGTGATTCAGGATTTTCTGTCCAAAGACTTGGCGCCCTTTTTGACGGCCCTCGCGTCTCCCTTGATGACAGCCCCCCGCTGCGATATTCCATTCCAGTCGCCTCGTCACCGCCTGGCTATCTACGCCAAAAGTCTCAGACAGCCACGCCAGGTCGCGAGGATCCATCCTCCCAGGCCTCGCCACTGGTGCCACATACCTGAGAAAGCGGGCGCGAGGTTGGCAGGGCGCACAAGCTCGTCATCCGCCCGCACTCGAGCCGCCGACAGCTGGCGCGGCTCGACCTGATGCCGCGGGTGGATCACACATGCTGTGCACCGGCAGCGACACCGCCGTGCATTTACCTCTGAGCGAGACAAGGAATTGCTTCACCCAGAAAAGAAACGACTCGGTAGTACAATTCGCTGCGAGGCCATCTAATCATCAGATCAAAGGTCATTCCTCTTCCTCCTCAGCTTCCGCGCCCTCTTCCTCCTCGTGCATCATGAACGGCACGAATCGAAAGTCCAAAAAGCTCCGCTTCCCTCCTTCCATATCGACCATGAACTGCAGACTCAAGACCCCTTGCCCGTCGCCCCGTAGACTGACCTTGCTCGCTATGCGCATCGCCTCCGTCGAGCTCTTGATGAAGTCAAACTTGAATGTCTGCGACCATCGGCTGGCAATGTTGAATGTCTCGAGCAAGTCCCTGCCTCGCGCAAAGTCCACCCCAGAGCTCCCGAGATCGCTTGTACCGGCCAGAGACAGATAAGGCGCCGTCTTACTAGCGGTGATTGTTAGCCTCTCGGGTGACGTTGGGGAAATTTCCGCGAGCGAGTCCAACAGAGTACGTGACTGCATAATGATCTTGAACGTGAGGTCGGTCCGGTCAAACGGGATATCTTCTGGCACCTCAGGCAGGTAAGTCATCAAACCAGCCGTGGTCTTGACGCCCGACTCCTCGATTGTGATTTTGAAAGGGTCTCCCTCCTCGCCGTAGAGTAAGGTGCAGGTCCCAGAAATGCCCAAAGTCTGGTTACTAAACGCGTCAGGCTTGTAGTTGCGTAGGTTGCTCCGGTACGGGTCTGCCTCGGCCTTTTGCGCGCGGGTTGCCACATCGACAGCCCCAAAGATCTGGAGGACCTCCAGAAACGATGCAAGAGATATTTGGAAGTTGGGAAGCTCCGGCGCTTCCCCGTCTTCGGCCGGGGGAAGGTTGACAGAGTACGCAGAGAACAGAGCCTTGTCAAGGAAGGCAACACCTAGAGATGTCAGCGCAAGCCACCCACCTTGGGCTGGAGCACATACCCTGCATAACGCGCGCATGGTCAGACGCGAATCTTATGCCTTCCTCCGTAATTTGGACGTGGACTCTTGGCGCGAAGTTGATGCACCTCAGAAGCTGGTACATGGGCCGCGTGGACGTGGCCACGGCCCGCAAGATCGGGGGCGCATCGGGCGCCATGACAACTTTCGTTCGAGATCTGCCCGAACTGGCAACACAAGTCTGAGAAAAGACAAACTAGAAATCAAATGACAACGGGCTCGGTGGCGCTTCTTTTTCGTGTCCAACTAATGTACAGGTGTCCGGCCGGCGTGCTCGAGGGTCGGGGTATCTCAGACGTAGACTCCGACTGCACAGAACATATAAACGACTCCGAATCTGCGGTTGGTCAGTCTTGAGGGCGCAGGGGCGTTCGTTCGAGGCGGAGGGCACGTACGCAATCGCCAACGAGGATGGTATACCCAGGATCGTGAGGTTAGCCAGCGACCGATCTGCGCAAATTAGTCCCAGCACCTTCCGCCAGTGGCTGCAGTAGGAATGCATACTCAGTGCAAAGACTCCCGTGCCCACGAGTCCGTTCGCCAACAGCACGAATCCGACCAGGAACTGGCTACCCTTGCCGACCGTGGGGAGAAAGGGACTGCCTGCAGCAGCTTGCCAGACCTCTTGCAGAGAGGAATCCATGTGCCGGGTCTGAGAGCGTCGCTCGGAAGTTGTTAATGAGCAGGCGAGTGGCTTTCGTGTGCTCAATTGTCAAGCACAAAGGCGCAATGGGGAGTATGGCTATGTCGAGTAATGGGGGAGGTTGACGCGGAGCTGGAGCTTCCACCCGTGCGTGCAGTAGAGACATCGTGGCCATACTTCAAAGCGGCTTAGCGTGGATTTCCCCTGTCGAGCAGAACCGCAGGCTGCATAACGTAAGCAGCGCACGGACCATGCCTCCAGCATTAACGTGCAACCCGCCATCCCGCCTCAGCGACGCGACCTCGAAACTCCACTGCCGCCACTGGTGACGCTTCACTCCGAATCCTTGCGTGCAGCCCACGTTGCCTCACGTCGGTCCTAGGCAGCCGCAAACATGTCCGACATCAAGGAAGAGAGTGCGTTTTGACACCCCCTCAAAGCTCTCGGCCCAGCGATCGGCTCACACATGCACAGGTGCCAAGCGCAAGGCCTCAGAGGACCCCTCCTCCCCCTCGGCATCGAAGCGTATTAAGCACGACGACTCTGCCGAGCCCCAAGAGGACAAGAAGCAGGAAGCAAAGCCGATTCCCTTCCCCGACAAGGTTCGAGCCCTCACGCATGATCCCGCGATTCTCGTGACTAACGACAGCCCAGCCCGCCGTCATCGAAGAGCGAAATGGCGAAATCGAGTTTCGCGTGGTCAACAACGATGGCGACCGCGATTCTCTCATCATCCTCACAGGCCTGAAATGCATTTTTCAGAAGCAACTGCCTAAGATGCCCAAAGATTACATTGCGCGTCTGGTTTACGATCGGACTCATCTGTCGATTGCCATTGTCAAGAAGCCTCTCGAGGTCATCGGCGGAATCACCTACCGCCCCTTCAAGGGCCGCCACTTTGCTGAGATTGTGTTCTGCGCTATCAGCTCTGACCAGCAGGTCAAGGGATATGGCGCCCACATGATGTCCCACCTGAAGGACTACGTCAAGGCGAGCAGCGACGTGATGCATTTCCTGACATACGCCGACAACTACGCCATCGGCTACTTCAAGAAGCAGGGTTTCACCAAGGAGATCACGCTCGACAAGAAGATTTGGATGGGCTACATCAAGGATTACGAGGGCGGCACTATAATGCAGTGTTCGATGCTTCCCCGAATTCGGTATCTCGAGATGGGTCGTATGCTTCTTAAGCAGAAGGAGTGCGTCCTGGCCAAGATTCGTGCCTACTCCAAGTCTCACAACGTCCATCCGCCTCCTAAGGAGTGGAAGAACGGCATCAAAGAGATCAACCCGCTCGACATTCCTGCGATCCGCGAGTCCGGCTGGTCCCCCGACATGGACGAGCTCGCGCGCCAGCCGCGCCACGGTCCCAACTACAACCAGCTCCTGCACCTGCTGAACGACCTGCAGAACCACAACTCGGCGTGGCCATTCCTCGTGCCCGTCAACCGCGACGACGTTGCCGACTACTACGACGTCATCAAGGAACCCATGGATCTTAGCACCATGGAGACCAAGCTCGAGGCGGATCAGTACGCCACGCCCGAAGACTTCATCCGGGACGCCCGCCTCATCTTTGAGAACTGCCGCAAGTACAACAACGAGAACACGCCGTACGCCAAGTCTGCCAACAAACTCGAGAAGTACATGTGGCAGCAGATCAAGGCCGTCCCCGAGTGGTCGCACCTCGAGCCGGAGAAGTAGGACTTTGTGCCAGGGCCGAGGGGCGACAATGTCGTCGCTGCCGCCTCTCCTGCTAGAGGACAAGGCCAGAGCCAGGGGCATGGCCAGAGCCAGGGCGGATCATCGCAATCACGACCCAGGTAACTTTGCAGTTCCCACGCCATTCTGCAGGCGTGCGGCTGTTCCAACAGTTACTAACTGCGGCGGCCGCGTCTGTTTCCCCGCAATTGCAGGATTATTTTACATGTTTCCAAGGCCGGAAACAAGGACTGAATTTGTTTAGCGAGGTGTTTTGGTTTCACGGCTATGGCGTTTGAGCGGGACGGATACCATACGGACGGGCTGGGCTGGGGTTGCCGTACGGCCGGGGCTGGATCGGTTGGAGTATTGCCCGACTGCTTTGTCTTGAACTACGGACTAAAGTGAATCGAAGCCAAAGGCACACTGCTGCTGCTGGGCTTTACATGTGAAATCACTGCATGAACTCTATGGTGTCGCACCAGGTCAACGGGGCAAGCTCGTGATACAGATGGGCGTGACGGAGACTCTATTCTCGAAATGGTACCGGGGACATGATCTGAGATGCCGCCTCGTACCTCACAAAGTGCCTTCGCAAAGTAACCTACTCCCAAGCCACGCGTGGGAACCGACACTCATGCGTACAACGCACGCAATCGTTCCATGCGAGCCGGGCTGCTCATCTAGACCTGCGCATCATCCACCGCACACGTCCTCTGACGACGACTTATCAGCAGGACACCGACCGGGCCGCGCCCAGCACACGCCCGCCCGCCCGTCCGCTCGTCCGCCTCGGCTCACGCGGCCCCCTCAACAAGGGGAACCAGGCAGCCAAACAAGCTCTTCGCTTCGGAAGCGGAGATCTCGTACCTTTCTTCGCCTTCCCACTACCTCCTTTCCTTTTTTCCTTCTCGGCTTCGTCACATTGCACGTCTGCAAAGGGCACCCAAACAATATGAGAGATCAAGTATAGAAACGCCATCCCAAACGCCTAGAATCCCTCCCTCAAGTGCAGGCCATGACGGGGCCAGGAGGGGGAGGACTCGATAAATCGGACGCTTCCATCAAAGTTATTTTAAAGCGATTATTCCTCAACGCGTGTGCAGTCTTGTTTCGGCTCGCTGGTGCGACATGCGTACAATCGTCGTGTTCACTCTAAGGAGCAGTCAATGCTCCTGGAGCTCAGAGCTGTCTATCCGACAAGACACGGGGGTTCAATCAAAGATGCAGTCATCAGTTTCGTAGAGTGTCGACATGCCGTCGTGGTTAGGCCCCCGATGCTTCGGCAGTCCGCGTTGTAGTGCCTGCCTCGCCGCCTGGGAGGCGGAGGCCTGAAATCGAACGTCGCTGCACCCACGGCGCGCGCGACAGGGCGCTATCGTCAAGCGAAGGGAGCCGAGAGGAGGAAGTCGTCGACGGCGTGGCAGACCTGTCGCTGGGGGTCTGTGTCCCGGCACTGCCGCTGCTGGTGCTGCCCAAGTCCTCGGCGTCGATGGTCCGGCGCAGGACGGGCTGGAGCAGCTCGGGGATCTCGGACCACTGCCCAGCGCGGGCGGCGTTGAGCATGCTGGGGGGAACGAGGGCTGCGGGGATGACGGAGGAGCTCGTGGCGGCCCTGTGGTACATCTGGTCTGTAATGCGGTCGGTGATGATTGTCAGTTCGCCGGATTCGATGGCGTGCTTGAGCCACTGCTCCCACTCCTCGTCCAGGACAGCCGACGTCTCACCAGCCTCTCGCCTCGCCGCCTGGGCGCGAAGGCGCGCGTTCAGCTCGACGCCAACGCTCTCGAGCTCCCCGTCCGTCTCGTCATCTTCGTCCTCGTCCTCGTCTTCGTCGTCCAGCATGCCCAGGCCGCGGATCGTGCTCGTACCGACGTGCTGCTGCTCATCGCTGAGGCTGTTGGAGCGGCTGGTGTAGTCGGGGATCTCGGTCCAGTCGGGGAAGCCCTCGTCGGTCGTGTCGCGGATGACGATGCCCTGCTCCGCCTCGAACTTCTCCTTGGCCCATTTGGTGCCCTCCCACTTGGTCAGGCCGGCAATCTCGTTGGGGGTGAGGTCGAGGTTGTTGAAGGCGCGGAAGAGGCGGCGGTGCCAGGGCCAGCGGCTCAGGCGGATGCGGTGCGTCTTGTGGTTGTAGTCGAGGCCGGGGTACTTGGCCTCCTGGGTCTCGAGGTGGCCGTAGAAGGAATGCGTCTCCTGGCGGACCTCGGGGATGAGGTAGCGCTGGAGGAAGGCGCTGAAGTGTATTGGGTCGTTAGACTTTGGCTTGGGGAACATGCACTCGTAGACGAGCTCTTCGACGGGGCGCCCCTTCATCTTGACGGCGGTCGCGGCCTCGAGGCGGGGACGATTTGCGAAACAGTGACAGTTGTGCAAGGCAGCAGTCCTGGCGCAGGGTCGGTGAGGGAGAGGAGAGATGAGGTGGCCAGTCTCGTTACGAGTCACCGGGTTGGTGGGTCGTTGTTGGGGAGCACGGATGCTGGGAGCACGTACTCGTACGTCGGGCAGGCGAGGGCAGTGTCGATACGGGCGGGGAGTCGGGCGCCTCGTCTGCGGCGCTCGCTGACTCGCGTGTCGTCGTCGTTGGAGTCGTCGATGATTCTCGTCGAGGCGTTGCTTCACGCGGCCAGCGGCGTTGGCACAGGCAGGCCAAGGACAGTCAGCCCACGGCCGGCTGTTATCGGCTGGGATGTGTTGCGGTCTGGCAGCCGGGCGGGTCCGGGGCTCTCTAGCTGGGCGGCGGCGGCGGCGGTAGCGGCGGCAGCAGCAGCAGCAGCAGCGAAGGCGACGGGCAGATGACAATGATGACCACGACGCACGGTTTGGAGAGGGGGCGTGCGTGGCTGCGGTACGTTCAGTGAGAGGGGATCCAGGTGGTTGCAAGGTGAAGAATGCGGCGGAGTGTTGTTGGGCGAGAGGAATGGAAGGGCAGAGAAGGAAAATAAAGGCGGGACGGGGGTTGGTGGTGGTGGTGGGATGGACGACATCTGCGGATGGAGGAATGGGATGGATGGATGGATGCAGGAGCGTTTCCGAGACGGGCGACATCCATGGCTGGGGGGCATGGCATTGGGGCGTGGCCTGGATGACGGGCCCTGGATGGTGCCTTGCGGAGGCGCCAGCCCTTTGGGCGGCCCGCCAGTGGCTGCCCGGAGAGCCCTGGCGGGCTGCAAGTGGTCTGGCGGCCAGGTGAGGTGCCCGTGGGATCCCGCCCAGGCATTGGATCCAGGGCTGCAGTGGACGACCTCCACCGCACCCACGGGTGCCCTTATTACCTGAGGTACGCCCGGAAGCACGCCACGCCATCAGCAGCGGACTTGCGCAAGGCGCACCTCATCATCCAAGGATCCACCTATCCATCCACGCCCGGAGCCGCCAGAGCAGACCTAACGTCAATGACCCGCTGGCTGTTGCCTCGCCGGCTGCGTGCGTCCAGGTCCGCGTGTCTGCCTGTGCTGTGCTTCCTCGAGTCCATCTACCCGGAACAACAAAACATATTACTCGCACAGAACGCCCGCGTCATGCAAGCTGCGAGCAATTACCTATCCCTTATCCCCCCTCATCCACACGCATCGAACGGCCGTTCGTCCGCGACTTTCCATTCGCGTGCTTGAATGTCAACGCCCGCAGCATGTAAAGGGCCAAAATGTGCCGTGCGCCGCTCCGGGTCTACTTCGTCCTTTGGCCTGACCCATCATGCTACACACAGCCTGGCGCAAGGCACCACGTCGCGGCAGTGGTGTCGCACGGGGTGGGGGAGGAGCAGGTATGCACAGACTACACGAGCGTCTCCGTTTGTGCGCGACAGACACGGGTTCGTGCAGCCAGTGTTTGGCCCCGTTGATAGCACGACGTCCTGCTGCTGCTCCGGCTCCTCGCCGGGCCGTCGCGCTACGTGCACTTCATAACCGTCGACTTTCACTTAAGCCCTTCCAGACTGCGTAATCCCCAAATCGCAGACTTGCAGTCCTTGTTCGACTCACAACACGGTCATTGTCGCCGGCGTTGACTCATCCCTATCGCGAGACTGCATCGTGAAAGAACCAGCAGGTGCCTCACGTACTTCGTAGTCACTGCCTTATCTATGGCCCAGACGCAAGGCATCTTGTGCCCCCCCACCACAAGGTGGTTCCCGTCCGCCATCGTGGTTGTCCTCGTGTCACATGGCCCATCGGATCTCATCCCGTCCTTGGCGCCTCCCACCGTACCCCCATCTCCGCGCTTCCGCACCCGTGCGGAGCTCCCTCCCGAGCGACGGGGCCGGCACCTCCTCTGCCGCTGCAGTTCGCCGACCCCTCCCACGCCCGGTCCATTGATTGTTGAAGCAGCAGCGCGGGCTTCAAGAGATGCCTGTCTTAACAATCTTGTCGACTACTGTAAACGCTTACGGGTAAAGTATGGCAGCCTGGTATAACGGGTGCGGTGAATTACGCACTACAGAGCCCCCATTGCCAAAGGAGAAGAGAGAGACGTCTCTCGAGTTCAATTGCCTATCCAGGATCAGAGTAGTGAAGGCATCCTCAAATCATGCAGTGCTCGACGCCCAAGCAAATCCGTGACATCATCAGATTCATAAACCATGGTCATCAGCCGCGTGCTGCGCGGGCTGGAAGTCGTCGCTGCTCATGCCATCGTGTATATCGCATCCCATGCGCCTGCGCTCCGCTTCGAACTTCAGCTATACGCCGCCTCCGCGTACCGCCGCCCCGAGACTCCAGTCGTCGGCGGCACCGTCGACTCGTCAGGCGACCGCCTCTCCCACTTCCTCCTGTGCTCCCTGTCGCGGGGATCCCAGCCCGGCTGGTCTCGCTGTCGGTCAATGTCGGCGTGGCTGCTGGTCCGCCGTTGCGTTTCCGGCCGGCGCAAGTACGGCCGCTCGCGGCGACCGCCCGAGTCCCTGTCGCGCTCGTCGTCCCAGTCCCGATCGGAGTCTCGGACCCGCCCGCGCTGATACCGCTCCCGCTCCCGCTCGTCCCGGGCCCGTCGCCTTCTCCGGACATCGTCTGTGGGCCCGAGTTCAGACGAGTCGTCCGAGTCAGGGTCGGAGTAGCTGCGGCTTAATCGCGAGGGCTGAAACTGCTCGCGACTCCTCCGCACGCGGATGGGGTCGTTGGACGAGTTCTGTCGTGAGCCGGCTCTTGGCCGGTCCGAAGTGAACCCGTTGGGCAGAATGCTCGACACTGTCTCGCTCAACTTGCTGCGCAGAGAGCCAAGCGGGCTCGGCACGCTTCGCCGTTTCGGATCGTCAGATCGCGTGTCGGAGCGGTGCGGGCGGACCCCCGAGGCGGCTGGTGGCGGGATGGGTGCACTGGGAGGCACAAATCGGCGGACCGACGGCGGCGGAGGCGGCGACACCGGATGGCGCCTTCGCTTGACCTTGTGGTTGATGGGTTCAGGCATGGGTTCGCCATCTGAGGACTCAGAAGACTGGTGCCTCGGGTGGCTGTGTCTCCGGGGTTGCTCTGTAGGCCGCTTGAAGCCTGGATCGAGATATGTCGAGGAATAGGCGTGAGGGGGCATATCGGGGTGTAGGGGCTCCGACGTGTAGTCGGAGAAGCTCTTTCGTCTCGCTCGATCTTCGGCAGTCTCCTCCCGGCGAGGAGACCTGTCCGAACGGCGTGTGCTGGCGTGGCGCCCCATCGGGACATGTGTATAAGACATGGGACGCCCAAAGTAGTCGTTTTCCGTCGCTCTCGGACGTGGCGACGACGTCGGTTGGAAGGGATTAACATGGACATAGGTGAACCTTGGCGGAGGTTGCTCCGCGGCTGGGGATGGCTTCGGCGTAGTGCCTTCTTCGGCAGAGGATGCGGCCTCGCTCTTGAGCCTGTCGGCGCAAGACTTGTGCCAACGGTCTACCTCGACGTTGGGCTGTGTCGGGAAAACGGTCGCCGGAAGCTCAGGCGGAAAGTCTTCGCCCGTGTCGGGGTGCTTCAGGGCCCAGTTCTTCACCGCATATTGCAGGAAGGGGACATGTTCCTCGGGGCCGAGCAGGATCTCGAGCGACTCCCATCGCGAGAAGCCGCGAAAGGTCAAGGCAGGGATCGAAGGGGGTGCGAAGTCGTCGCTTGTAGGTTGGAGGGAGTGCTGGCAGCCGGTGACCTGCCAGACGTACGCGATGGACGGGTGCGTCATATCGATGAAGAGGGCTATTGCGCCGAGGCGGTGAGTCGGTGAGCCACATCGCGGGGACGGACGGGTTTCACATACAGTCATAATCGCCGCCGACGGCTTTGTAAAAGGCGGCGAGCTTGGTGGGCGTCAGCTGCGCATCTTGCCTGTCGCCAATCTCGAGGATCTTGCGGCGCGCAAAAGTGTCAGCCAGAGGATCTCGGGTCGCGATGCGGGAGGCGGGCTTACGATGTGGCGGGCGATGGCGCGCAGCAAGGCGTCGAGCTGCTTGGTCGGGGCATTGTTCGTCTCAAACATGTACGAATACTGCAGCGCAGCGCCGGGCGTCGCGTCCGAGCCGGACGTCGACATGGTGGAGGATGGCTGTCTGCGAGCCGGGATCTCTGACCGGCATCAGGCGCAGGCAGACGGGCTGAAGGGGAGCTGCAGGATAGTGGCGGTGGAGGAGACGGGCGGCGGGAAATGACGACAGAGCATCCGGATGGTTCGAGGCAGCGCTGGGTACACAGTATATCGGGGCGCGCGGTGTATAATAAAAACAAAGCCGAGGTGTCGTCTTCCAGTCACAGGCCGAGGGTTGCGAGGGGTGAGAGGGTTGTCGCCTGGTCTGTGCCTGGCGGTCGCGGCGCGCAACAGGCGGGCCGGGCAGTTTTCGTGGTGGAGTGAGGTGACGGACGAGTCAGAGGGACGCCGTGCCTAGAGCAAGCCGGAGAGCCCTGGCATGGCTGGCCGGCGCAGTGCAGATGCCTTGCAGCAGGGTATATCTGGCTGCCGGGGTGGTATTTCCAGCTTGTTGGCGAGGTGAGGTGAGCACGCCAACGAGTGCGTCGAGGCATGCGGCGAGATCGTGTTGGAGCTGATCTGGATGGCCTCGTTTGGTGGCGGTGGGTGGAGATGGGGCCTAGGCTAGGCTGGACTGGGGCTGCCTGCTCGCCTGCCTGCCTGGAGGGGCCAGCAGAGAGAGACGAGATGCAGTGGCTCGACTGCCACCAGCTCGATGGAGCCCGAGGTCGGGTGGACACTGCACGCGCGCAGCTGGACTGAACGAGGGCTCGGCGGTGGTTGGGTAGCCGCTGAGTTGCCACCACGGGCACGGGTTTCGAGCAGCCTTTGAGCCTGAGCCTGCGGTGGCTGCTGAGTTGCTGCCGCTGCGGGAGGGAGCGCGCCGGCAAGACGGGATCCAGCCACGGGGATGGGGATGGAAGGTACGGGGGAGGGGCGGGCGGCGAATTACGGGTCCCGTCGCTTTTGGTGAAGATGACGGTCCGGAAGGAAGGATGAGCTGCTGGCGGCGGTGACCCAGTGACCCTCGTGGGCTGACACGTGCCGCCCGTCCAGCACCAGCATGCTGCCTCGCCATCAATGTCGGTGAGCGGCTCGTCTGCCTGGCCTAAAATGTCCCTGGCCAGCCTGGGTCGCCCTCACTGGCTCGCTCGCTCGTTTTTGGCTCGCACAGCCACACTCAGCCCATCGCCGCCAAGCCCAATCTGCCGCAGGCTCATTCAGCGCCCGCCGCATGAGGCCATCGTCAGTGGAGCGAGGCGACGGCTTGTGGCACGGCGTTAAGTTTGCAGGCTGTCGTCTTCAGGCGGCGGCTGAGGAGGCGGCGGCGGCGCATGGCGAAGCTTAGGTTAGCAGCGCCCTTGGCCAGCGATTCGACGTACGTCCTTTGTCTGTCTTTGCTAGCCCGCTGCTACCTCGTAACTCTTTTTACGACGAGCATTTGGCGCATTGGCTGCTGGCCCGGCGCGTTTGTTGCCTCGCCGCTCCAACGCAGTACAATGCAGTGCACTCAATGCAGCCCATGCACAGCGAGTGCAAGAGAAGGAAGCCACCCCCAAAAGGACCCCCTGCAGACTTGGCGATGCGGAGACACTAATCATAGCTCTGGTGCCGAGCTCCGTAAATGACTGCCGGGCGCACGCAAAAAACTCGACCGACAGCCGTGGCAGAGGGGAAGGGGGGGAACACATGCCACGCCCATGCTGCGGGCAACGGAATCTCCAGATAGTTATATACTCGAGACCCCGAACGAGGGCATGTGGTGTGTCCCTCCCAGGGTCCCTTCGGGGGGTCCTCGGCCCTGCACGCCGCCGCGCCCGGCCTTTTAAGCTTCAATCGACCTCTGCACATGTCTCACTCGGTCGCCGTCGATACGGCGGGGAGCAGCGAACCGGGGGGAGATGGGGGCAGACGTGCGCGGAGACGTGCGCTCCTCTCGCTTATTTCATGAGAGCGGCCAGCCGACCCAGGGCGATTCCACATCGTGGCCGCTGGATCTCTGGATCCGAGCTTCGGGCATTGCCGCTTCGAGGCTGGGTGGGCGGGCAGTCAGGGGCAGGACGTCGCATTGACGCGGCGAGCGACGAGCCGCACCATGAGGCAGGCAGGCAGTCAGCACAGTCACTGTTGTTGGAGCAGTGCGTACGTACGACTGCGCGGCTCGGGCGTTGCTTGAATCGTCACAGCCCGCTCGTCCGTCCGCCCGCCCGCCAACCCACCTTCCATTGGCCCCATGGGCTTTTTGCAAGCGCAGCAACGGCATCACAGCGACAGACACACTCCGTTCTCGTACCATGACGTGGAGAGTGCGGCGCGGTGCAGTGACACCACCGCCACCAGCACCACCTGCACCACCATCACGCACAGCACGGACTTGTCCCATTGGCGTTTGTTTCCAGATTGTGGCAGCGATGGCGCCTCCGTTTGAGCCCAGTAGACCGGCGGACGGCTCCTGGGCGCGCGCGCCGGCACGTTGCCCGACACGCGTCCCTGGCTGGCATGGCTTCCTTCGCCAGCACTTGCTGATCCCTGGGTGGGACTTGGGAAGGGGGGCGCTTGGGGGGGCCGCCAGCCCATCTCGAGTGGATTCCATTGTGAACGCGTGTTGGCCCTGTTGGACGCCTTTCCAAACCGCCCTGCTGCTCCTTATTATTACCCTGGGTACGCATTTGCCTTCCATGGTACAGCTCGGAGTAAAGGTACCGTACCTTGCCTTGCCGTCTCGCCTTGCCTGGCCTTGCAGCAAGCGCAAGCAAAGCCGTGTCGTCGTCATTTTCGTCGAGGGCAATCTGAACCCTCTTCCTCCTCCCCCAATCATTGCTTCCATCCCATCCCATCCATCCAATCCGTCCAGGGCCGAACGACGGGTTTAAAGATCGCGCGTTCCCCTGGAATCCATTCTCCCACCCCCTTCGGGATCTGGAGCTCCCCTCTCCCCCAAGTCCGGACCGAACAAAAAAAAAAAGTCGAGCTAGGCCCAGCTGTTCCCTGAAGCCAAGGCCCCGACCGCCCTGCCAGGCCAATTGCTCCACGCCTGCGTCCGCTGGTCCCGTCCCGTCCACTGCCGTCTGCCGCTGCCAGGGGGAAACCAGCAGCGAGAGCCGCCTGCCAGAGTGAGCCTGGGCGGGCGACAGAAGGGGGCTGACCCCCGTCCGCTTTGGGCTGTGGCGCGCACGCGCACCGGGACACGCGCCGCAGCAGAGCTCCGGCCCTTCAGTCCAATCCCATGCCGCCTGTGAACAGCCGAGGGGGCGCGACAATCACAGTCTTGCAAAATTCGGTTCGTCAACCCTCCGCTGCTTCACGATCTCTCCCCCGCCACCGCCGAACACGGGCAGCGCATCGCATCGCATTCTGGCTTTTCTTCTTGCTGACCTCGTGCCCTCGCACTCGCCGATCAGGAACCCGTCGTCAGCCCGCTCAGCTCCCTGTCCATCTGCGGCCCGCCGCTCGTCTTCGTCGCCATGGAAGCCCTCTCGACGGCCATCCGGCCCCTCGCGCAGCCCATCACCCACAACCTGCCCGCCCCCATCCGCGACCTCGGCGTCTCCATCATCGGCGAGCGCTGCTACGAGACCCTGCTGCTCGACGTCCGCCTCGACCACCCCGAGTGCCTCAAGCTCGCCGTCAGCAAGGCCCTGGGCATCGGCATCATTGCTGCCTCGTCCATCGTCAAGGTGCCCCAGATCCTCAAGCTCGTCAACTCGCGCTCCGCCGAGGGCGTCTCCTTCCTCGCATACCTCCTCGAGACGAGCGCCTACCTCATCACCCTCGCCTACAATGTCCGCAACGGCTTTCCGTTTAGCACCTTTGGCGAGACGGCCCTCATCCTCGGCCAAAACGTCGTCATTTCCGTCCTCGTCCTCAACTACACCGGCCGTGCCTCCATGGCCGCCGTGCTGGTCGCCGCCCTCGTCGGCGCTGCCGGCGCGCTCTTCTCCACGAACCTGCTCGACATGCGCGCGCTGAGCGTCCTGCAGGCCGGCGCGGGCCTGCTCGGCGTCGCCAGCAAGCTGCCCCAGATCCTGGCCATTTACCAGCAGGGCGGCACCGGCCAGCTCAGTGCCTTTGCTGTAGGTTATCCCGGCCGTTGGAGATTTGCGAGACAGGCACTAATCATCTCTGCTCATTCAGGTCTTCAACTACCTCGCCGGCTCGCTGTCGCGCATCTTCACCACCCTGCAAGAGGTCGACGACAAGCTCATCTTGTACGGCTTCGTGTCCGGCTTCATCCTCAATGCGATCCTCGCGATGCAGATGGTCTACTACTGGGACGCGCCCTCGGAGAAGGCAAAGGGCAAGCGCAAGGAGCCGCCGATCAAGGAAAAGGCGGTGCACTCGGCGACAACGACGTCGACCAAGAGCCCGACCACGCGGCGCCGCGGATAGATGGTTGGCGCTCCTGCATTCTCCTTTGGGCTGCAGTGATTTTGTAGAGTACCAGTTGTCTAGGACTTTTAATGCATGCGAGTGGACTGATAGAGAGTTGCGCTCGAAACGGCCTCGGGGGACGCAATGGACATCACAGACAAACGCAAGCTCGCTACTAGATCTGGTGTGATTGTGATTGTGGTTTGATATTGTATGCGGCAGACTTGCCAACACGTAGGTACACTTGTAAACTCCATTCAACCCCAGCGCTTGCAAACATTGTCCACCGGGACTGAGCCCTTGCTGGTATCCGTATCCTCCTTGTTATAAGCCAATGCTGTTAGAATTAAAAACGCCGCTCTTTTCCAAACGCCGATCCCCAAAGAAAGCAATCAAGCTCAAGACGAGAGAAGCCATGCCTAGTAGGCAGGGACCTCGGCCTTGGTCCAGCCCACGCCACCGACCCAGACGCGACGGTCAGCGCAGCGAAGGCAGCGCTTCTCCTCGCCGAGGCTGCTGACGGAGCAGCTGAAGCACACGACCTTGCCGCAATTGCCGCAAGGCGCCATGTCGGAGGAGCCGCCGTCAATGTCCATGCCGTCGTCGCCACCCGGAGCCCCCAGCGCGGCGCCGCAGTCCTCGCACACCCGAGACGCCTGCGTGTACACCTGGACGCCCGTCATGGAGTCGGGGGCGGCCGTGGGGGCGGAATTGATGGCCCAGAAGCTGTGCAGTGAGCCCTGTCGCCGCTGAGGCAGCGCTTGCGGCTGGTGGTGCTGGCGAAAGGTGCCGGCGAGGGGGGCGCCTCGGTCGGCGACGTAGGGAGAAGGCTGCGGCGAGGTCGTCTTCTGCTCGTGCTGCTGCTGCTGCTGCTGGGCGGAGAGGAGGAGGTGGAGGGTGCGCTCTGCAGGGAAGCACGTTGAGCTCTTGCACGGGGGGCTGCTGTGCGGGAGCCACGCGGCAGACTTACGATGGACCTCGTCGTCGGAGGGGCGGTTGCTGCGGGAGCGCTTCCAGGTGCGGCTGTTGAGGTGCGCGTCGCGGCCCGGGTCCATCGCGGGGAAGCCGAAGACGGGATTGAAGCCGCTGGCTGTGGTGGTTGTGGTTGTGGTGCTGCCGTTGCTCATCGTGTCGAACGCGCCGGCAAAGGAGAAGGGCGCGTCGGAGGACGTGCGCTTGCGCTTGAGGAGCGTGGCGGCCATGGTTGTGCGAGTGTGGGGGGTGTGGCAGCGCGCGACGAGGGACGATTAATGGGACGGAGCGAGCGGGTGAGCGAGCGAGTGAAAGGAGACGCTGGCGCTCGGCGCTGATGGATGATGTTGTTGATGGATGATGCAGTGTTGGAGAGCGCGAGGATTGATGGTGTGAGATGAGTGGACGGATGGGAAGACGAACAGGCAGAGAGACAGTCGGGTGGGCGTTCGTTGAACGTCCCCTGTGGGCGTGGTTCGACGGGTGCTAATAAATGTGAAATGTGAGTGGCTGGACCTCAGCCTGGGCGCCGCAACGGGCGCTTGTCCCGAGGTCGCGACGGGAACTGCGGCGCCAGAGAGACGCGTGCCGGGGGCGGCATAGCGCGTAAATTGACTTTTTGGGGCGGCCAGCGCGCGCGGCGCGGGCCCCACTGTATTTGCTCTCATATGCGGTGCAGTGTCTTACGCGAGAGTGGCAGCCTGTGGTTGGCTTCACATCCAACATCACCCAACATCAGCATCATCAACAACTGGGCCACCGTCTGATGGTCCACTTTCACTGTGATTTATGCTTATGCACTGGCAGACCATATTGGACATTGATCGGAAGCAAACCAGGCGGGTATCGATGCCCGGAGCGAGCAGTGGCGGCGCGCGCGCCTGCAAACTACCTAACGAGCCGATTGTCTCATGCCTTGGCCTTCCACGTCGCCTTGATCAGGTCGGCCGCCTTCTCGCCGATGCCGTACGCGGGCATCTGCGTGTGCCCGCCGTGCAGCACCGGCATGATGCTCGTGTCCGCCACGCGGAGGCCCTTGACGCCCTTGACGCGCAGCTGCTCGTCGACGACGGCCTTGGGGTCCGAAGCCGTGCCCATGGCGCACGTCCCCGCGGCGTGGTAGCCTGTGGTGGAAACCCTTTGTCAACTCCATGGCAAAAGATTAAAGTCAAAAGGAAGACATGGCACTCACACGTCGTCGCGTGCTCCTTGACGTACGGCACCCAGTCCTCCCTCGTCTTGAACCGGTGATGCGCCGCCTCGGGCGGCCACGACCCCTTGACCAGGTCCTTTGTCCCCGCGCCCTCGGTGATGATCTCGTTGCCGAAGCGGCACGCCTCGGCCAGCACCTCGACGTCGAGCGCATCCGTCAGGTAGCCGCAGTCGACGACGGGCACGGCCGCCGCGTCGGCGCTGCGCAGCGCCACGGTGCCGCGCGACCGCGGGCCGAACAGCTCCGCGATCATGCTGAAGGCGTGCTGCCCGTCGGCGGGGAACCGGTCGTACTGCTTGGGCCCGCCGTAGCACTCGGTCGTGAAGAACTCGATGTTGGGCTGCGCCGGCGTGAGCCCCATGGGGTCGCGCCCGGGCTGGCGCGGCGCCGACGTCCACAGCTCCGAGTCGGCGAGGCGCTCGTCGAGGCGCGCAAAGGCGAAGGCGCCGAACGGGAAGGTCGACAGGAAGCCCTTCTTCTCGTCCTTCCACAGCTGGTACGTCTTGTTGAAGGCGTCGCCGTGGTACACCAGGTGGTCGTTGGTCAGCCCGGGCTTGTCCGTCTCGTAGAAGATGAAGACGATCTGTCGGGTCAGCCGGCGGTGTTTCTTTCCCGAGGGGGAAGGAGAAGCAGGGGCATCAGAGGGGGTGGGGGAGCCTGGGAATAAGGTTTCTGGCATACCAGGTGGTCCATGAGGTTCTTGCCGACCGCGGGCAGATCGACAAGCGTGGCGATGCCGTGCTTGTCCAGCTCGTCCTTGGCCCCGATGCCCGACCGGTTCAGGATGTTTGGGCTGCAATACGCGCCGCCGCTCACAATCACCTCCTTGCCGGCCTTACCCTCGAACACGGACCCGTCAGCCAGGACGGCGCGCACCCCGACGGCCCTCAGCTCCCCCTCGGCGTCCTTCTCGATGAGGACCTTGTCGACGTGCGCGCCGGTCAGGACGGTGACGTTGTCGCGCTTGAACTTGTTGGTGATGAAGTCGGCGCCCGTGGTCCGCAGCCCGTCCGTCACCGTCCGCGGCACGTGGCCGCAGCCGTGCGGGTTCGCGCCGTGCGAGAACATGTCGTGGTCGAGCCGGAGCCCCTTGGACTCCATGGACTCGAGGATGCGCTCCGAGATGGGCGCCAGGTCGTGCGGCTCGGTGCCCAGAGGGCCGTCATACCCATGCGCCGCCTCGTCGGCCTTGAACCACGGCTTGCCTTTGAAGGACTCGGCCTGTGCCCGCCGTCTTAGCTGCCGTGTCAAGCGAAACTATAACGGGGGAAGCGGCTGCGGCTCACCTTGCTCATGTACTTGAAAAAGTCATCGCCGCTCCAGCCGGGAACGCCCCAGTCGTCGTAGTCCTGCTTGGAGCCGCGGATGCACAGCGTGCCGTTGCACCCCGACGAGCCGCCAAGGAACTTGCCCCGGCTGAGCTTGACCTGGCGGCCGTTGATGCCAGACCCAGGCTGGGTGACGATGTTCCAGTCCGTCTCCTTGTCAAAGTTCTGCGACCATCTGTTGTCCCACCACACAGGCCCTTCTTCAGCATCCGTACACACACAGCTGGGCCCACAGCAAGAGGACAAGGCGGCCCGGAACGCCAAAAGGGACGGCTGGGGCTTGACTCACCCGCCGACCATGTGAACGGTCTCGAGGTTCTCGTTGTGAGGGCCGGCCTCAATGACGAGGACCCTGGCCGCGGCATCTTCCGCCAGGCGACCGGCAACCACGCAGCCCGCGGTGCCGCCTCTGTCGGGAGCGAGCCGTTAGCTTCGCGGCTGAGAGGCGATAGTTTGGTACGAAGGCAGAAACAGAGACAGAAACGGCCGTGCACAACACCACCAATCTACAGTAATACCTACCCACAGACAATAAAGTCCCATTCTCCCCCTGTCTTGGCGCCCTCGGGATTGGAGCCCATCGCGGTAGGTAATTGCAACGGTTTTCACCAATGGAGAAGGGCCCTAAGTTAGGCGAAGCGTGCAATAAGGTTTGGCCGTAGTGAGCGGTACCGGCGGGATGGTCGTCGTTTCTCTCCGTAAAGAGACTAATATTATCGTGAGTCGTCGGCGGGGGGGTTCGCAGTTGTGGTGACACAAGACAGACACGGAGAGACACAGAGACGGAGCTACACGCGCGCGAACCCTGCCCGCGGCGGACCGCCGCCCATCCATCCTTTTAAAAGAGCCGCCACTGCTCGCGAGCCCCTTGAAGTGGCAGACTCCCCCGCTCATAGGCGAGGCGGAAACAACAGCAGCCCAAGCTGATGAGGGGCTTCGTTCGTCTCACGCCCGCTGCGAGCGGCCTGCTGCTTGGCCGGATGACCCGTCGCAACGGAATCGCGGAATCTGCCGCCTCGAGACAGGAACACCCATGCTTGCTCAAGAAGATGAGGTGGATAGGCCCTGCCAGGGCCGCTTCACTCTCTTCAACGCCCGAGCAAGGTCAGACCTAACCTTTCCCCGCAACTCTAAACGCACCGGCCACTTCGTGGTTCGTTCGCGGATGTCCCTCCGCTGGTCCGTCCTGGACAGTGCTCAGAATAAATGTGGGCGGAATCGGAAACAAGGACGCAGGCAAGGCAGGGTCGCGAGGGGGGCATGGCCCAATGGTGGGCGTGAGGAGGAATGGGCAGTGGTACGAGTACAAAAGGGGGAGGGCATCCTTCTCTCGGCCGCATGGGCAGACATGACCGATCTTGGTATTCATCGTCCTCGTCTATACCGGTAGTGGTGCTGCGGATGTGGGTTTGCCCACAGAGGTGTTGGTGCCGCGCCCGCGGCTATGCATGCGAGCTCCAGACGTTCAACGTCTGGCGGCGGGGCTCGCATGCATGTGAGTCGGCGACGGGCTCCATATTCTTCATCGGGGCCCTGGTCGTCGCAACTCCCGGGCTGCCTCCGCGGCTCCTGATTGCCAGAGCAGGGCCCTGAGTTGGGCATGGTCGCTGCCAACTTTCCCGCCGACCTAGCTGTCACGAGTCGCGACAGGCACCCGTCACCACCATCTTCGTCCTGTATTTTAGGCCGACGGCTGGATCCACGGTGGGTCGGCCGCCGGTCCCGCCCGCTCTCACCCGCTCGAGGGAAGATGCTTGAACTGTGGACTC